ACCCCGGTGAATGTATTATTGTATAATATTAAATAAAAAGCAATTCTATTTAAAAAAGAAAAACGAAGTCATATCGAGGATTACATTGCTTGCCCGTTATTTGATACGTTTGATTCTTATCAGTTGTCTAAATTCATGTATATTACCGATGGCTTAGTATTCGAACACGTATACAAACGAAAAAGAAAAATGACAACATCAAGTACCGCCTGGATTGAAGCATATTTAGATAATATTACAAATAATAGTGATCTGCTATCGCTTGTAAGTGACAACGATGCACCAGTAATACCTAGTTCATGGATATTTTTTCTAATGAAATGGGCACTACGACTATCGTGCATATCCATCTTTATTGTATGTCCATGGGCAAACTATCAATTGATTGTATTGTTTCGAACGCGTCGGTATCATAAAGAATCTTCAGCTAAATGGTATGTAATATTCAAAGCAATATTCGATATAGGCTATATGCTTGTATCAGTTCCAATCATATTCTGCCTTACATTTGATATTGATGTAATTCACAGAAATTTTCTTACATGTAAATTAATAACCTATTCACATTATTTGTTCGATGATTTAATATCTATGATGCTGGCATTATTATGCATCGATCGTATGATGCGCATAACATGTAGTTGCCGTTTTCGTCAACGTTTTGCATTAACTGTTTGTATAGTAACAGTTACATTTTTTGCAATTATTAATATTCATCATATCATACGTTTACAACATCGAAATGGGTTTTGTCATAAATTATATTTAAGTATTTGGGATTATGATTTTGATATATACTATTCATTGATTTATACATCAATAACATGGGCAATTATATTCATTGCATCAATAAATTTAACTGTCAGTGTTTATTGTGATCGAGAAAGACGTTTAAAATTATTAAAACAACAAAAACAGCAACGACAACAACAGCAATATTTGAGTAAAATTTTATTGAATACTACTGATTCAATTCCATTTGATAATGATCGAGCTGAACTTATTGATAATACAGGTAGAACTACATAGGAACTCTAATACAAAGAAAACAGTCAATAGGTATTTTCCTTCTTTTTAGATGATATAGAAGATGCAGCAGTAGTCACTATTGAAGCAAATCCTTTCGCAAATGAATCTTCAGAACAAGAACAACAAGATAATATTGATTTACAAATTACTGTATGTGTTTTAATAGTATCAGCTATTTTTCTCGGTTGTAATCTGCCGAATTTTTTCATATTTATTTGGAGATATATTTATAATTCAAGTTTTTCTACGATCGGTTATATATTTGTTTATATGTCAATTATTCCATTAATAGTAGCATATACAGTAAATTATTTTATTTTCAATCATCTAGCTGCATATCTTTTTCGTAATAATTCATCATGATTTATTTAAAATCAATGTATTTGATAAAAAAAAAAGAAACAATGATTGTTATTGATTATTCTTTTTCTTTGTTCGCAATAAAATATATTCTTATCTTCATGTTTAGTCATTGATGTTAAATGCACAACAAAACAAAAGCTCGTGATCGTCGAAAGAATAAATCGATTTTTTCTTTATCAATGATTTTTCTCAGAGTAGTAATCAATAAATCTACATGTGGCAAAAAAACAAAGTTTCGAGGGCCGAAAGTTTTAGGTTCACATCAAATCGTTGGAGTATTTTTGCAGATTAATTTGCCAGTCCAGGACGAAAACACATGTGAAAAAAAAATTGTGAGAATCAATAATCGTTCGTTCAATAGGCTATGAGGATTTTAAATGAATCAAATTATAAATAACATGTATTGCCTAATAGAAAGTAATAGGGCAAGAGATAAGAACACCATGAAGTGATTGTATTACTTTTTATGTTATCTAACGAAATCAGTTTTTTTTCAAGGTGTCCTTGGTTTGGTACAAGATCTAATTGTTATTTTTTGTTTACTCAAAAAAGAAAAGTGAGTACACTATAGAATCGGTCAGTGTGTGCGGCTGGCCGTTTACACGATAGCTCCTAAACGGCTGATCCGATTGTCATGAGATTTTGTACACAGAATGATCTCATCAATATCTCGGTCGAGTTCGAAGATGAGAGGAATACGTCAAGAAGTGACTGAGTTATCGAAAAAATTGTCATTGTTGACCAGACCATCCCTGAGAAGGGGGGGGGTACAGAGATTTTTTCAAAAAAGTTTTTTTCTCTCAGTATTATTCACAACATATATAAATCGACTCCGTTTTTGAAGTGCACATAACAATCGGATGCAAATCCGATGTTTCCTCATTTATTTAATATTCAATTCTGTCTCTCTTGATGTTTCCAATATGAATAAATCAGGCGAGTTGTTTTTTCGATTGAATTTAAGCGCCTATCAAATTCTAACAATTCGCGCTTTTGTAGTTAACGATTTAATTATCATCTTCTATCAGATACATTACATTCATTTTTCTATTTTATTTATCTATACTTCAATAAAGCAGAGCGTTATTATAATTTGAATTATTCAATCATCTCGTTTTTATTTTAAAAATATAATATGGTTAAACAACGACAGCAATCAATCAAAAAACGTAAACCAGCAGGAAAAAATAAAACAAAATCACAAAAAATTAAAAAAGCTGGTTCAAAACGTGCTGGTAAACATAAAACATGCGAAGTTTCAAAGAGATCGACTTCAACAAAATCCTCTTCATCATCATCATTAGCCAAACAACAATGTCAACGTAAAGGACGCACACAAAAAGGAAAATCACCCAGTAAATTTAATCTTTACATGAAAAAAGCTTTACCACAGTGAATATTTATACAAACAAATTCCATTGACTATGTTGCCATGTGTTTTTTTTTTACGTAGAATTAAACATGAATATCCTGAAATAGCACATAAAGATGCATTCAAAAAAGCAGCAGAACAATGGGCTGCATCACCAGACAATCCAAAAAATAAGCATCATTAATATAACGAACGAAAATGACACGACGAATTTGTTTTCTTTTTGTAAAATTTACTTTCAATGAATTATTGCGCTCTTCGTATAAGTTTTAAATAGAATTAGAACAAATAAATATATTCATAGAATTAATTTCGAAGAATTATTATATTTTATGAGAAAGCATTTGCTTAGGATCGAGATCGTGGCTACACAAGAAAAACTATAATTCCAAAAAAATAATAAATATTCAAGATAATTTAAAATGTAGCACAACTGAATCTGATGTAGCCTGTGTTATACTGAAATGTTTTTCAATCGCTTTCTTTTAATTTACAAGTATCAAAAATGACAATGAATCTCTGAGAAAATGGTAAAGATTGATTTTTAATCTGCTCTTTTTTCCAAGATTCTATTGAGAATGTCAAACTCATCCACTAGATGCCGATGTCATATGGACTTGGGACGCGACATCTATAATATACGTATCGAAGGACACGAAAATATATGATTGAATACTCAAATGAAACAATGACAGGACAACGGCAAAAGTAAACAAACAAACATCATCGAAAAGGAAATTTCAGGGGAACGGTTTTCTCGAAAAATTATGACTCACTAAATCGATTGATGCATTTTAAGACCGCCATAAAATATCTATTATAGAAAAAAAAAACTCTTTTTTTCATCGGTTCACTTAAGAAATGTCTAATACACCAACATCAACTGAAGAATTATCTAATACTGATGCAACATCAACTGATGAACAACCAAGAAAATATCTTCGAAGAAATAATGTAACAACTTCAATTTATTTTGTCGCTCTAAAATTCATTTATTTCTGTTTTCTTTCAGGATGTCAGTACTGGCGTTGTAAGTATAGATATAAACTCATGTAAAATAAGTTTTATGTTTCATTTTATTTTTGTGCTTCTTTTTTTGCTTAAAGACAACTCGGTCTCGACAACGCGAACAAGATATGAAAAATAAAGATATTGAATCGATGCCGACTGACCCATCATCATCATTAAATACGCTTGATACTTCATCTGCGACAGAACAATGTGCTATATGTATGGAGAATTTTACTAATCAAGAAGTTGGTATACCAGAAAACTGTGAACATTCATTCTGTTTGACATGTATTATTGCATGGGCTAAGGTAAAACGACCGAAGAGACAATTATTTATATTGCATAAAAAATTTTCTTTCAGAAAAATAACTCCTGTCCAATTGATCGTAAACATTTTCTTCGAATATTCAAAAAACATGCGTTTACGAGTTCAAAACGATATGATACCGTATGTTAAAATGGAATATTGGCTTTCGTTAATAAATGAAAATTTAATTTAATATAGATCGAGGTACAAGATAATCGTTTAGAAGTTCAATTGGAAGCTGACTTTCTTGAAATGATTGATGATGATATATCATGTCGTGTTTGCGGTCGAGATGATCAAGAAGATCTTTTATTAATATGCGATGAATGTGGAAATGGGTAAGCATTTAAAAAACAAAATATTCATTAATATATTCGTTGAAAACAAAATTTAGTTACCATACTTTCTGTTTGGAATTACCTGGTGTTCCTGATGCAGCCGAATGGATGTGTCCATTATGTGAAGTTGATCAATTATCAGCTGCTGAAGATTTATATGAAGATAGTGATCTTGAAGAACTTCAGCATATACTTTTCGATGATTCATTAAATGCAACTGAAACTGATAATGAGGTATGATGATTTAATTTATTTCGAGAATGTCCAAAAGTAATGGCGGCACTACATTTTGATACGAGAATTCGGACTTAACTGGGTGTAACATGACTTTTTTTTATAAGGAACAAGAATACTACTGCCATCACATTTGATATACCTTAAATATCTTTCATACGAAGAAAATGTATGTATTCATATTGTTTCTTATATATATATAGCTTGCTGATGCCGTTACCACTGTTCGACAGCCACGAGTACGACAAACGGCACGTATGAGTATGCAGTAAAACTTCTTTTTTGTTTTTAAATCATGAGCATATTTATAGGAACCGGTGGTGCACGTAATCAACGTACAGCAACAGCGCCAAATACAAGATCACGTCGTCGTCAACGACAACCAAGACGACGACGTGCACCGACGGCAAGACGATTAACATTAGTGGAACAGCAAAGACAACGCCAAAGACGTCAACGGCGAGTTTTACGTAATGTTAATCGAAGAATTGAACATGTTAACGTAAGTAATTTGCAAATGCCTATGCAATTTCTTATTTGAAATTTCAATGAATCATTTAGACAAGAACCAGAGAAGGTACAACCGTAGCTACTACAGCAACTGCTACTCATCGACATGATACACCACGATTATCTATGTTTACTAGTGAACCAGTTGGAATGTTAGTATTCTATTGTTTTTATTTCTTCTAATGTTGTTTCGATCTATTTTCAGCGAGGATGAGCCAATAACAACAACAACTATGGTACCATCAAATCGAGCCATCATTACTGCAAAGTTTGAGAAAACAAAATGAAGAATATTTCAAAAAATTAATTCTCTTTCGTTTCATTTTTCTAGTGAAGCAGCTCGTCGAATAGCAGCTAGTGGCATACCAATTATATCTCGTAGTCATACAGAACCATCGATAAGTCGAGAATTAAGTGTACGACGAACACCAACGCTTGACCGTGTACCATCACGAACAATTCGTCCGTCACCATTGCCGCCAGCACCACCAAGAATACCTATTAGTCAATTACCACGTATTCAACGTCGAAACGATGCACCATCTCGACCACGTCCAACACTACCAGTACCACCACCACCACGATCATCCACTCGAACATCGAATGCTGCACCATCATTTCTTGACACTCTTCTTAATTCTCAAGAGCGTCTTCATAATTTACAAAATGTGCGAATTCATGGGTAAATAGTTATATTGAAATTTTTGTTTTTCGTATTCAAAAATCAAAACAAACGTTTATTCTATTCATTTTAGGCCGCATATTCAAATATGATGAAGAAAGATTCAATTCTATTTTCTTTATTACCTGTTATAGTTCATCAATGTATATATATATATATATCTGTTGCCGGTTTTAATTGGATGTGTTTGTTGTGTGTCCTTTTCTTTTCTCTGTTTGCTAAACCAGTAATAAAAAGAAATGCTAACAGACTGTCTCGAATTAAATTATTTAATAACTGTATTGAAAGAAATTACTATTCGAAAAAAAACAAGAAAAATTGCGCTTCATTATTTGTTTGTTTTTATTGTAGATGTCGGTTCAGGAACAACCTGTTTGTAATAATATTCCTGGGCAATCACCGCCGTCATCTATTGTGATACATCGAGGCAGTGAAAAGTACGATCCATTTGTTAATGATGATGATGATGATGATGATGATGATGATGAAAATGATAGTGAACAGTTGAAAAGTGCAAAAAATCAAAAGCAAGAATCCATTCGGATCAACAATGGGTAATTTTCCTTGTTCTTTTTTGTTAACTATTAAATATGTTGTGCCGCAAACGGAAATATTCAATCGGTAGTCATAGTCTGGTCACTTGTTATCGTTAAGAATCTATCCAGGGAATGAGTTACTTTCTTTTTCTTTTTTTTTGAAAGAAAAACTGAGTCAAACATTGTCTGACTAGACTTCACTATTATTGACATAGTAATACAGAAGTAAATCTTATCACTTTACGTAGCTGAGTAGAGAAGAATTTCAATCACAGTTGAAATGACATTTTTCAAGGAATGTTTATCATAGTTTATGGAGGTAATTTAATATCGTTTACTAAACTATGCTTGAAGACACTAGATACTCACATACATTTAGTCCATTCCATGTTTAATTGAATCTTACGTAACATGTTTGTTCGGTACTTCGCAACATACTGTTGATAGCGCCATCTGCACAACAAACTTCTCAAGTTGTATTGAGTTAGATCTGACAATTAATAAAGACGTATCGATCGAGTCAGAATCCTTTTGCATTAGTTACAAATTTTATTAAATTCAATAGATCACAGTAGAACACCTTCAACTTCAAATAAAATCTCCAAAAGTTACAGACTGTTTTTAAAAATGAAATGACAACGGTAGAATTGAATCGTTCATAGTTAGATATTTTTCTTCGTGAAACTTATTATTATTATTTATCTGTTGGATATATTAGAAATTCAATACACCCTGTGATTAATAATACAAATGGATCGTCGAGTTCTGATAAATCTTCATCATTACAAACGAGTGAACAACAAGAATCACGAAGTAAAAGCCCTGTAGAGCATCATAACAATCATAGATCAAAGTAAAATCTCTATTGTTTTTCAAAATCAATAAAACTTTGAAATAATATTTTCAAGATCACCTTCTCGTCACAATCCTTCTGATCGAAAACGTCTTCGTCCTTCATCGCCAAATTCATCTACGATAGCAACAGTGACCAGTAACGATTCATCATCAAATTCTGATACAATCTCAGCATCAAAATATAAAAAACTCTACCGAGATGACGATCGAAAAACATTGTCAAAACATTATAAACCTCGATCGTCTTCATCGTCACCTTCGCAGTCGAACAATCATAATAAAAAAATATTTGATTGGAAAGATGATAGATCTTCAAATTCATCGTATAATAAATCGTTACATCGCTCAGAAAAACGAGATGAACATCATTCTAATCGGCAACGTAATTATCATTCTTATCTATCATCAAAATATTCGTCGTCATCACATAATGAACGTCGAGCAACAACAGATTCTAGTCCACCTCGCCTTCCTTCAAAAATATTAATACCGGATGGAAATTCATCTCTTCCAAGTACGGAATCAACTAGAAATACAACATCAACAGAAGATCGCAATCGAATATATAATCGTTTGAAGAACATGAACGATACAAATACGCCTGTTAGTCCTATCAACAATTCAAAAAAAATTTCATCAACAGGATCACCATTTATGAATTCAAACGGTGGATCTCAACATTCACGTAGTAATTTAATTGAAATAGTCACTACAGAAGCTGCATCTGGATCAACTCGTAAGTTATTCTTCTAAAAATATTGACGATAGAATTAATAACTAAAATTGTATTCTTATAAACAGCGAACGCTAGGCATAAATAATAAAAACATTTATAATAGCCTGACAATTCGATCGCTTTTCGTAACAGCTAGTATAGAGAGAAAAAAATTAATCATTTATGTTTCTTTCTTCTATAGAAGTCCCTCCAACACGATTATCATTACCTCAAGTTAAATCTGATGCAATCAAACCATTACCTGCTCCTCCTATTCCTACGAATATTGAATCTAAAACAAATACAACCGATTCTATTCAATCAACAAAAATCAATGGTAATACGGCAGATGATATGCTCATGGAAGAAATGCTACTCGAAGAAGAACAAGAACAAAGTCCAGTCAAATCTATTGATATCGATAGTTTAACCATACCTGAAACATCAAATAAAAAACCTGATAATATCGAAGAACCAATAAAAGTCATAGAAACAACAGTCACAACAGCAAGCATTCTCACGGCAACTGTAACCTCTATTTCTTCTCTAACACCATCACCAACAAAAAAACCATATACATTGTACAAAGTTCCACATACAAACCATATGACACCGCCATTATCATCTCGACATAAAAAGCAAACTAAAAAAGAATCAACCAATATCCGTAAATAGCTATTTTTATTTTTGAATAAAGAATTGATATTTAATTCTTTTAACAGAATCTGAGCCAACAATAGCAACACCGAATAAACCTACAATTGAAGATAATGCTTTACGAACATCTCTCGATGAACGTATTTCCACTCTATTAGGAGTAACAAATAAACCCACCAATTCATCTATAGAACAGCAACCAGATATACGAACAAATCAAACAACAAGAACATCAACACCCAGTGATAAAAGTACTGAAAGTCCACAAGATATCCCATCGTTGATTTCAAATTTAATCAAAAAAAGTTCAGATCACACATCTGTAACAAAAAAACTTACTGCAAATGATGATCGCCGTTCAACACCGTCAAAACATTATACAACTGAATGGCTTGCTTCACAAAAACCCGAAGAAGCGCCAACAGGTCATTTTGAGTTTCTTGATTAGAATTGTTTAAATCATCTTTTTATTCTATTTCTAGAAGAAATAATTGTTCTTCCGTCTCTTGTTACATTGCCAACACTTGTCTCAAGTCAACCATCTGTTTCTAATACGAAATCATCAAGTACAAATTCAGGTGAAGCAGCTATGCTTGGTAAACTAACAGAAGCTATGAGTAAATTAATTCAAAAACAAGGCGATACGAATCGTAAGTTTAATTAGAAGAGAAATTCTTCTTAAACATGTGAAACATTATATTCTATTGTAGCACCACCATCAACAACAGCAACCGAAGCAGATGATGCAGTTCCTATATCAGCTAAACATCTTGAAAGACTCGAACGAGTTAGTTATCAACATAATATGCTTGAGGAAAAACAGCCGATTAAACTTTTTATTTTATTTTAGAGAAAACAACGTGAAAAACGTCAAAGTGAAATAGCTGCAATTGCTAAAGAAGCTTTAAAACCTGCATTTAAAAAACACGACATTTCTAAAGATGAATACAAAGAAATTATGAAGAAAGTCGTCACTAAAGTATATATATATATAGATATATATATAATATTATCAAACGAAAACTTACTCTATTTCTTATTTTAGGCTACGCATGCTAATGAAGTTGATCGTAAAAGAATTGGTAAAATGATCGATGCCTATATAGAAAAATATCGAACAATTCGTCAACATAATACCACAAAAACTTCGAATGGAAATCCTTCATAAATTTAATAAGTGTCTCAGCACGAAAAAAAATTATAAAAGATTGATTTGTTTTCTTTTTTTTTGTGTATAATTTTTCTTTCGTTGTTTGTCTTCTATAAATAATTGAACTATATGTGTGTGTGTGTGCGTGGATGTGTATGCGGACAGATGAAAAAAAAACTAAGACAAACAGACAGTGAATGTAAATTGTCCCCATTTATTCTCGTTTATTATGTGTTTTTTAGTTGATTGCTCTGCGGTGGTTGTCTTGTTTATTTGGTTTTGTTTTCTCTTTAATATCTTTCGTTTCTTTATCACACACACACTCAGACACACATATACTCATACATATACATCTTTTTTTGTTTGTTTTTTAAATCTTCACGATATTCACAAAAGAACAAAACAAAAAACGATAATTTGAGAATGCATATGATGTATACATATATGTATATGACAAATATTTTTTCTGTTCAGTTTTTATTTATGCGATTGATAAAATAATCAAAGGGGAAGTTTAAAAAAAAAGAATAATTATTGCGGTATAATGTTTATTTCGTTTTTTTATATCTTCAGTAGTAGACTACTTACTTTTGTGTTATCAATATAAAAAGACAAGAATACAAGTTGCATGGCCTCTTTGATTGTTTGGAGATAAATGAAATTTTTAATTAATCCTGAACTCGATTACAAATAGTAAGCCGTTGGAAATCTCCGTTGAATCTTACTCGGGATGGTTAAAGCTTGAGTAAGCTCTGCACAACGGCCATTTTATGGAATAGAATGAGAAAGTCTTCGGTCAGGTAAAAGCCGTATGAGCAGAAACGATGATGACAATTTGCAGTAGGATAGCTAAAATGCTTCTTTTGTTTTTTTCTTTATTCTTTAAAAAAGAAGACAAAATCAAAGGTTACGTTGAACTGTTGCAAGGTGAAGTTGATCCTATTGAATTTCCAATATTCAATAAGAATTACCTTTTTCTTAGAGCAAGTAGGACCAGATAGCAAATTTCTGTGTTTATATAGTTTTTCTTTTAAAGCGTTGAGATAATTACAAAATGATGAGTAGCTGCCATTATCCCGTTAAATCTGTATGCACAGCTGATAGCAAATAATAAATCAACAGTGTCTTCTAAATCCATCTTAATATGAGTCAAGATAAATTCTTGTAGTGATAAAAATTTCCCCGCATGCCTTCTATATAAATCCGATCATTTGATTTATCGAAATGCAAATCATCTGAATTTTCGATAAGAAACTCATTACTATAAACTATGAGTTTCTCGGTCAATATGAATATTAAATTCCCTTGTAGATGTTACTTGCAATTACAATTATAATTGCAACAGGTGTTGGTTTTATTTATAAATATCGTGAACATTTTACATTTCCAGGCGGTCGTTTATCTCGTCCATATTGTTCAGCATCTCAAACAGCTCTAACATGTATGGGAACTGATCAATTTATCGAACTTTCATTTGGTAAAGTTCATTATATTTATCGACCATCTACAACAGTGACATCATCATCAAAGTTGAATATATTCGTTCATGGATTTTCAATTCCAATGGAAATTTGGCAAAGCGTATTTCAGAAAGTTGTCAATGATAATCATTCATGTTTAATATTTGATTTATATGGTCGCGGTTGGTCCGATGCACCATTTCTACCAATGAATGTTGATTTATTTGTTTCTCAATTAGCAGAATTATTATATGCATTGAATCTACCCTATGAAAAATATAATTTATTTGGTGTTAGTATGGGTGCCGTTATTGTACAACGTTTTACTGAATTGTATCCATCTAAAGTTTCAAAACTTATCCTTTGCAGTGGAGCAGGACTCAACGTTTTAAGACCACCAATGTTATTAATTTCGATTTTATCTATTCCAATAGTTGGTCCGATACTTTTTAAATTGACTATGCAACAAAACGATAGTAAAATGGTACGTGCACTATGGGCTTATCCAGAAAAAGATGAATATGAACAATTTAAAAGATTATTTCAACTAGCTTGTAAACAACATCCAGGCTATTTGCGTTCTTTATATTCAACAATATTTGATTTTAATTTTCAATTATCATCGAAATCAATTGAATCCATTGAAAAATTACATATACCTGTATTAATTGTATGGGGTGATAAAGATACATTAACACCAGTTCAAAATGCTTATCGTTATCATCAATTATATAAAGAATCTATATTACATATTGTACCTGAAGCCAATCATAGTTTACTTATCGAACATCCTCAGGAAGCTCTCGAAGCTATAGAACCATTTTTATTAGATCGCTAGAGTTTATTTGTATTTTACGTTTTAAATAAAACCAAGATAGATCATAGCAAGTAATTAAAACAAAACAAAAAAAGAACTATAAGATTAATTCAACAGTATTATGATTAATGCTTCTTTTTGTGTACTCAAAAAGTGAGTACACTCTAGAATCGGTCAATGTGTCCGTCCGGCCGTAGGCACGATAACTTTCGAAAGGAGAGTCAGACCGTGATGAAATTTTCCACACAGTTCAATCTCATGAATATCTCGGTCGAGTTCGAAGATGAGAAGAATCCCTCAAGAAATGGTTGAGTTATCGAAAAAATTGTCATTTTTGACCAGGCCATCCCTGAGGAAGAGTACAGGGAATTTTTTTTCAAAAAATAAATCTTTCTCAGAATTATTCACAACATATATAAATCGACTCAGTTTTTAACGCCGATTCCGAATCTGATATTAGTTTTGAACTAAACCGTACCTTTCTGATGAAACATCGCCTGAAAAACGTCTCAAAATGCACAAAAACTGCATCCAGAAATCAAATTGCCTAGTTTCTCATGATAATTTTGGTGTTCAGACATTCTAGAATGACTCATATGTCCCATGCACTTTTTGCAGTACACATAACTTTCGGATGAAATCCGAAGTTTCCACATTTATTTAAACTGTGTCTGGTTAGTATCCTAGTTAATATTGAAGAAGAAAAAAGGAAGCCATTCAAGTACTATAGTACGATTTAGGCATTTTTCTTTCTTATAAGTGATCTATGCTATAAATTCACTTTTCTGTTTGCATAGCGATATATGCAAAAAAGAAGAATCGTTTTCTAAGGCTCAAAATTAAACGATACTGTGCGAGTCGAGAAGAGTGATAAATCCAATTAAAGCGAATTCATCTTCGATGGAATAATTAAAAACGGCTCTGTGCGGTGTGTCTGCAGGCAGAATCCAATTTTTTATTTATTGTATACTCGTGCAAAGCTAGAAGTCAATTTATTTTCACATATTTATCATGTCAGCTTAGTTTTTAATTGTCACAAAAGACCCATTTAGCATTCAGTATGTAATAATTTATTCTCTATTTATATCCTAGAAGCTTCTGTGATTAATTTTGCAATAGGGAGAAATACGTCATACTAATTCATGTGAATATTAAGTGCATTCAAAAAGATAATTATTCGATATTCACCTGAGAAAATTTCTATTCTGAGATTTAATATGAAATTATTCTTTTCAAAAATATATATTTCTCACGGAATTATTCGATACTGATTGTTTATTTTGTTATCTTATAGTGTCAATCAAACGAATATGTATTAAGAAAAAGCCGGCTAGAAAATCTCTTAATCATGCTTGGATGAGAAACTAAACGCCAAAATATTTGTTTCTAATAATGATATTATTTATTATTGTGTTGTATGAATATCGGAGCAAAAGTTTTTCGGAAACAGATGACAAAATATGCCGACTATTTAAAGTATTAATATGCCAATTCAATTAGACTAATGTTGCTCTTGTTGATACTGTATGCTTTTCGACGAGTCTAGCAGTCAAAACATGGTGAGAGCGGCAACATATTTACTATTATATGCATGACATTCAGCTATTTTTATCATGACATGATCGCTAAAAGTTTTTGCATGACTTGAGAAAATATATTTGGGATTGATTTTCTTTTTGAAAAAAAAAATAACCCATCGTTCTATAATTTAATAATCAAAATATGAAGAAGATTTAATCAATAGAAGATTATTGTGGTCACAAAAATGCAGTGTTAATATAGCTTGTGTCTATAGCTGGTCTAGAACGTCTGCGAAAAAGATTCTTTCTTATTATCAATCGATAAAGCCAATCAATCGACCTTTAATCCATATTGACATGATGACAATAAAGAAAAATCATTTGACATTCCTCGACATGATCTTCATTTTCACATCCATGTTCGAATACAAATAACATAAACCAATTGATAAATATAATACGAAAGTAAACACTTTAGAATATATGGAACATACAAAAGAGAAAAACCAAGATGATTCTCCAAATGCCTCTATCGTTTTCTTCTTCTTCTTCTTCTTCTTCTTCTTCTTTTTCTTTCTGCTTGACTCTTTTCCCCGCATACATATTAATAATGTCTGACGACAGTCGCATCTTCTTTCTCATGACGGTTATCGTTTGTTACACTTCTTTCTTTTTTTACATGACAAGTGACTTCCTCGTATCTTTTTTTTTTAATTATCCGTATGTCATCGTAAAATTATCCGCCTAGTTGACAATGATAATTATGTATGAGGAGCATATAGACAACATCGATGATTTATAATGAACTTCTTCATATAATGATGCAGTATGCCAATAGATAGATATATCTAACTTCTTTTTTTCACTTTTTTTTCAAATCCGCTTACATTCGAATATTTATAAATAAAGTCAACTTTGATTGAAAAAGCTACATTATATTTCCATGGTAGACTACGAAAATTATGTTTTTTCTTATCTTTCTACTTCTTCTTTCTGATTCAATGAACATATTTATTTTTATATCTATATTCATAACGATATAAATATACATGGTATTCCTCACTGCTTGTCAAGAACACTTTAATGACCATATGCACTCGTTCTTTTCATATTAATATTCGTATTCATCAGTAGGATGATGGATTTCTCTAGTTAATCGAGTGGTCCCATGAAACTTAGGGTTCCGAAAGGACGTGTTATTACTCTCATTTTGCATTTTTTGTTCTCCTTGTCTCGTTCGCTGAGTGTTGTTTATGTGCGTGGTCTTGTTTCGTGCGTTTGAAGACAAATCGAATGATCGCTTATGGCATCGTCACAACAACTCTCCATCTAGTTGAATGGATGGAAGAAAAAAGAAATGACAGTAGGACAAGGTTTTTCCTTTTATGTCTTTGAGTTTGAGCTCTTTTTTCTATCGCTCTCATTCAAATACATTCTCTTCTTCTTTTACATTATCTACGAGGAAAATAACTGCAAGATTCTATGATCTATTGATTGTTGTCATTTTGTTTTCTGTGATCAATACGAACTTTCTACGAATCTAATGATAATCATACTCAATGAAATTTCTGTTGAGAATACGATAAAAGAAAATCAGGTGACCCACGCCCATCTTAAGCATTGCGTTTGAATAAAAACTTTGCCTAGCGCAATGTTAGAAATAAACTTAGCTTATGGAAAAAATGTTTTCCGTCCTCTTTTTTGTTTGTTGTAACTTATCAAAGATGTATTGCGTTCTCATTATCTTATTTTATAGATATACAATGGAACAAACTGATGCGACAGCCGCTAGAGATTCTCTAACTCTTGACATTGATCGATTGATGGAAGTTCGAAAAAGTCAAATTAATTTGTTGAGTGCCGCTTCTTCTGAAGTCAACTTCTGTCTGAACGAGGTAAGCTCTTTTCTTTTCTTTTGTACATCAACGAAGTATTCATACGGAGGGAAAGAAAGCGAAAGTTGTTCGAGGTTTGTTTATTTTTTTCTTTTATTAATAAGAATTTATTTTTTTCCCAAATATCATATATAATATGAAAGAGATATATTTTTTGAGGAAACGACGGAGAAATATCATTTATATCCATTGATCGTTGAAGTTTTGTTGTAATTATAAAATAATTTTTCTCCGAAACGCGATAAATATAGAAACTCATTGGTGTCTATGATAATTTGGTTAACTTGATTTTTCTGCATTTAATATATGTCAAGTGTTAAAAGAAATACGGAATTTATGTAAATGTGCGTATAATTTTTCGCATTGTTATTCAGTCAATATTTTACAAGCATAAGTTTGTACTTATCTTTTGTCAATATGCGCATTTCATACTATATATAGATAGATTGATGCTAGATAAAAAAAAATAGAAAAAGAAAAAGAAAGGAGTACACTGATAGTGTGTTTAAAGAAAGTATGCTTTTTATTGTATTTGTATTCGTTTTCCGATGGATCGTTGTATTGACTATGCATTCATCTTTTATAACAAAACCAGATACCTGGGCCGCATGTGATGGCCTAGGTCGCCTATTGCCCACATATGATCAAGTAGGAGATCTACGGCCAGATAAATTTATTGGAATTTTCTATTTTCTCTGGGCTGAAAATGAAGCTGGTTTTAAAACAGGTCCGTATGATGTAACAAAAATTTTGGCAACAGCAGGTGGAAATTTAATTAATGCAACATGGGGACCTTTATATGGCTTTCATCATTGGAGTCAACCATATTTAAATTATTATCTAATGGATGACGAATTTGTTATAAGAAAACATGCACAAATGTTAGCTGATGCTGGTGTTGATACGTTAATTTTAGATGCAACAAATGCATTTACGTATGACAATATTTGGAGTAAAATCGCTAATATTTATATCGATATGAGATTGAAATCTATGCGCACACCAAAATTTTGTTTTATAACATGGTCATCTAGTGAACAGACAGTTCGAAAATTATATGAAAATTTATATAGTCAAAATCTCTATAGAGATTTATGGTTTTTCTGGAATGATAAACCACTTATATTGGCGAATCCAGATGGTTTTCCATCGGATCTATTGAATTTTTTTACTATACGAGAATCATGGGCATGGACAAAAGGTCAAGCGTGGTTTGGTGATGGCCGTAATAAATGGCCATGGATTGATAATTATCCACAAGGACGCGGTCTAAATGAATCTGGTCAACTTGAACAAACATGTGTTACAGTTGCTGGTCATCCTGTTATGAATATTGGACGTTCATTCGATGGTCCAACTCAACATGAACCCGATCAAATTAATCCCATGATTGGTACCTATTTTTCTCAACAATGGGAACAAGCATTAAAAATTGACCCATCATTTATATTTGTTACTGGATGGAATGAATGGATTGCACAACGTTTTGTTCAAACAAGTTCAACTAATTCTTTTATTGGTAAACAATGGCCAATAGGCACAACATTTTTCGTTGATGAATTCATTCAAGAATATTCACGCGATATTGAACCGATGTTTGGAGGACATGGAGATAATTATTACTATCAACTCATAAATTATATTCGTCGTTTTAAAGGTATGACAAAGCCAGATTTACCTTCGGGACCACAAACAATTCGAATCAATGAAGATTTTACACAATGGAATAATATTACACCCTATTATCTCGATGACATATTTGATATTCCATATCGTAATCATCCGCGTTATGGTGATCATGGCGAACAACTTATTGATTATAGTCAAAGAAACGATTTAGAAAGAATGCAAATAGCACGTGATACAACGAATTTCTATTTCTATCTACGCTGTTATGGACCTTGGATCGATGAAAATAGATTTAATTGGTTATTTCTAAATGTTGATAATAATTATTCAACTGGTTGGATTGGTTTTGATTATTTAGTTGATTTAGGTGAAAATCAACTGAAGAAAAACATGAATAATACAAGTAATTGGCAATACGAAGAAACAATACAAATTGTCAATAGTGGATACAATGAATTACATTTTTCTCTGTCCTATCAGTCTCTAAAAATTAACAATACAAAAATTAATTTACAATTTAAATGGTTATCAGCAGATGTTTTATATACATTTGATCCGCTCAATTTTATTGATAAAGGAGATTCAGCACCCAATGGAAGATTCACATATACATATATGATTTAGAATTAGTAAATCAAAAAATAAATATTTCTCTACAAAATGTTGCCAATTTAATATCTAGATTTTTGTTGAGAAAAAAACCAGGGGAATATGCCTGCATGCATGTGTTTTTGATTATGGAATCGAGTAATTTCTTTCTTTTCTTTTTTTATCATCCTACGCATAGACTGTTATCCGTGCGACGTGAACTATGAATGACGTTGAGAACGTGCTCAATGATGAAATCAAAATCTTTTTTTCAGATCACAATTACATTATTAACGATGAGCCGGAAACTACTACTATCATTGCTGACATCGTTGTCGTGCATTGATGAATATGTTATGTTTTTCGTTGCCAACCAGTTGACAGAGAGAAGTTGTTAAAGCGCATATGATCGGTATTAATGCAAAGCTAAAAATTATATTTTTCCTTTCCTAGTAAAATTGAACTAATTTTATGCGATTTTTCTTTTCTTACTGTAAATACGAACATATGCGTATCATTTACTTTTTTTTTCTATGCTTTAGTCTTATTATATATAATAACTTGTTTTTAGTTTTTATCCCGCCATCGCTTGCTAGACTTAATATCGCTTTATTGACAGTTGTTTCCGTTCATCAGTTGGGCGTACGTTTGTCTACAATAATGTTCGCTACTACTATCTTTCTTTGTATGCTATACTTTCCATTTTTTTTTGACTATGCCAATAACGCGAATGCTCGTTGATTGATGGTTCTATTGAGAGATCTTGAGAAGAGTGTGCATACATACGCATGCACACACACACACACACACACACACATTGGCATTAAACAGTACTAGCAGGTTAATGGTGTGTGTAAATGTGGTAATTGAAGCTTTCTTGCTATCTGCCTGTTTCATATGGACCTGTTCGGTTGTTATTTTAGCATGATTTATGCATATCGAGTTATTGTTTCTAGCCCTGTCTTTTCTCTCCTCTTCCCAACTATATATGTGTGTATGTATGCTATATATACATATATAAATATATATCTGCAGTAGTCTTAGAATCTCGTAGCCATTTCGCATGTAACTGGTGTGTATTTTTCAAGATGCAATGACGAGAATGATGACGTGCATATTTTATCTATCTTGAATGTGCGCGCTCTTCGTCGTTTTTCTTTTTTGTATGCGACGTGACGGAAACGATTCAATGCAAGATTTTTTATTTTTTATTTGTTGCGCAAATATAGTGATACAAATTTATTCCTTTTGGTCAGTAAATATATAAATATATGCAGTTTTGATTGATTCTTAAACTCGGTTTATTATCAAAGTTGCAGAAAGAAATATGGTTGACAAGAAAGAAAGAAAGAAAGAAAGAAAGTGGTGGCAGACATGACACAGATGATATAAAAAGTGATAGTAATTGTTATCATATAGAGCATGTATCCTCACAGAGAATCAGACAATAACAGATACGAAATGTATGAGAGAGATAAACAGCGCAAACAACAAGCGAGGAAAAAAGAACTATCAAACGACCTGCTTTACATCTTTTTCTAAAAATAAACATATGATCAACAACAGCATTATCATCATCATCGATTGACTTCATTTTACACCAGCTTACATCTGTTCTGTTTGCCTTGTTTCAATTTTAGAACTTCTAGTGCTATTTTTCTTTCTTTTTTTGTCTACTATCACATAGTATTACTAGGTCTATGTGCTATATAGCACATGCATACCGTCTTTTAAACTTTTGTCTCCGTGGATTTGAGCGCTTCATCGGCGGCTGCCGTTCTTTTCTTCCTCTTATTATTATTATTATTATTATTATTATTATTATTATTATTATTGTTGTTATTATTATTATTATTATTATTATTATTCGTTTTTTTCTTCTACTCTAACTCTCTTTTCTTCTGCATGAGCCTGGCTTCTTTGTCTCAACAAAAATGACGCAAAAACACCATTTTATTCGATCATATATACATGAGGCAACCAACATTAGAATCTTCGATGTGTGTATGTGAGTGTATGTGTGTGCGTGATGTGAATTAGAGAGAGACTGAGAAGGGACAAGATAGACACAGAGAGGAGGGAAAAGATAGAGAGAGAGAGAGAGGGAGAGAGGGAGAGGCAGCGGATCCGCTCGTTTCTGTTATTGCTATTGATGTCGTTGTCGATGAAAACAGCAGAGGATGTGAAAGGGAGGGAAATATCGCTGTTGGTGCTGGTTCTGACTCTGATTGTCCTTCATCTTATTGCTCTTATCCATCTCCTTTTCCTTTTTTTTCTTTTATCTTTTTGTCCTTGTTGCGGATTTATTAATTGTTTTTGTCAGTGCATTATAATACTATTTACTGTGTAGTAAGAAACGTGAAAAATTAAGAGTAAATACACGCTCATTTGTTGCCTTGCTTTGCATTCCATTCTGCATATCATACTGTAGAGTAAAATTCTATATTTGGAGATGATGTCTACACTATTATTAATGGAAACTCGAGATCTCCAACGAAGGTGAACGTATGGACACGGTTATCAATTGCCATTGACGGATCGTCGTCGTTTTAACGACACTTGACGAGACGACCATATCTACCGAGCAATACGCACGATACATGCTAAGCTCGCGACATCAACGAACGCTTTCATCAACAGGTATGAGACATTTACATGTTCACGGAAAAAGCATATATCTTTTATCATAAGCCTGACTTCATCGCAGGAAGTTCATCACAAGATGCGTTCAATGTAATTAAACTCGAGCAAAACGTTGCTCTGTATGTTAGAATTTTAGTCGTTTTTTTTTGGTTTTGTTCTATGAGGCTTTTGCGGTTTCCCATCTGCTCGACATACAATTCAATTAAAATGAAAGTGTGTGCTTGGTCGCTCAATTCATTTTTACATTTTTGTTGTTGGTAAATTTCCTTCAAATTAGTGCACGACACAACATCTCTCACGTTATATTCTTGCACACATAGCTAATCTTGACAATACTTGTTTCTCATGTCATCATTAATTTCACTATATACTTGCTCGTCTTTATTGCGTGTATTGATATCTAAGATTTCGGCCAACTGCTTTCTTTTTTCTCTCTCCATCAGTAATGTCATTTCGTTTCTTTTTTGTTTTGTTGTAGAAAAAAGAGAAGAAGAATGCGCTTAATCTTATGCGGAAGTCGTCAACTATCCTTAGCATAATTTCAGGGTACACTTAGTTCATTAGCTTGCTCCTTTCACTTTCGGATTAAATGAAACTAACAAGTTCTGTCATCTAAAACATGTATGCATTAGTCGTGAATATATATTTAGATAGATCACTTTCTATTTCTTTCATCGGATTGATGAAAAATAGTTAATCGAATTATTCTTCATGGATGATGACGACTAGCAGAGGCGAGAAAAAAGGAATTGTTGAAATCGACTGTGAACGACAGTCGCTCTTGAACATGACAACCTTTTAGACTTTTTTTCTTAAAAAAGAAAAAAGCCCAAGTTTTATTATAAGTATATCTACATGTCGTTTTATGTAAAAATAGAAAGAAAAAAAGAAAGAGAAAGAAAAGAGAAGAGGAATTTACATAAATATATATATATGTATTGTTTCATGTTATTGACGAACCTTCGCATACGTTCAATGTGCCGTCGATATCTACGACGATGATAAAATTAATGGGATTTTTCTTTCTAATTCTCATATTATTTCCTCATTTTTATTCGTAATTAGAATAGAAGAGTCGATTCATAGAAGTATTTATTTAGATATTTATTATATTCTATTGTTTCCTGTTGCAGTTATTTTTTAATGGTTGCAATGAAGCTGAATAAATGAACCAAGTATTAATCAGAAATTGAAGAGCACTTTGAATCAAATGAATGCATATGTGAGAAAGCGAAAACGATCAATTGAGTACATCTCGTCTTTTCTTATACTTCGGTTCTTTCTTCTTTTTTTATTTTTAAATAAAAAATGGCGAAAGAAGGAAATCATATAAGAAGAATAGGAAATATTTCTATTTCTCCACATGTCGAACTGATTGATTGGAGCTAAGAAACAAATTCACGCATAGAAGTATATATATATATATATATATTAATTTATATGTAGTCACATAGATGCACATAATAAATGATGCATTTTGTCGAGTTTCTAAGGAGACATAGAAAAAATAAGGTCAAAACTTCCAGTGTCTTCTACTAAGTATATTAAATGCAAATGCGACTAGAGATGTGTAACATATAGAGACACATAATATGCACATACAAATATGCCATAAGAACGAAAAGTCACTAAGAGAAGAACACAAAAGAAAGACTAGTTTCAGGTTTTCCCGTTTTGTTGCTGTTAGCAATGACAGAACAGAGCAGAAGGGAAAGAAGAAGAATAGAACGGAATGAAAGACAATCGACTGCTTTGCTCAATTCTTTTTCTTTTTCTTCTTCCTCGTCATCGTCGACGTCGTCGCTGTTGTTCTCTCTTTCTCCTTGCTGCTATGCGTCAACCGATAGAGACGTCGTTCTCGTTTAGCTTCGACGATTGTTGAAGGAAAAAACGGAGAACAAGGCTCTAGACTTTTCTCTATGTTTCTCTTGATACTGCGCACAGTGTCGATTGTGTGTTGTTGTACAAATAGTTAATTAAAGCAACTGTTTCTGCTACTTGCTATCACTGTGTCGTTTGCAACCACAATGTTGTAACAAGTGACGACAAAGCGGTGGTCATACGGCCATCATCTTTTCCAATTTTTTTTCGTCGTCTACGATTTCTATTACTAATTTTACAAGTATCATGACAACTGCAACATCACCAAAAGCAACATCTGCTCCAGTAGCCACTATTAATGCTCCCTCCCCAATGGGCAAGGTTTGCGGTTGTATTTCTACTTGATTAATCGATATATTTACATATATTTATCAATTGGCAAAATATGATTGAGCACTAGTTATAGAGTTACTCTGGTTGTAGTATTAATCGTAGTAATAGTTTCTTTATGTAAAAATGATGACGGTAATGCATATTAACGACTCATCTATATATCCGACTGCCTGTCGATTCGTCGACGGCATTTAGTGACATGACAGCAAACGATGCGCACATAGTATCGCAACTTAATTCGTGTAATAAAAAAAGATTGTTTAACGATGTATACAAAAAAAAAGAGAAGCCTGAAGAAAGAGAAAAAAAATCATCCACCGGACATAATGTGCACATTTATTTTTCTCCAGTATGCATTTATTTTTGGAGCACTTTGATCTTGAATATATTTATGTATATCAGGTGTTCTATGACACATACAGAATAAATTCATTGACAAACACTTCTTTTTTTTCTCATGTATTTAGGTATTCATTTGTATGTTTAGAAAATGCCATTGGAGGGAAGCTATGTGGTGTGGAATAATCGTGGCGGTTCGGGCAAAACTAATTTAACTTATCATCTAGCTATCAAATACGCATATAGAAATCCAGATAAAACTGTTCTTGTTGTTGATATGTGTCCACAAGCCGATCTTAGCCATGCTTTTCTTGGTATGAAAATGTTCAAAATAATATTAGAAAGAAAGAAAAAAGATGAAATTAATTACTGTAAGGGCTCATGAAGCCGTCAGTTATTGCATAATATAAAAAAAAATGAAACTAATTTTTAATTGATTGTTATTGTTATTCTTTTACACGTTGTTTTTTTTTAAATTTAATTAGGCGATGATGAGGACGGACATGACTATGTTTCACAAATAGGTTCACTTAAAAAAGATCCTATGATACTTGACGGACAACAACGTATACCACGAACAATATCAGGTTATCTCGATATATATACATCAGTTGGATTACCAAATAATGTTGATCCACGAACATTTTTATTTAACGTATCCAAATTTAACAATCAATTACCTCGTAATGTAAATAAAAGAATTTATTTATAAAAAAAATAAAAGAAAAAAAACAAACAGGAATTCATGTTATTTTCTTTTTGCATTCGAATTAGGTTTATTTATTATGTGGTGATACATCCCTTGAATTACTAGGCAAAGCAATGGATTTAAAACGAAGTTCACATACAATAACTCCTTATGCTAATCCATGGCGTACAATAACACAAAGTTTACGCGCATTTGTGCATAAAATAGGCGAGAGACGTGGAATTAAGTTAATGACATTTATTGATACCAATTCATCATTCAGTATTTGTACTGAAATAGCACTAACAGCTGCAGACCGTCTAATCCTACCTGTCAGTGAAGATCATTTACATCGAAATGGCTTCGAGTATCTTTTTAGGTATTAAAATAAATATGCATTAACAGCAAAAATAGAAACCACCAAAAAAATCTTTTGATTTTCTTTCGTTTTAGTCTTCTTTATGGTTTCTCTCAGCCGTCCAGTATTTATTATTATTATCGTCATTACAGTTTTTATTATCGTGCCGACGAAAATAGTGTTAAATTACCTAAGATACATTTAATTCTATGTAAAGTAGGATCCTCAAGTACAGAATCAAAAATCGGTATTGGTGGTAATGTACCAACCCCCGGCGAAATAGATAAATGTTGGCGTTTTGTTTATGATACATACACAAAACATCGCGATGCATTCGAAATCCGTACATCATCGATATTAGCCACATCACCATCCCATGAAAAAACTTATACGACCGCGCCACGGTTATCATCAATATCATTAACACCATCGTTAATACACGAACAGCATCCATCGTCATTACCAGGTTCCCTAACACCATCAGCAGCCAGTCATTGTCATAATCATATAAATAAGTTGAATAATCAAACGCCACCATATCAAATACAAACATTCGAAGAATTCATGCGACAATACGTAATGCATATTGGAAATGAAGCAAATGTTGTATCGCGTATAGCCGTTATATCACATTCACCATTACTAGCTGTTAAACATCCACATCATTCACATGAATATCAAATATGTGCACAAACTTTCGACAAAACATTGAACGATATTGTAGAACGGATTTGATCATAGAAAAAGGGTTTTCACACAAAAGAAAAAGAAAATCAAAACCATGTGATCCTATTCATTAAAGTCTTCCTTGAGATAGAGTATCTGTTCTTTTTCTTCTCTTTCCTATTTGTACAATAATACGTTTTTTCGTCTTTGTCTATCTATTTTTGTCTTCTTGCTCTGGTAATCATGACACATAAAATGCAACAAAAAGAAAAAGATAACGATTCAGGATCACATAGGTTCATATCTCTCGCTCTCTCTCTCTCTCTATATATATATATATGTGTATGTGTGGTGAGCATAAACAGATTTGTATAGAAATAATGTTTGCTCATCAGCAATATCACTAGTTTCAATTTTTCTTTGTTTACAATATTTTATTTTATTTTTTGTTTTCTTAATTTTCCCTTAAACAACAACAATAACATGCAGTTGATTTATTGCCGAGTGAAAGGATATCCTATATTTGGTAATAAAACGTGATCTATCTGAATAAGCAAGTGTTGTTATCTTTCTCATTCGTTGTAAGATATTTTTTTTGTTATGAAGAGACACGCTGAAAAACAAACACAATTACTCAACAATAGATTTCATCATGCTAACATTTACCAAGAGAGAAAGAAAATAATTGAATTAGTAATTATAATTAAAAAATTATTTATTAGTGGTAATTGAAAATTAATTAGACAAAAGTTTAAATTCAGTTTTCGAACTTGACAAGGAGCTCGACGCTATGGGAAAACGTTGTGATAGAATGTAAAATTTGTATTTTGTTTTTGGGAGAATTTTAATTTAGTGTCAATTGACCTTTGAGAGATCAAACAAATTGAATTAGGATGTATTTCAACGCGCTTGATTTGAGTTAAAGTACAAGTAAATATTATTCTAAATATTTCTCTCTGACAGATCATTGGTCGATGTAAACTGTGTCCATGTTTTCGATATTTATAGAACAAAAAAGGATCATTTTGAAACTGTCCATCTCATATTGCTTCGTTGAGAATACGCTTACCTTTTACCTAATTCAAAAGAAAAAGGTAATATAGTGTATGCAATAAAGAACACGATTGGTCATTTATTTCTTTTGCAAATTTACATTTTTTACCTCTAACAAATCAGCACATAATTTCTAAACCGGAAATCCTTAAAAAAAAACCAATACTACAAATCTGTTCGACAAATATCGAAAAATTCTCATTTGAATATTCAATATTTTCAAATTTCTACAGGTTACTTTAAAAAATGCATAGAACAGTTTTTTTCTTCTAATTGCTTTTCGATCATCCATTGTGAAGAATTTATCGAACAAATTATTCGAAGAATTACAGGCGTTAAGTAACACATTTCTTTTTTCGAGTAGCTCAGCAGATTTGTATTGTAAAGATTAATCAAATAGTTTCGAACTTTACTCATGTTATGTTTGTTATCACATATTTGATTGTACTGACGATAACAAATACGATACTATGTTTCAAACATCGGTAAAAAGAATCGTTTATATCTACATATTCTTGTTGAGAGTTCTTTTGAAGAGACACAAAAAGAAGAGAATGAGTCAACATACGATTCTTTCTTTCTTTTTGGAGAATCTTCAAAAAGAAAAATTGTTTAAGTAAAAATAGAGTGAAAAAGAAAATTATTCTACTGATGGAGTACTCAAGAGAATGTTAGTTGAAGACTATTACATATGAGTAAGCGATGTTAAATGCTTTCATATTCATTAGTAAACCATTCTAAAGACCAATATTAAAGAAAGTTCTACACAAAGAGGTATTTTATCTAAAATAAATTATTTGTGGAAATATAGAGGAGACAAAACATTTTAATTATCAATTGAAATATCGGCATATAATTCTATCTGTTCTATCATATTCGATAGGCCATAAATTACCTTCAACAAGAAAATAATATTTCTAAAATAGCTGTCATAATGAATAATGATATTTTGCATGTTGACATTCAAAAATATCTATTCCTCGACAGTCTACTACTTTATCTATCTTTGGCTGATTCGGGTACAGTTTAACCTGAAAACAATCTTATCTTGATGATATTACTGACAGAATCATCCCTAGTTTTGAGTTACTTAGCCTACGCGCACCACAAAGAATTACATATATATAGATATAGATATGTACAAATGCATGCATATATTTTATCCATAGAAGATAAACGAAGACCTTGAAAATTATTCTACATATCAAGATGATCAGTGTAAGTCTTTGAAAGTAAATTGAAGCACATATAAATATCCTAATATTCCATTGTATTTTATATTGCATAATAATACTTAGCGATGAAAATTTATAAGAGTTATGATGATCGAAATTTGAGTTGATTAGAAATGATCAAAGAAAAAAATTACGTGAGAATATAATTTCATTTTTTTTTCAATAGATTTTATAATCCCTCTTTCATCAACACTTTTTCATCTTCTTTTTCGTTTATCCTTTTGGTTAAATAATCTGTTCGTACAGTTCATTATGTACACGAATATCTATCTATATGTATGTATAACAGTCGCCATTTATTGCTGTTGATCATGACTGTTGTAAAGTAGTGGCGTATCATCATACACCTACTAATTCCTTTTTACAAGGCAATACGACAAGGAAAATGAGATGATGATGATGATCATGGAGATGTGCTAGTCCTTCTTCTCTTTTAAGCTTATGTTCATTACTTAACTGTCGACAAACGGCACGACGTGAAACGAAAAAGAAAAACTAAAATAAATAGTCCTGTTTCGCTCATACATATATATATATATATATATATATATATACATATAATCGATCATATCACAAACGGACTCGAAGGTTGTTAACTATCAACATCGCTTGTTTTACTATTATCACAAAGAATGGTAAGTTCTATTATGCGAACATATAATTGAAAATATACAAGAAGTCATCTGATGATTTCTCCGTGAATCAATGGACAATAGAATTTCGTATACTTTGTAATTGAAGAGCATTGAACATATTCAGATCAAGTTGAAGATCTTAGGGACAAAAGAGCATCTTTTTAAAATGAATCACTGATGAGTTGCATGGATTTTAATATCTATAGTGAATGTCATAGGCCAATAAATCAAAAGGTTCGATTGAATCTATGAATTGTTGTGTTTTATTAGAACCTGTAAAATTATAAACTGTCGAAAGATAAAAACATAACGAGTAAACCCCACAGTATCATTATATTTGAATAAGTATAAAAATAGACCTATCATTTTTTTTTGCGGTTAAATGAGATTTGCTCTGACCTGTTTCGATGTGCTCTATTTAACCATGACGAAAAAAAGTTAGAATTATTGACATGGCATACATTAGAGAGATATTTTTCAATAGAATATACATAGATAAACTCCATCTTTATAACTTTTACCAATGACACCTTTTTATTTGGTCTTGATATGTTCAAAATACTTTTATTTTACAACATATTGATTATATCGTAGCTCTCTATGAATTAATTGATAATGTTCATAGATTAAAAAGGTATTATTGAGTTTTTAAACATTAGCTGTAGTTGTATTATTATGTAGTTAACATATGACGTCGAAAGATTTTGAAGTTGAAGGCTTTAAAACAAAACGAAACTTCACGTATACATATACAATTTTTGTCATTATCGGTTTCACTTTCCATTGATTGTTTTAATCTAATCTCAAATAGTGTTTCGCTATTTCCTTTCTTTTATCATCATTAAACTGAAGTAAAATAGCTATACTCCTTCTTTAATCCAGCGCCCCTCGAATTGTCCTTTATAAAATTGAAATTACAACAAAACGAAGACTAACAGATGTCATGATAATACTTCTTTTTCTTTTCGACTATTGCGTATTGTTCAAGGATTATATTATCACCATCATTTTGTATATTTATACGTACAAATGAAAGAGAAGACAAAAAGTAGAAAAGCAGAGAAGGAGAGAGAAAGAGAAAGAGAAAGAGAAAGAAAGAGAGAGAGAGAGAGAGAGAGAGAGAGGGAGAACATATACGGAAGAGATGTACCTTCAACTTTGTAACAAACAGAATAGTGATATACCAACAGGTAAATAGCAATCTCTACCAAAGACGTAAAGCTATAGAAAAGGATATAAAATAGAGGAAATAAACGTCAATTTACTGAATATTACTTTTTCGAAGATAAAGTAAATTTTTGAATTTCCTTAGCAACATGGTAAGTAAAAATTAATAGCTAATTAATTTTATTATTTATGTTAATTTTTTGTATAGATTCTCTGGTGGTTATCTTTATTTATAATTTACATTATTTCGTTTACTGTTGCTAATCCAACAAATTTTACTATTGAACCGCGTCATATTCCAGGTTTGTCAATTGAACTTTTTTCGAATAGTGCTTTATTTGTCTAGTTCATGAAAAAAAACAAAAAAGAATTCTTCCATGATGAGAATATTTACATGAATTGTTATTGTAGTACGTTTTTTTACACCCGTCATTGCACCAAGTTTAGCAAGTCGGTGTTTTGGATGTCTTGTACCGTCATCTGACTGTACAGTACCTTGTTCGAGTCCTCAGCGTTGTTTTATACGTGGGCCAACATCATTCCATCCAGGTTGGAATAATTAGATATAGATTAATGCTTTTTTCTAGACGCTTCATCGCCGCTGTCAGGCCGTTCGGCTATTGCCATCGTAGAAGAGGACAAACGGTGTTTTGCATGCACGAGTTTTCCACATACGAGCATTGCCAGTCGATGCATCGTGCCTTGTCACTATAATCAGCGATGCTATTTGAAAGCTGCCCATGCCAATGCAACGCGTAAGCTTAAATGAATGTTTGGCTTTCCGCTTTTTTAATTAGCATGAAAGCGTGAAAGATAAAAGAGGCAATGTGAAAAACGATGTGATTGAAATTATGTTCTTTTTTTTCGTTTTAAAGTAAATGATCGTCGTTGTACTGACGAACGATGGGTACGCGATTTACTTGTCGACGGTTGTCTGACATACAATAGCCTTTATTGGTGTATGTGTTCAACTGATTTATGTAATTCCGGTGATTTCAATTCTATTCGTGGTATGTAAAAGACTATGATTAGACAGTAATCATTTAAGAAGCATCATTGTGATAAAAAATATACATATATATAACAAAATAAGCTTTTGTAAATTAGGTTTCGATGATTGTTCAACTAATCCTTGTCCGCCGAGCACTATCTGTCTTGATACAAAAGATGGCTTCAGTTGTATATGTCCACCATGGCAAGAAGATTGCACTTATTGTAAGAAAAATTTTAACATATATAATCGTATTAAAAAAAAATATTGTTGTATTTGTTTTAGCTTTTAGTGTCGGTTGTACGTGTAAGAATGGTGGCAGATGTATTATGGGTCTTGGAACATATATTTGTGAATGTCCATATGGTTACAATGGAGTCAATTGTGAGACACGTAAGTTATTATTGAATACAGCTGTTCAAATATGAATTATGACTACAAAACATTTTGTTTAAAGACAGAGAAATTTTTAGTTGATTCACATAGGATACTCGAGTATCTAGTAAACTAAAACATTTTTGTTTTTACACATCCACAGGAATCAAGACACAAGCATTAGTTGAACGTAAGCAGCATGAAAAAAAAGATTTCTTTTGTTTGTGTCCGTCTGTTCAGTTGAATCTCTTTATGTTGAAATCTTTTTTCTAAGGAATTCGTCGCCAAAGTTATTCGCCATCATCTTGTTACACTCGATGTGAACGGCGAACATGTACTTATCGTCAGTCAGGATACGGCATGGCACCATTGAGTTGTACATGTGATCAGCCTAGTCGTTATTCGAGCGGTAGCAATAACTGTAACATGCGTATGTTATACTAGAAAAAAACGTCTAAATCAGATGTGGCTGAGTACAAAAAAAAACATTTAGAACGAGCTCCACAACCCTATGTAGTTTGCAATCCAAATCCTTGCCGATATGGACAATCATGTTATTCATTAACATCATACAGTTTCTACTGTACATGTCAAATAACTTATATAGGTCCTCTGTGTGAACGATGTTAGTAAAAATCATCATTTGTTTTTACATTTTATCAGTTTAACTAAAATAATTATTTTTCAATATCAGCAAATCCTTGTGCGCATAATCCGTGTTCTCATGATCAAAGATGTATTGTTAATGCTCAAAAGAGAGCTAGTTGTGTATGTAATACACCTTACTGTCAACGTCGTAAGAAGATATATACATATATATGTGATTTGTACATTTCTACAGCATTTTTTCCCTTAATTCCATTTGTATGCATGTATTGTTATGAATATGTTTTTTGTTTCACCTGCTTATACAGGAGACATCTGTATTCCAAATCCCTGCATGAATGGTGGTACATGTCAATTGCAAGGCGTGCTCAGCTTTACATGTCAATGTCGCCCAGGTTTTCACGGATTAACTTGTCAGATATGTAAGTATTTTATAGAACACAAGAGAAATGTTGTCGATTGCACGAGCTTATGAATGACAGTGTTGACATATAGCGTTTATTGTTTATATCTTAATTTATTTTAAACTCATATATTAGGTGATGCTTGTACTCCAAATCCATGTCTAAATGGAGGATCATGTATTTTTGATGAATCAACAGGATCTTTCCGTTGTTATTGTCCAGCTGGATATACTGGACGTACGTGTGATGTTGGTAAGTTTGTTTTTATTTCTCTACTGAAGAGCATCGATTATGAAAGAATGTATGAGTATGCCATATACATTATTGTTCTAGGAAATGCTATTACTACTGCTTCTCCTAATCCATGTTTACCAAATCCATGTCGTAATGGTGGAACTTGTCAGCCCAATAATGTAGGAAGTTTTATGTGTTCATGTCCAACTGGTTATCAAGGCATTTGTTGTGAAACTCGTAAGTTTGATAGGAAAATATTCTTCTTTTTTTTCCAAAACTTGCAACAAAATTCATAGTTTTGGATCCCTGTACGCCAAGTCCATGTCAAAACAGTGGCATCTGTATGGCAAGTGGAACTAACTTTTTCTGCTCATGCCAAGGCGGATCTTCCGGTCAAAATTGTGAAATACGTAAGTATTCTAGTAGCCTGATCAACTTTATTTTTATTTTTTGTATCGTCGCCTATCTTAATCATATATTATCTTTATAATACTAGGTGATCCTTGCATACAAAATCCTTGTCTTAATGGTGGTCAATGCAGACCTAATGGAATGGGAGGTTTCATATGTATGTGTATGCTTCCATTTTCTGGCCAACGATGTGAAGATCGTAAGTTAATTTATTCATATCATTCATACTCATAGACTGCTTCATGTTATTTTATCTAGGTATAGATCCATGTGCTAATCAACCATGTCGAAATGGAGGTACTTGTCAACCAACTAATGGCAATTCTTATCAATGCATCTGTCCACCTGGTTATTCAGGTTNGGAATGGGAGGTTTCATATGTATGTGTATGCTTCCATTTTCTGGCCAACGATGTGAAGATCGTAAGTTAATTTATTCATATCATTCATACTCATAGACTGCTTCATGTTATTTTATCTAGGTATAGATCCATGTGCTAATCAACCATGTCGAAATGGAGGTACTTGTCAACCAACTAATGGCAATTCTTATCAATGCATCTGTCCACCTGGTTATTCAGGTTTCGATTGTTCGACACGTACGTTTTATACAATTTGAAAACAATGAAATTGAAACAAATAATTGAATATTTAGGTGATCCTTGCTCTCAAAATCCATGTATGAATGGTGGTCAGTGTTATCCAACTAATGCTGGAGGATTTAGCTGTCAATGTCCTTCGGGTTTCAATGGTCAACAATGTGAAGATCGTAAGCATATTGTTTTTTTGCTAAATGACTGCATGATCTTATTGTTATACTGCGGTTAGGTGATCCTTGTGCTTCTCAACCATGCATGAATCAGGGCACTTGTATGAGAGAAAATGGTGGTTTTCATTGTGCATGTCCACCAGGATATTCAGGAAGTCGATGTGAAATTCAAGATCCATGCCAAAATAATCCATGCATGAATGGTGCTACATGTCAATCTACTAACGGGAATGTTGGTTATCAATGTCTATGCCCTAGTGGTTTCAGTGGACTACGTTGTGAGACAAGTGCGTTCTTTTGTTTAGAAATGAGTTTTCGTCTTTGCCAATATTGAAGTCATTGTAGAAATAGTGAGGATGATAATATCTTATGCTTTGATCAGAGTTTCAACGAGATATAAACCATATCACTAGTTGTTTGGTACATTCGAAAGCTCAATTTATTTATTAGGAGATGCATGTATCCCGAACCCTTGTATGAATGGTGCAATGTGTGTTGCGAACGGCTTTGGTGGATTTACTTGTCAATGTTCTCCAGGATTCAGTGGTCCACGATGTGAAGATCGTAAGTAGAACACACGGTTAAGTTCTTGCATGTTTTATCGTTTTGATGTCATATTAGGTGACCCTTGTGCTTCTGTGCCATGCATGAATCAAGGCACTTGTATGAGAGAAAATGGTGGTTTTCGTTGTGTATGTCCACCAGGTTATTCTGGAAACCTATGCGAAATTCAAGATGCATGCCAGAGTAATCCTTGTATGAATGGTGGTACTTGTCAACCTTCTAATGGAAATTTGGGTTTTCAGTGTATATGTTCCACTGGTTTCAGTGGTCTCTACTGTGAAACTAGTACGCATACTGCATACGTCTAATGATTGATAGGCTGATTCTTGAGTGATTCATTGTAATGTGATGTTCTGTTTTTAAAGGGGACCCATGTGCTCAAAATCCTTGTCTAAATGGTGGACAATGTTTTCCAACTAATGTTGGCGGATTTTATTGTCGATGTCCTCCGGGATTAAGTGGTGAACGATGTGAAGATCGTAAGTAGAATAGAATGCTCAGAAACTGCACTATGCTTATTTTTAAATATAACTAGGTGATCCATGCAGTCAAAATCCGTGTATGAATGGTGGTCAGTGTTTCCCAACGAATATTGGAGGATTTACTTGTCAATGTCCAGTTGGATTCAATGGTCAACGTTGTGAAGATCGTGAGTATATCATATTGTTCAAAACTGATGTTCTTATATTTAAGTGTTTTCGTGATATAAGGTGATCCTTGTGCTCAAAATCCATGTATGAATGGTGGACAATGTTTTGTAAATAACATTGGAGGATTCACTTGCCGATGCCCTTCTGGATTCAGTGGCCAACGATGTGAAGATCGTAAGTATATGATATTGCTAAGTAACTGCATGATCTTATTGCCATACTGCGATTAGGTGATCCTTGTGCTTCTCAACCTTGCATGAATCAAGGCACTTGTATTAGTGAAAATGGTGGCTTTCGTTGTGTATGTCCAGCAGGATATTCTGGAAGTCGATGTGAAACTCGAGATGCATGCCAAAGTAATCCGTGCATGAATGGTGGCATTTGTCAGCCAACAAACGGAAATATTGGTTATCAATGTATATGCCCGTCTGGTTTCAGTGGTCCCCTTTGTGAAACTAGTACGCTTGCATCATGTTCTTCTTCACTTTTGAATGAATGCATAATTGATATGTACGTAAGTTTTGCTTTTCTTATAGGAGATGCGTGTGCGCAAAATCCTTGCTTGAATGGTGGTCAATGTATGTCGACTGGGATCGGTGGTTTTACCTGCGTGTGTGTTGCTCCTTATACGGGCCAACGATGTGAAGATTGTAAGTTTGAGAGAATGCTATAAATATCGTAACATTGCTATGACACTGCATTTATTTAAGCAAATCCATGCTCGAATAACCCGTGTGGTGATAATGGACAGTGCATTCAGAGTGGTGGAGGCTTCTATTGTGAATGTAATCTTGGCTTTTTTGGAAATCTATGCGAGCGTAAGTTTCAAATGTATTTTTATATTTCGTGGCTTGCAATATTTAATTCGCATGATATCAGGGCTTGTATGCACGCCTAATCCCTGCACGAATGGTGGCACATGTGAAGCTCGTCCTAATGGTGTCTTTCATTGCAACTGTCCACCTGATTTTGAAGGGCAACGCTGTGAATTTCGTATGTGTGCTTTAAAAATGATAGAGTCAAATAAAACCGATGAAATTTAATGCTGTTTAATTGTATAGGTAAAGTTTGTGAACCAAATCCATGTGTCAATGGAGGAACATGTAGTCCATATGGTCTTGATACTTATTCGTGTAATTGCCCATTTGGTTATACTGGTAGAAATTGTGAAAGCGGTAAGTAGCATGTCATATTTTGTTTTAAAAAATAAATCGGTATTCTGTATTTTTGTTAAGTTGATCCGTGTATTCCCAGTCCATGTGAAAATGGTGGTCAGTGCAGATCAACTGTAGGCTCCAGCAGTTATGTTTGCGATTGTCCACCTACTTTCATTGGTCAAAATTGTGATATGCGTAAGTTATTAGAAGAATGACGAACAAGCAATCTTGATACGAATTAAAATTGTTTCCGTTTTTAACGAGTTGAAGTAGAAAAAGTCACTACCAGTAAAATATTTTCTACAAGAAACAAGTTTCTTTACTATTTGTTTTCCATATTTACCCCTAAATTTTTCCTACTTTTAATTGAGAAATCAATAAAAAAAGAGACATCAAATATTATGCTGCATTCATATTTATCATACTTTTTTTAGGTGAAATCTGCTCTACAAATCCATGTCTTAATGGTGGTCAATGTACTGCTAACAGTATTGGAGGCTTTACATGTATGTGTATCTCGCCATTTACAGGACAACGATGTGAAGATCGTAAGTTAATTTATTCATATCATTCATACACATAGACTGTTTCATGTTATTTTATCTAGGTATAGATCCATGTGCTAATCAACCATGTCGAAATGGAGGTACTTGTCAACCAACTAATGGCAATTCTTATCAATGCATCTGTCCACCTGGTTATTCAGGTTTCGATTGTTCGACACGTACGTTTTATACAATTTGAAAACAATGAAATTGAAACAAATAATTGAATATTTAGGTGATCCTTGCTCTCAAAATCCATGTATGAATGGTGGTCAGTGTTATCCAACTAATGCTGGAGGATTTAGCTGTCAATGTCCTTCGGGTTTCAATGGTCAACGATGTGAAGATCGTAAGCATATTGTTTTTTTTGCTAAATGACTGCATGATCTTATTGTTATACTGCGGTTAGGTGATCCTTGTTCTCAAAATCCATGTATGAACGGTGGCCAATGTTATCCAACTAATGCTGGAGGATTCACCTGTCAATGTCCTTCGGATTTCAATGGTCAACGATGTGAAGATCGTAAGCATATTGGATTTTTGCTAAATGACTGCATGATCTTATTGCTATACTGCGATTAGGTGATCCTTGTTCTCAAAATCCATGCCTGAACGGTGGACAATGTTTGGCAAATAATATTGGTGGATTTGCATGTCAGTGTCCTTCGGGTTTCAATGGCCCACGTTGTGAAGATCGTAAGAATGACATATAGTTAAGGAATTGCATGCTTTTTTAGCTTTGATATCATATTAGATGAACCTTGTACTTCTCTGCCATGCATGAATCAAGGCACGTGCGTGAGAGAAAATGGTGGCTTTCGCTGTGCATGTGCATCAGGATATTCAGGAAATCTTTGTGAAATTCAAGATGCATGTCAAATTAGTCCTTGCATGAATGGTGGCATATGTCAGCCTGCTAACAGCAACATTGGCTATCAATGTACTTGTTCCGCTGGTTTCACAGGTTTACAATGTGAAAGACGTAAGATAGCTACACAGTGCTTGGAAGTTTTTCTACGTGAAATATGATATATCCAACATTGGAAAATTTTTGAAGTCTGTGATTCACGAAATATATTTGATCTATTTAGGAAATGTATGCACACCAAATCCATGTCTTAATGGTGCTACATGTGTACCAAATATAATGGGTGGTTTTACATGTGAATGCGCTGGCAGTTTTACTGGATTACGATGTGAAGATCAAGATGGTTGTTCGAGTCAACCATGTAAAAATCGTGGCGTTTGTGTTAATTTAGCTGGTGGCTCATACGAATGTCAATGTCGTACAGGTTTTGAAGGACCTACTTGTGAACAAAGTTAGTGTAAATCAATATTGTTAGAATCATATTGAATTTGTTTAATCTTAGTGGATATTTGTGGTGTAAAAAATCCATGCATTTGTGGTACATGTCAAAATGATCCATACAATCCACAAGGTTTTCGTTGTTTCTGTCCACCTGGTTATTCTGGTAGTCGATGTGAAAAATGTAAAACTTCTTAATATTTGAATTTTGTTTTTATTAGAAACATTGATATTTCTTGTGTTTCAGTTCTAAATTGTTTGGATGCTGGAGAAGAATGTATGAATGGCGGTACATGTATGCAACGTCCACTTGGTGATCATGCTTGTTCATGTCCTTATCCGTATTGTGGTCTTCGTTGTCAATCGCAGCGACCTTCGTGTGGTATATAGATAAAAATAACATTTAAAAATATCTTCAACATATTTTTTCTTTCTTTCTAGGAATAATGCATACACTTGCCCCAGCTACAACACCTTCAAATGGCGTTTCGGTATGTTCTGCAAGTCAATGTAATAATCATGGTATTTGTCATGAAGCTGGTTATGGAAAAGGCATTCAATGCTACTGTTCAACAGGCTGGTCTGGTTCACGTTGTCAATATAGTAAGTCTAAGTTTTAATCGATTTTGAAAACAAAAACAAAAACAAATATGTATGATATATTTCAATAAAACTAAATGAATAGGTTTATCCTGTAAAGATATTCATCAATGTAGAAATGGCGGAGTTTGTCGCGAATTAACAGAGGACATCAGTATCTGTCATTGTTCAGCACAGTTTTGGGGAGAACGATGCGAGTAAGCTAATAATAGCATGGTTTTTTCAGTCCCCGTTTGTCCTTGATTATCACAATTGTTGAATTAATTGCTTAAACTCATTGATCAACCGTTTATATTGTTTTAGGTATGCGTATGAATCTGGGTCAGGAACAGGTTTCCACGAACAGCAGCAACAGTACACTTCTAACCAGTACAATCACATTGATCCGTCGGCAGCGAACTTAGTGAAAAAGAGTGTATCAAACAAAACAAAAAAACGTAAACAAGCCAACAAAATTTAATTGTGTTATGAAATTATATTAGCTTCTCTGTATGCAAATAGTCTGTTGTTGTTCCTCCTTTTTTCTTTTGCTCAGAACAGTATATAGCTCTTTACCCATTATTATCTTCAGTTGTTTTTTTCTCTATTAAACAATATTGAATAAATAAATAGAGTAATCTTTGCTAAAAGAATTGTTTTATCGAAAAAAAAAACTAATAAATATCGACATATTTATTCGAAAGAAACAAGAGGAAAATGAATATTGTCCAAATCATTTGTTTTTTAAATTTTTTAATCGAAAATAAAACTAAACGATGAGCATTGTTTTTAATAGTTAAAAATATTTCTTATAAACATAAAGACAATTGCAGCATTGTGATATAAAATCATAATCATGAATAAAGCAGTTCTGTTTGAACTCATGTGTCGACTAAAATTAAAAAATATGAAAGTAACTTGTATTCTATTACACAAATATACCCATCAATAGTGTTTGAATTCTCAATATAAAAATCTAATTACTCATGTCTTCTGAGGTGAATTAGCCACTATGGTTCTAATAACGTATAATAAGCAAAGCGAATCGTGTTTTACCTGCCCGTGTTTGTGCTATCATTTAATCCCTATAGAAAGAAATTAATAGTTGACTATTTCAAATTAGTTCGAGAGGATCTCACAGAAAGTGATGCTTGTAACTCCTGAATCATGGTTGCAGTTGGATTTTCGTCATTTGTGTCTAGATGAGTTATCGTACGTGCGAGATTGTCCCAATCTTCAAGTATCATATTTTGAAATGAGTAGCTGACAGATATATTGTAATAGGAATATGTTTTAGAGCTTTCTTTGCCAATGGCATGACGAATCATTTTTTCACAATCGATCGTTTTACAGGCATCAAACATCAGTTCAAATACATGTTTACTTTGACAATATTTATCTACATAGTCTGTCATTGTTCGGATGATATCCGATTGACCTATTTTCAATCGAATAGCTTCTCGAAACCAGATAACCATCTGTGGATTTAATTTTTCGTATTTGTCAATAAAACTGAACAAAATTAAAAAAAAAATTTTTATTGAATTATTTTAATATCATCCTAGGCTTACTCTTGTCGTTTTTGCAAAGCATCAAGATATCGATTATAAGATACATTACATTCATTATTTTCTTTCATAACATCTACCGGATCGAGAGCTTGATGTTGAACACTAGAACACAAAAAAAGCAAAACTCATCGTTTCTTATAAAAAGTAGAACGCTATAATAATGAACCAAGAATGTAAAAATTTATCCATGTGATGACCTTGATTAGGATCATGATCAAAAAAGGCTAAATATTCATTGAATATATCAGACGTTTTTATTGATGTACAGCAAACTTTAAACACATGTGCACTATGTGCATAATGATTAACCATTGGATGATCGAGCTTAATTATATAGTAAGTTAACGTATTTCTTATATGATTTATATCTTTTTCAAGTTGATCTTCAGGTACCGGTTTATTGTCGAATTTCTCCTGAATGTTCTTTTTCACTTGATCAGCAACTTTATTCCAAGCATTCTAAAAATAGGACTATTGATGCTTAATCAAATTTAATATTCAACAAGATTAAAATTATGGAAATTGCGTATTGCGATAGGAATCTTGTACATGAGTTTCAATGGGAAATCGTTCATATTTTTTCTTTTGAATTTATTAAATTCAATTCTGAAAATACGAAAGAATATTTAAGCTTAAAATATACTCGTACTTTGACGGGAACCAATAAACTTAAAGTTTTCTGTTGAAATGGTAGACTTATTTCCTTATTATATTTATCATAGCGTTCTTGGCCGAGTGAATAATCAACGAATAATGAACGATAATATATTTCACAATCGACTAATTGAGATGGTTTCCATAGTAGAATAATAGCAGAATCACATTTGCCATATATTTCATTATCATAGTTATCAACAACATTCGTTACATCGATTGTTTGTGAAATTGCTTGATCTAACAGTTGCATTGCAATATTAGAATCTCTACTGTCGTTTTCCGAATACAAATCGGTAAATCTGTTAGAGAAAAACAAATTATATTTATAAATTGGTCCATTGAGAAATAAATATTTTATGTATCAGTTTACATCAATTAAGTTCAAGAGACAATCGAATTGATTCTGAGTAAAAACTTTGCAAAAAAACAATTTACTTCTCATTTTAAAACTATTATTTTTGAAAGTATGGTCTAGGATGTAAATTTACCGTTTGGTTAAATGTCGAGCCTTGTCTAGCTTTCGCAAATCAAGGTCACATGCCATTTTTGTGGAATTAATCAGTTGATCAACACATTCTTGAATTATTTCCGTTTGTTCATCCAATAAGCCGTATGCATCTACAAATCTTTTTAACAGAACCCTATCGGAACTGTCAGTCAGTTCACAGCATGTCAAAAACGCACGGGCACGTTGATGATGTTCTTCGAAAATAGGTTGAAAACTTATTGATACAAATGGATTAAATTGTTGAGCGATAGTTTCAGTATCAACTCTGATCATCTCTTCGGCTATTGTCAATGGAACTATAAGAAGTAAAATACATTTAGCAGAAACGAAATCAGTCTCATTAAAATTTTGGTCTCGGCAACAGGGAATTGAAACAATAAATTTCGATAGACTATTCTCAATGTTAAGCGTATGAAACGGAACATTTTCATTAAAAAATATTGTGTTCAAGTCTTTCGAGTAAAATTAAAGTCACTAGTATTGGAATTCAACATGAATGCATACTACTCATTTTTTGCATAGCCACATACTTTGTATTGAAGTATGCATTTCATCGGTTGACATTGTATTTTCTGTCATGTCTTGTGACAATGTTGATGTGTATTCAGTAGAATCTACATTACCAAAGAGTATATATAATCCTCAATCATCATCATTATCATCATTAATGTTTTTGATAGTCTTATTTACTTTGATTTGAATCGATTTTGAGTTGAACTTGAAATGCTGATACACTATCAGTAGTATCGATTGCGTATGTATCTAACGAAGAACAAATTTCAATTGGTAACATCTCTATTATCGATATTTGTACCTGTCCGTTGCGGTACTCGATCTGCTGAATAAAGTTTCTTAGAAAACGAATCTGTAGAATAGTTGTCTGTGGAAGACGATTCTGTTGGGTGGCGTCTTGTAGAAGCGATTGCTGTTGAAAGATTTTTATCAGTCAGTCCTATCGAAAGATTTTTTCTAGCAATCGAAGCTGTTAAGTGATTATCAAGAATCATTGGATCTGTTGAGAAATTTTCAGGTAATACATCATAAATCGGAAGCGCTGCTCTACCTTCAATATATATTATGTAAATAATAAAGGTTAGGCTTTCTTTTTTCTTTCGCTTTTTGTTACCCGCATTGTTAATATCGTTTTCATCTGGAATCAGTAATCCATTCGCTGTCGGGATCATTTGTAAACACCATATGAATACAGTGGAGGATGTAAGAAAAAATATTAAACATGGCATGACAACAGATAAGAGCAGACACGCTAATAATACTATATCAGTAAGGCAAATAATTTAAGAGAATAAACACTATTAGTTGAATATTAGTTGATAAACACAGCAGTGATTCATACAAATGAATATACAATGAACTTTTTGTTGTTAAAGAACGATCTTGGTGACGAAATTAAGCGCTTAAAAAATCTCTTAGTTTTAATAATATTGTATTTATTTGTAAAAATCCAAATATCATTGAAAATTCTCATTCAATATCGTGGGCTGCAAAATAAATGAAAATCTCCTCTATTGTATTACATCGATAATCAGATCTTGAAATATTTCCTGTACTGTTCATACTGTTTTTAATCACTAGATAAAATGTTAAGCCTATTTTTTTGTTTAGTGGAAAAGACCATGCACAGTTTTATTGAGCAAATACTACGAGACTATAAAAGTAACAAAGTGATAATATAGAATATAATACAAAACAAACCCGAGCTGGTTCCATCCTAATTACATCTGACAATATTATCAATTTGAAAAAAAAATGCATTAACAAAAAAAAAGAATTGTCAATAAACATGTATATACACAAAAATAAGAATTCCGATCTACTTTTAAATGGCACCAAATTCAGTTATCAAAACATGATCATTAAATGATGTTGGTTGCTGCTGCTGTTGTTGTGGTGGTGGTTGTTGTTGTTCAGGTAATGGTTGCTGTTGTAATGAAAGAGGTGAAGAAATGATGGATGGACGTAAGCGATGTCGACGCATTGAGCTATGAATATTTTGATTAATATTTTGATTTGGATGTACAAGAAATGATTGTGTTGATGAACATCGACGTTGATTTACTGTAGGCGATGAAACATCATGCAGAGAATGTTGAAGACCTAGAATATGTAATGAAGTTGAAGTCATTCTTTTTCTTTTGACTCGATTTTAAGGCGATGGCAATGTGAAATTTATTTTTAAGGCTTGTTTTATAGTGAAACTTGGGTTGAAATATTCTACACCAGAATTATTTGACCATCATGACATCGATTAAATGAAATTTATATGATCAAATATAGAATCTTAGTTGCCATGTGAACTGGTGCAAATTTTAGATAATCGAATCTTTACTTTTCTTAATTTCAGACAAGTTCTTATGAACAAATATAATTCTTTAAAAATATTTTGATTCGTATTGGTGCGTTTTAAATAAAATCAATGTGCAAAATTTAGTTACGTGCATATATCTTTTTCTTACTTGCGCAATTCATATTCTGTATGATTTAGTTTATAAAATATAAAAATAATGAATGATGGAACAATGAATCTACCTGGTGAATCTCGAATTGGACGGAATGGTGATTGACGATGATTATTTAAAATCTAGAAGAAAAAAAAAATAACATTTCATAGGTTCTAAATATCACTGAAATATATTTCAACTTACAAATTCTGTTGCTTTTGATGGTAATGTAGCACGAATTGGACTAGAAATAAAGATGATAAATTTAGTATAATTGCTTGCTTTTAGTTGCTTACGTTGATGACTTAGCCATCGCTGCAGACTCATCAATGGCCCGAGTTGGATCTTCTTCTTCTATAAAAAAAAAAGATTAATATTGAATATTTCTGTTTGTCAAAATTGATAAATACCTTTGGATGATGAATCAGCTAGACTATCTGTCGATTGATGATGCTGATTTGTTTCTATGAGACAGAAGTAGAAAAAACCATGGTGAAAATACGTATGTATTTTTACAAATCTTCTTTATACCTTGTTGTTTCTTTTTTAATAGATCTGAAATAGGCGTTTGATATTGGCGTGCAGAGGTTAAACTCGATGAAATAACATCTGGTGCTAGATTAGTCTCAAACACATTAAATTACTTCGATTTCAATTCTTTGTCTCTTACTTGTCGATCGTGCATGAGATAATGGTGTACCATTGTTGTCAACTGAGGACAATGATGGGCTCATTGCGCGTTCAATTGAATCTCCAAGATAAAGTTGCCCATCAGCTGATGATGTACGTTGCCGACGATTAGCCAAACGATCGAGAATATGTCGAGTTTTTCGTGAAACAGATTGAATAAGACCACGAGATCTATTTACAGACATTCAGTGAAAGTTTGCCGTTATCAAGCATGCCAATTAATTAGGAAAGATTTATTTCGTAAGAAACCTGTGACTCAAATGTTCAATAATCAAATCTGTCTACAAACAACAGCCCGCCCTTCATCCGTTTAAATCGCTTCGTCAGCTATTTTTAGTATTAGAAGTTTACAACTTCGAGAACAGACCTCTCATTTTATGGGCAGCTTCTAATTAAATTTCAAGATGTGATATTTGAAGTTATCATGAAAACCATCGAGCTGTCTAGACATCAGTACGTTCGCGAGACTAACTGTTCTGTACAAGGAAACAATTTATTTTCTAACTAAACTTGAACTAAAGAAATCGTTGCTGAATTCATAGTGTCAATGTATCTGAACTGATGAGTTTTTGCTTATGATCAGAATTTATTGCCATGGACAGCTGTGAGCTCAACGTTGTAGAGCATTATTTAAACGAGAACAACCACTAAAATTTACACACATTTCTACACTACTTCATAACTAGAATGATATCTTAATTTTTTCACTTTGCCCTATAATTTACTTGAATGAATGCTTACCGGCGTGGTTTATGGATAGGCATATTTTTATATTGTTCCATAATTTTCATTTCAAGCAGTTCTTTTTGTCTCATTAATGAATGAAGTTGTTCTCTAAAACACAAAAATAACAATGAAGAAATCTTTCCTAATCATACTAATGAAATTTTTTCAATACTTACAAATAACCTCGGGCTTCTTCGTGAAATAGATCTTTATTACTTAATGCTTGTGTAAGAACATTTTGATTTTGTAGTACAAGATTATGCAATTGCTCAATTAATTGGCTTTTTTCTTCTTCGGCTCGTTCAGTTTGCTGTTCAAGAAACTTTAAATAGAAAATAAAATCTTTTGACAAAGAAAACAAATCTTTAAGAAAACAAACTTCATATCTCATTATTAAATTTGTATACTCAGCATTAATACTTGTATATTTCATTTGTATTGTAGCTAAATCACTTCTTGATTTACTCAATTCCAATTTAGTTTCATCTAATTGTTGTTTTAGATTTTGATTCATATTCATTGTATCTTGCAAATCATCTGTTCGTGATTGATATTGTTGTTGTAATAATACATACTGTTCATCGAGAGGTTTTTGATCGGCTAATTTAGATTCGTACTGATGAAGTTGTTTCAATAGATAACTAATACGATTTAGTAGATTTTGTTTTTCTTTCACAATTGTATCTAATTCAATTTGTAAATATTTACATTCTTTTGTTAACATTCGATTTGTTGTACGCTGATCAGTCAATTGATTTATTGTTGTATCGAATTCATTTTCAAGTTTTGTATAAAGTTTTTGTAATTGGTCATGATCATTAATTAATTGATCATTAGTTTGTTGAAAATGTTGACATGAATTTAATGACATCATACGATCATTTTCAAGTTGTTCATTTACTTGGCGTTGCTTGAGATTTTCAGTTTGCAATGTTTCAATACGTAATGTTGCTTGTTGCAGGTCAGATTGTAAACGAGATTTGTCTGATTGTAAATCTTGTATATGATGATTAAGAGTTTCTATGGTTTCTTTTAATGAACGTTGAATAGATGCGTGAACTTTATCGGATTTTAAAGCCAGATCCTGCAAAATAATAGCATTTTAAGACTCACAGTGTTTTATATCGGGAGGAAAAAAATTCTTACCAAACGTAGTTGCATATCAGCCATTTCATAGTTTTTTCTAAACATCACAAAAGTAAGATTTGATTAATATCGAAAGCGTTTTCTTACTTCTTTTCTTCGCTATCATTTATTTCTTGTGAAGTATCAGTGTGACATCTTTGCTGCAGTTCTTCTCGCAATTGGGCTTCTTGTCTTAAATCATTTCTTAACTTTTCAATCATGGTTTCGTTATTCGAAAGTGTTTTTTTCAAGTGATCAGTTTCGTCTTGTTTTCTTTTTAATTTAATTTGTATTTGTCTTGTTAAATCGCAAGCATCATTTAATTTCTTAGTTAATTGCTCGAATTGTTCTTCATTGTAACGTTGTTTTATAAGTAAATAATCATTTTTTAATTGTCGATTTGTTTCTTCTTCATTCAAAAGACATTCATTTAATTGTTTTATTTGTTTTTTTAAATCGATATTTTCTTTTTCCAGCTGTTCATATTGAAGATTTTTGTCAATAAATTCTTTTTCAAGTTGATTCACATGTGCGATTTGTCGACTGTAACATTCATTGTTATGTTTTAATTCAAGATAATTATGTTCAAGAGTTTCATAATGTTTTAAATTTTTTTCATACATTTCACAACGTTTTTCAACTGTCAAATGTTCACGTGCTAATTGATCGTATTTCAATTGAAGATTGATAATACGTTCGTTTAATGAACATTCACGTTCTTTAACTATTGTTAAATGATCATGTTCGATCTAAATAAGTGTTAAAAATTGTTCAAGAAAATCTTAATGAATGATTTCACATGTCGAACTGTCAAACCACTTCTTTTTTTTTTAAAGAGAAAAAGCTTTACGGGTGCTGAAACAGATCGAATCCTCATTGAAAGGACTGTATGGATGAAATCCCAAACCGATGATTGAGTCATTCTAATTAAAAACACGTGTTATGAATTTTGCTCTAAATTCTTTCATTAGTAAATGAAAAGTTTGTTTTGAAAATTGGTTTGATATATGATAGTGATACGTAAATCAACACTGATGATAGATTTAGCATATTTAAAGGTAAACTCTCAGCATTTTTTCTAAAGTAGCGCACCAAGAGATTGTATTTCCTATTAAATATATATATTTAATTTGCTGGTAAAAAATACTCCTGCATTTGATCCACCTTCAGCTTGTAGTACAATAGTACGATTTCGATTACAGCTGCTTGCTATGTTGAATATCTTTAATGTTAGATCATATTTCATTTTTGACCTATACCCTGCTGTTCTTCTCTTCTCGAATGTCTAGCCGTCTATATATTTAGTTACACAAAATGTAATGATGATGATGATGATGATGTTACAACAAAAGACATGCAGAAAAACGTTGATCATATTTTTACTTAATTAACGTTCTGCACAATTAACCTCGATCGTATTCACTAATCGAACGTTTATGTTCTTGTCAGGATTCAACAAGCGGATTGTAGTATTTTAAAAAGTCGCATAGAACTAAGATCTCGCGTGGGGTCAGACCCGGAGTGTAAGAAAGAACTTGAGACAAAACGATAACAATCAAAAACAAATATTTGACTTACTTGTAATTGACTGATTTGTTGCATTAGTTCACCAATTCTGTCTTGAAATCGTTTATTTTCTTGTTCAATATCTTGAAATTTCGCTGTTGTTTCCATTTGTTCACGTTGTTGAATACTATTTAATGTTAACTTTAGATGTTTATTATTCGCTTCTAATTCCGAACGTGTTTTTTCGAAATCAATTTTATTGTCTTGCAGTTGATTTTGTAAAGCTAATTTTTCCTTGGCTAATTGATCATTTTTTATTTCTAAACATTTAACATTATTTAAATATTCATTTATTTGTTCATTTAATAGTTGTATATGAATATTTTGTTTTTCTTCATCAATACGTTTCATATGCATATCAATATCGTAACGTTCCTTCAATGCGGTTAATTGATCACTTAATTGTTTATTGTCAATGTCATATTTTAGTAGACGATTTTTAATTGTTTGTTGAATTTGAAATGATATTGACAATGAACGTGATTCATCAAAATCTTGGCGAGATTTAACATGATGTAATTCGTTACTTAACGAATCAACTGTATGTGTAGTTGAATGTAAATCTAATTCAAGGCGAACTTTATCTTCAAGTAGATTGGAAAGTTTTTCTTGTATCATATCACGTTCGTGAGTTATAGTTTCAATGTCATGTTTAAATTTTTTAATTTCCGTTTCACTTTGAAGCATTTCATTTATACGATATCGATATTCTGAATAAAGTAAAAAGAAAAAGATTTTTAGTATTTATTTAGTCAAAGAACTTTCATAGGTTATCAATCTTTCGTTCACAGAAGGTGAGATTTAACCTAGAGACAAACAATAATCATTAATTGATAGGAGCAATATGTCCTGTAAATAGTAATGTTTTGTATGGCTGACTAAAATAGACCTTATCATTCCAAGGGAGACATTTTAGTACTCCCAAATCAAAATCATTGCCAAATTTCCCTAAACACATGCCGGGACAAACATGTAAATTTCCGCATAAAAAATGTTCACGTATATGAGTTTATCAGAAATAAAATTCAGCTCTAATTGTTTGGCACATTCCAAGACCGCATTAAGTAGACAAGGTGATGAATTAGTGTTGCCTTTTATCTTTCAAGCCCTCGATATTAAGTATATTGGTAATTGTAAACACGTAACTACACAGGGTTGTTTAGTATACAGTTTCAAAGACTAGATTTTTATATTCAACTCTTATATTTATGTGTAGATATGTACAACTGATAAGAAATTATTGTGCATATCAAAAGCACTATTGCAATCCTTCATGTGTCTAGTCCTGTAAATAACGGTCAAACGTTTGAGAATTGATTACCTTCAATTTGCTGTTCAAGATGTGAACGAGCTTGAGCAAGAAGTTGATCTGAAAAGATTTCATGTATTTTAATTTAACGTATGAATGTCTTCTTACTCTCATTTTGTAATTCTTCAAATCGATTTTTTAATGTATCGAAATCATGAAAACGTTCCTTGTATCTTTCGATTTCTTGTTGATATTTTTCCATTTTACCTAATTTCTCATTCAGCGTATCGATTTCATCACGATAGAGTCTTGTCAAACGAGTACTCTGACTTAACTCAATATTTTCACTTTTAACACGATTCAATTCTGTTTGTAATAATTCAAATTCTTCACGCATTGTTTCAATCGTATCCATTTTATCATCTCTGTAAAACAAAAGTAACAGACGTTTTTATTTCTTCTACTAATTAAAGAAAACACACTGACGAACTTACAAATCCGATTTCATCTGACGCATTTTTGTTTTATATTCCGTTATTTCAATACCAGGATTTTTTGTTTCAAGATCATTTAAAAACGTATTCAATGATGTTTGACTTGGTGTTGAATGTAAATTAGTTCCACCACCATTGCTGTTACTGCCACATCCAATATTTAATAGATTCGATGAACTCGATTGATATAATTCAAGCTGTTGTTTTAACGTCTGCTTATCTTGTTCTAATTCAAGAATTTCCTCAAAATAATGATCACGTTCATTGAGTAAATTCATTAAATTAATAAACAAACATTTAAGTTGTTTATTGTTATCTGTATTAAAATAATCATTAAAAAAATATTCTTGTGGTTGAAGAATTGTGTTGATTTCATTTGTTAATTCTTCTATATGTGGCATAAGAGATTGTTGAATCGATTCATTTAATCTAGTTAAATGTTGAATATGAATATCTTTTCGGTCACCACCTGATACTGAACAGGCAAATAAAAGTAATAATAAACGTTCGATTTCATCGAATGAATACTCTAAATAAATAAAAACAATACATAAGAAATCTTTGATATTGTCTTCTTGAGTAGAGATACTAATCCGTTCGACTTATACAATGAGCATAGATTAGATCTCTAACGATTTGTGTTGAATTTTTATTTGTTAATCGTAGGTTAAATCCTATCATTAATCTCTACCTGTCAATCGTTCTCTATTATTTGTTTTTACACATGATCGAATATGAAATAAAATTATCATCAAAACATATCATAGCTTGAAAAAAATTAACAAAATAGTTTTTTTTGCCTTCTATTGAATATTGATGAATATGGTTCATCATATATATACAGTGTAGCGTATGAAGTATATTTTTCTTGTTATCTTTATAAGTCAACAGCAAGTTTTATACTATTTACATAATCATATCATATATAGGTTGTGTACTGTATTATCTGTATTATATACGATACGATGGTTTAGTATACTCATCACGTTTGTTAGTGTTGAACGATAGTTTCCGCAAGTCGGCTTTTGTTCATTGTAAGCGATGAACACGTACAAAAAACAAGTTTATTATTTCGTTCAGAATAAACATAAATAGTAGTGTCTCAGTTCTTTATCTTTCTATCTTTTGCGGCTCGTCCATTGTTCTTATCGTTGTAATCTAAGTCGTGTCTGCTATAAATTAATAATGTATGTGCGTATGTACATAGACTATTTTCTTGTGTTGTTTGAACCTTCATTTAAAATTCTGTCATATTTATCTATGTATTCACAAGTCAACGATAATATTCTCTTCATGAACAACACCATAGTAACACAAATCATTCATGTACCAATAAAATAAAACATTTATAGCCCGACACTTTAACCAATAAAATTTTGTATCTACTCGAGAGTCAATAACGAAAAGCAAAAGACCGTTGCTGTCATCAAAAAATTATATTCTGAAATTAGATATTTATACGATGACATTAGAAAGTTTATTATGCACGAAAAATCGTATGTATATAAAAAAAAAAAGTCGAATTGAATTGCTTTCTGACAACGTGCGCAATGCCTTTGATATAATCGAGCCCACTTATATGTTGGTATATAGACGAATTTTCTATTGCTTCCATTGACTCAAGCTGTGCTTCTTAAACATTTTCGAAATTGATTATATAGTATGAATGTCAGTAGGCGATATCGATTATTGCTCTGAATAAAATGTAAGAATTAATTCATCGCATCTTATTTCGGCTATGGATCTTATCTACTAACTAGTTCTTATCCAATTTCATCAAGAACACATGCATATCATATTGATGATTAAGAGATCTATGAAAAAAGAAAAGAATCATTCGATATGGATATCAAATTTGCTTTAATGACTTCCGCTAAATTGAATTTCATAAATGACAGAAGAAAAAAAACTTTCTTGTTGTCATGTACTAAGTACGACGGATGCCTTATGAACTAAGTATCCTATCAAATATTGATATGAACTGTTGCTTAACCAAACTATTTTGTCTATAAATATTTATGTTCATAGAAACTTTTAAGATTTCAACATAATCAAACTTTATCGATCTCGGTAATCATCAATGAAACCTTTCAAATATTGACTCTATTCAAATTTATCTTCAAAAATCACAAGCAAGAAGAAAATAATTTACAAGAACTAACCTGCATACGGTTCATGAGCAATCACATAAATATTAGGCAGTTTAGCCACAATTATATAGCGAAGTACATCCTTAGAAAAGCAAAGCATTTTGACACGAAACACATAGCAAAACAAAAAGAAAATTTGAGCACAAATCTTACTTGTACAAATGATCGAATACTTCGTAAAATAAAATCTAAATTAACTAATCGACTAATTGTATCAGTTGCTTCATTTGGTAAACGAGAATTTTGTGAACGTGGATCGCTATTTAATATTAAAACAAAAAGAAAGAAGAAAAAAAAACATGCATATCTTTTTCGTTTTCTCACTTACATTGAACGAATAATAGCATGAAAACATGTACTATTAATTAATTGTTCATATGATAATTTATTCTCGGCATCAAAAAAACTCTCAGCCCAAATAACTAATGGATGTTTTAGAAATTCATTTATATCACGTGTAACAACCGAAATTGCATTCATATCCCACAACAACAACAATAATACTCAAAGTGTTCTCTGTCTCTCCTTTGACCGATCGGACAAGTTTTATTTAAGCGCTACAATCGTTGTCGAAATCGCGAACGGATGTGGCGGCAAGTTTTATTGAACATACGAAGAAAGAAAAGAAAAGAAAAGAAAGCCGGTGAAACTATGAGTAATAGTTAATGATCTATCTAGTTTTCTATTCTTTTTCTTTTTTCTCTTCTTGCTCTTGTTGGCAAGGTTATCTTTTGTGTAAAATGTATATTAGTTTCTATGAAAAAACGTGTATGCGCCAATTGGCATGTGGACTTATCATAAAAGCAATGGTATTTTTCAACAATATAAAGAAAAGCATATATGTAATCCTTGTTAAACAACTACTTACACAGAATATTAATGGCACATACAATGACGAAAGATTATTTGCCATGTCAATTGAGTAAGTTAAAGGTGAAGGATTGATCTTAGGCAAGCTGAGAAGATAAGAAATTAGAAGTAATGATTCGTGGCTGCGATAATAAAAAAGGCCATTGTATAAAGATTACCTACGGTTAGTTTTCTTTTTTTTCTTTTAAATGATTACTCCAGTCTCGAATAATATCCAAAATGATTCAGAATCGAAAGTCGCAATAGATACAACAAAAGTCTATAAAGTTTATCCAAGACGTTTTGGAATATTAGCTATCTTTTGTATATGCTCGTTATCCAGTGGTTTTCAATGGATTCAATATGTTATTATTCAAAATATAATTGTTCGATACTATAATGAAAGTTTACCCGACAGTTTTGAAGCTAAAAATAATGCTGTTACATGGACGAGTCTTAGTTACATGGTAATTTAATGAATATTTTGTAGTAAATTATATATATATATACCATTGTTTAACTAGGTTACTTATATTCCTTTAATGTTTCCTGCAATGTGGCTATTGGACCGTTATGGATTGAAAATAACATGTTCAACCGGAGCTTTTCTTAATAGTTTAGGTGCAATAATAAAATGTTTTAGTGTAGCTAGAGATCGTTGGTGGGTCGCATTTAGTGGACAACTGGTTTGTGCTTGTGCACAATCGTTTACATTAGGTAAGCAATTGTTTTTTTTTCTTAAAGAACTAAATAAATCATGAATATGGTAAATGATTTTCTTTATAATTCAGGAATTCCACCATATTTAGCGGCTAGCTGGTTTGGTAGTCGCAGTGTTTCAACAGTGACAGCCATTGCCGTTTTTGGAAATCAAGCAAGTAAAATAGATGATTGATTGATAGAATTTTTTTTCTTCGTTGGAACGATATAGGTTGGCATTGCACTTGGATTTTTGGTACCATCTAGATGGATACCTGACGTGGAAGATCTTGATTTAATTGGATATCGGCTAAGAATACTTTATTATGTTGTAGCTTTTGTCTGTATTGCTTGTTTTTTTGCAATGATTATTGGTAAGTAAAATATGTCTATTGTGAGTGTGATTTATTGCATCAATGTTATTCTTCTGTTTTTAAAGTCTTTCGACGTTTCCCTCCAACACCTCCTTCGAAAGCACAAGAGCTAGCTCTTCAAAATACTGAACAAAATTATGGCCAAACGTTGAAACGTTTACTATTTAATCGATGGTTTCTTCTATTGTTATTGTCTTATGGTTTGTATTTTTCGTCGATAATATTTTTTTAAATATTATCTTAAGTCAATATTTTAGGTCTCAACACTGGTACTTTCTATTCGATATCAACACTTTTAAATCCTATCTATATGTGGTATTTCGATGTAAGTCAATCGATATGAAACAAAGAAGTACATTAAATTTTATTTTGTTCTATTAGAAAAAAACTGCTCAAGCTAGTCAATATGCTGGTACTATTGGTATGCTATTAGTTATCGGTGGTATTTTTGGTAGTCTTCTTGGTGGCTATATTTTAGATAAATCAAAAGCATACAAGTATGAAGCAATAAGGATTTAATCGATTCAAATTTTAACGTTTTTCTTTTTTTTTACATTAGAAAAGTAACTTTCGGTGTTTATGTTCTTTCATGTTTATCAATGGTTCTGTTTGTCTCAACTATAAGTCTTCATGAATATGTAGCTTTTGTCACAATGATTATTGTTGGGTAAGAGTTCGCATGTTCACTCAAGTTCTATATAAATAAGAGATTAACATTGCATGATAGTCTCTTTCAAGTATTTGCATCTTACATTTGATTTGATAAGAACAGGTGGAGCTCTATTTAAGGCAAGCTTAGATGCACTAATGTTTGAATCAATAGTAATCTAAACAGTTGCACTATATTGACGATATCTTTCGTAATTATAAAAGTTACACTGACGTGTATGTGTGTATAAAACAAAAAACGATCGGCTTTTGTCTCCATGGAATTAAGTCAGGAAAAAGAGTTGGCAGTAATCAACAATAAATGAAAATAATAAGGTTTAACATAAAGTAATAATCCGGACGTTCTGACACATTGAATATGGTTTTGTTAAGAAATTTTGATTAAAAATAGAAATAACTATCAAGTCTTTAGACTTAGCTTGTGATCCGATCAATATAATTGCTGTCATGATCTGACTTTCACTATTGTGTTAGTTTATTTATGAGCGAAATTTATCGTTTTAATCGATATTAACACGATGCAATTCTTTTGTTTGATCGGAAATTATAGAGCAAAATTTTTAAATAATTATTTCCTTGCTAGAAATTTAACAAAAGAATAATCCTTTTATTTTCTATACTATATTGAATATCAAGGTTCTCTAAACCAGGCATATACTTAAGCGTCATTATTCACCTCACATATATGGCATACGCATAATACTTTAAATCTCTGGTTCCGGTTGATTATTTGAATGAGACATAATCGATTTTAATTGCTAGTTTCACGTCTATTCTCTTTCATGATCAAAGATCTTCGAGACTATTGAACAATCGTCTAGGCTCTTTTATGATTATGTGAATTGACACTAAGCTGACGGATTATTTTGTTCTAGGTTTTTTATGACCGGTTATTTGCCTGTTGGCTTTGAATATGGTGTTGAAATCACCTATCCAGAAAATGAAGCTATTTCAAGCAGTTTATTGAATGTTAGCGCACAGGTAAATAAGTGAAAACAAAAGTAAATGCAGAAAAGTTTCTAATTACGAATATTTTCAGATATTTGGCTTGTGTATAACACAGTTACAAGAATTTTTAATATTTAAACAGGCAAAAATTTTGGAGTCGAATATAATGCTATGCATTGTATTGGTAGTTGGTGCAATAATTACGCTACTTATTCGTTCACCTTTGCGACGACAAAATGCTCAACATAGTACGCATCATGTGTTTGAACCTAATAATTCAGCTCTTGTGTCAAATACAAATTTAACAGCTATAACATGAAAATAAATAACTATGAATTTTATTCATAAAATTTTCTTTATATTTGCTAAATTATCGTGGTTGTTTTTCGGTGCTCTTGGGATATTGAAATTTAGAACGAAAAATGAATACATATTTGCATGTTTCATTAGGATTTATTTCTTATTGGACTGTAACAAAGTTAATTCTATCATCGATCATTTTGTTTGAGATTTCCATATTTCTTTCATTAGAAGCAAATCATATGTTGTTATCTGTCGAGAACAGAATAAATATCAATGAGAATATTCTATCCATTGTTATTTTTTCTATGAATGGCTGACTCAATAGGCGAACAAATTGCTTTTTTTACTGTCAGAGATATGAAATAGTATTTATTATAACGATGTACGACGATTGATTGATAGGTCATCAACACAATGTAATGATAGAATCATTCTACAGTATAACATCGATCTTGTAGACGACAACAACATCCAGACCTTTAAAAAGCATTCATAATGCTTACAAGGATAATAAAGCTGACGCTTGGTTTCTTGTCCAATGGGAAAACATTTATTGAAAAATCTGCTTTCATTTAATAGCGTTGGCTAGATAGATTTGCCAATCATAAGATAAATATCTTAATATCATTATTTTTCCTTTCTATTTTCAAGTCATACATTGACGTAAATTGAACTTAACAAAAAAACTTCAATTTCTCTTGCTTGCATAGTTATGCTCTTACTGTGATGTCATCATGTTCTTTAAAATGACAGTAGTTGTTGCATCATGTATGAAGTGGACATATTTATTGTTCGTAAGTGGCAACTGACGAACGATGGTAAGAGGCCACAAAGATACTTTCACGTTTCTTCATCATAGGCAGGTTATAATAACAAAATGAAGTGCAAAGATTTACTATTTGTTTTAGACTAGAGAGGTAGTTACATCAGGAAAAACATTTAAAAAAAAGAAAACATCTTTTGCCGTTATTCATCTTATTGGATACATAAAAGTGGTTGATGGTTACAAAATACTTGTTTGAAATTCATAACAATGCAATGGAATATAAAGAAACAAACCGAAAAGGATTTCTTTTGTATATTTATTATGTATTATCATAATCATAAAAGAATAGATTTCTCTTGGTTATATAGAAATTACAAAACAATAAACTATTGCTTTTGCTATTGTTTATTTTCTATCCATATAATGTATAGTTATTGAACTGAACTAAGATTATGAACTAATATTTGGAAAACCAGAATAACACTAAATCTGGTTTGTTTTTAAAAGTATTAAAATTTTATTCGTCTACGGTTCTCAGACTAAACTGTGATGCATGACCATCTGATTTTTCACTATTTAAATCTCCAAGATCATCATTATCATCGAGGAAACTGTTTCCTTTATCATGTTTTTCTTCTTGCTTCAATTTGTTTTCTCGTTGGTCTTGAATTGGTGTTTGACGAACTAAGACTGGAGAAGTTGATTTTCTGGATCCTTTGTTAGAATTGTTTTTAATTTTTTTTTCATGACGACGATGTGATTTGTGACTACTCTTTTTAGGTGATGCTGGTGCCTGTAGTTTTGATGATAGGAAAGGTTCATATGATGACAAATGACGATTATGTTGAGAATTACTTGATTCCGTTAGTGATAATAGAGATGAGACGGTTGAAGGATTATAATGTTTACGTAAACGCTTTTTTTCACGTTCTTGTTGACATATGACACAGTCGTATTCCGATGTTGATGAACTTAAATCTTTCGGATGTCGTCGTTTAAGAAATGATACGTGACTACCAACTGAGTAAGATGTTGATTTGCCATTTTCATTTGTGTATGATAATCGTTTTCGTTTTTTATAACCAAGTAAAGGCGGCATTACCTCTGGTTCGGGATTTTTCGGTATCCAACCAGAATCCGATATAATATATCCACTTAATATAGGAGGTAAAACTGGATCACTACGATGTTGAAATTTAGTAAAATTAAAATTCGATAAAACAGGTATTGTGGGTAGATGATGACGAATACGTTTCGATAGACTATTACGAGTGCCATTGTGTTTATGTCCATATTTGAGTTTACTTGGCGTCACACCTAAACGTTCACTAGTAATTTGGTCAGAATTTGAAAGACTTGACGTAATTTGTTGACCTATTAAAAGTTGTGATTGATCTATTGCATTGTAAACTGGTAATGTACCTTTCATGGGTTGACTATCGTTGAAGTTAGATGCAAACATATCTTGATTGGATGCCATCACTGCAGGTGGACTAAAATTAGTATTTGTAAAGGTATCTTGTGATGTCCAAAGTGGAGCGTCGGTTTTATAGGGGACTGCTTGAGTATAGTCAGCTACGATAGGAGGTGCAACATAGGTTACAGGTTGTGGAACTGGTACCTGTTGAATATTAGGTATAGCTACAGGATAAGGACATGGAACAGCATATGGCTGCGGTACAGAAACAGGTCGTGGATAATAACAAATCGGTTGAGGTGCAGGTGCAGGTGCCGTATAAGAATAAGAACAACACCAAGACGAGGATGCACCACAATTATATGATGCACCATAACTTGTTGCTGAAATCATTGGATTCGGTGTACCATAGGGAATAGTCATGACCATACCAACATTATTAGGAAAATCATATGCTGGTGGACGATAAGGCATAGGACCCGATGTCAAAGCAGACATGAACGATGATGGACACATCCAATTAACTGGACTCATCGATGCTGCTGGATACATACCTTGAACTAATGGATTAAATGCAACAGGTAATGCCGTAGCTGCAGCCATCATCGGAGCACTCATTGGCATATTACATGAAGGAGGCATGCAACAAGGCATACTTGGCACCATTGGCATATTTAATGCGATTGGTGGTGTCGAGCCTAATATACCAGCATTAGAAAGTGCAGACATGGCTTGCATTTGGCCATATTGGTGTACTTTGTTTAACATCATTGGCATCATTTGCATTGTAGTGTTACCTAAATAATAATTTCCATAATTCCATGGAGCCATACCTGGTGCTTGATTGAGACCTTCATATGAATAAGAATTACATTTTTTGATGCTATAATTTCATTTTACTCGAATTTACCTTGAGCATATCGGCCACCATAATTCACAGCTAAACTTGTAATTGGTCGTCCATATAAGTTCCCCATTGAAGTCGGTTCATTTCTATACGTATATTCTTGGCTAGAACCAGGGCCATACAAACCTAATTCTCCAGTTGGATCATACTGGGGTGGATAGGCACCTATTGGTGGTACAGGAGTATAGAAAGGATCGTTTGATATAGTTCGATTTCTTCCTAATATGCTGCCCATGTTACATATCCACGACGTTTATTTAAAACTTCCTTTGTTTTGTAAATGCTTTTTCTTCTTCTTCTTCTTTCTATATCACATCGCCACCTTTCTACTAGTAATCATAATGATATGGAAAATGTGTCGTTTTAAAAGAAATACATATTGATAGTCGTGAAAGACTGGCTTTTTTTTCGTCACGACTCTACCTGTATGTGTGCATTGTGTTTTGCATCCTTGCTCTCGCTATTCGCCCGGGCGACTGCACACCTGAACGTATCGATAGACAATTTTGTTTCATAACACGCTATTTAATGTAACCTTGTACAAATGAAAATAAATCGAGACGAACGAAGGATTGTATATATATTGCAAGGTTGGATGATGTTATGATAAATCTGATTGATTACTGAAAGTACGAATATAGGCTAAGTTGATAAATCTTTACTGCCAAGGACTAATTTCTTTTCTAATAAGCTTAAACGTATTTTTCGTAGAAAAAAATTGAGTTTACCTTGCGAAATCAAATTAATTATTTTGGAAAAAAGCACACTTAATACTTATCTTATGAATCTTTGATTTTAACACATTTATCGTACTTTTCTATTAGAGAATGTATTTTTCGATCAAAAAAAAAAGAAAGATACGATTTGTTAAATTATCTCTGTTTTATTTTTCTTAGTATTGTTTTATAACACACAATCAGAAAGAAACAAGAAGAAAAGAAAGAATCACACATACAAACGATAGGGACAATGAAACTTGTACATCAAGGTGAATGACAAAAAAAAACAACTTATGTTCTTAAATTGGTGCTGTGCTTTTCTATATATCATTAAAATTCACGTCGATGATATCGGTCAGGTTCATAATAAGATGTGACAACAACACGATTAGCAAATTTACGTCCTGTCAATGCTTGCTGTGCTTTTTGACATTCACTGATTGATGTAAACTCGACGAAAATCTATTTGAAAAGAGAATGTTAAAATTCGAAAAATGAATGTAACAAATTTTCAATAGTTTTACCTTTCCAACGCCCGGTACATCGACACCTTGGATGGGTCGTGGAATTTCTAGACTTTTAACAAAACCATATTTACCGCACTCTTCTCGTACATCTTCCATAATATCTTTAGAAAGAAAAAAAAAATTATTTATTGTAAAATCAAATAATATGTGCAACAGCATTACCTTCATATTCTTCGTCGTCACGTAATTCTTCTTCTGTAACCATATTTAATAGACATAAAACTTCTGTACTTACAGTCGGGGCTAATAGATTCACGCCAGGTAATTGTACGCCGATTGAACCAGCTCCCTAAAATAAATTAATCGATCAAATCATAATCATTACCAATCGAAAATGAAAACTTACTCCAATCATATTCTTAGCACCAACACTTGCTAATTGAACAATTAATTTTTTATCACCTAATTGCATACCGTTAAGACCTTGTATAGCAGGCTCTGTGACACTAGGTTCGTTATATTCGCAAAATGCGTAGCCTTTCGAAAGTCCTGTTGCTCCATCTTTAACCAAATTAAATGCTTTTAATGGTCCAAAACTCATTAGTAATTCTTTGACCTAAAATCATTATATAAAAAAAAACAATCGTATTTTGGCGAATAATTTTCTGGGCTAAAAAAAACGAGGGAGGTTTTTCTAAAACAAAAACTTGGTTTTCTTTTTCTTTTTCATATAAACATCCTTTCCAATTCAATCTAAAAAAATCATTCCGCCCAACCATTCATTATCTAAATGACTAAAACAAAGAATTTCTAAAAATTCTAAATGAGAAAAATAAAGAATTTTGTTGTTGTCCTTTTTTTATGAATGCATTGAAACTGAATGTATTTGTTGTTTTCATATCTAAAATCGAACTCACGGGAAATAGATGTATGTCCATTATTTCTTCTTTTGTTCTACACGCGTGACGAGCGGGAAGAGATTAGTTATTTTTTTAATTTTTAACCAAATGCTCGACACATGATAGCTGACCTAGTCTAGAACAACAATATAAAAAAATCAGCTTTCGTTTCTCACTATTATTAAGTTTTTCTGGACCGGACCGTCTCGAATGAAAAAAATTGTAAGTGTGACTTCGTTTTTGCTTCTATCTCATTTGATTTTTTGAACTTCATCATATGCTGATCTAGTTTTAAGCTGATTGATAAAAATAAGTCGACTTACAAGTACAATATTATATACAACTACAAGTTGATTAATGATTAGATATCATACAGTAGCAAGAGGCAAAATTTCAATAAAGAGATTATAACTTTCTTAACTAGTAAACAGCGACATGCGCTTATTCATGAAACTCTAACCGTACGATTTTACTCTCTGATATACCAGAAGTTCAATTCATTCAAAATATATAAATGAAGAAATATCGACGAATGAAAATCTCCATTCAGTCCGATCAATAGGACTCTTAGTCTAAAGAAAATCCTTTAAAAAAATGCATACTCATAGATCTTCTTTCATTTCTTTTAGAAATCCTACTGAATACTAAATCTCGTACGACTTACTAATCAAAGATTTTAGATGGACACGTCATTGTCAATGTTTTTATTGAGAAAACAAGCAGTCCTACTTATGAAATTGAATAGAGAACGTCAATTAGAGAATTTAAATGAACAAAAACCATGTTCAACATCAATCTTTTTCATACTTCGTGACGGTCCTGGTTTTTACGTAAAGACAACTCTGACTTAGATAATATTAAATCCCACCTACCTGATCGTCAGTTAAATAATTTGGTAAACCACCAATAAAAACTTTAAATGGTGAGTCAGCCACAACAGTTGAAATAACTCCTATACGGTAAAATAATAATTCATTTGCAAAGACAAAACTTCTTTTTCTGAAATCTTACCAGGTACATTCATATTAGGTTGATCACCTCCTCCAGGCATTGCTTGATAATCTCGCGGTCGACGAATTTTAAGTGATTGCCCTTGAAAAACAATACCATCGAAGGCCATAGCAGCTGTTGTTTCATCGATTGAACGAAACTAAAATTTCAATGAAAATTACTTTCTAACAACACAAATTTCCACATTTACTTACTTCAAGAAAAGCAAAATTTTTATCAAGATTAATTTGAACAGCGATAACTGGATTTCCTTCGGTTTGCGATAAGCCAGTGAGATGCATTTGTTGATTGAAAAATTCCATCATTGCATTCTAGAAATCAAAACAAATAAACTTTTTTGAAATCAAATTTTTTTCTTCTTACTTCTGAAACACCAAATGGAATGTTCCCTACATATAATCGTCGTGATTGATGAACAACATGGCTACCAAGAACGGGCGTAGCCGCAGCAGTATTTGCACTCCAATCTTTGCCTGTCAATATTTGAGAAATTTGGCCAGAAGCTAAAATCAAATGCAATTCGAAAAAAAGAAAAGAATAAATCTTTGATTGAGTTTACATTGCATTGCCTTGTATTGAACAGGAGTAATATGTTCAAAACCAGCAGGTGGTACATCCCAATATTTATATTTTTTGAGGATCTTTTTTTCAACTTTGGTTTCTTTTTTTGGGCGATCTTTTGGTGAACGTGAACGGCTGTGTTTGCTTCGATTATTATCAGTGGGCGAACGCCGACGTTTGCTATCTCGTTCACGTGAACGATCACGATGACGACGAGATTTACGATCGCGAGAACGAGATCGGGAAGAGCGACGATTATTTCGATCTAAATCTATTTCAAATAAGCATTCAATCGAGAAAAAACCTCTCCAATGTACCTGGTTGATCGTTTGCCATCAGATTTCAAATACAAAGAGTTTAAAGGTATCTAAAGCAAAAGTTTAAAAAAATCATGTTATTGCATACGTTTTACATTGAATAAATTATGTACATGTACACTATTATTGATTCATTTTTCCTACACTCAACCATTACTTTGTATGTCATGAGGAGGTTCATGGCCAATCGAATTATTTTATTGTATGTGATTCCATAGGGGCCGCTATATGTTGGTAATTAAAAAATGAAGTAATTCGTCATCTATGTATACTTTTCGTAAGTATTTTCACGTTTATACACTTGATAATTGGCAAAAGGTGGTGAATCATAATTACAGAGAATACTTTCAAGATCATATCCATTTATTTTTTAGTTTTCAAAGCAGTAAATACTCATTCTCATTCGTAGTATTATAGTTTTTTTATCGATGCTATCACATTTATATTAGTCATTCGATATAGTTTGAATGTCTAAATCCTCGTAAATCTGCAAGTTATTATTTTTTTTTGTTATAAATCTACTGTAAATACGTTGACCTTTATCTCAAACTCACATTGATATGAACTGTTAAGAGTTCTTAGCACCGTAGAAGCATTATTTCATAATCAGTACTTAATGTCATCTTGTCGCTCATTGCTTTTTATCTAGAATCTAGATCTTTTCAATATGTAGGATAACTACCAAGACACATGCAATCGACTGATCCACTTTTTGTAATCATTCCTAAAAACGAATAAATCATTATTCACAAATTTTAGTGAGCAGAAAGAACGACGTACAAATATTTCATACATAAAATGGATGTTAGACATGATAAGATATGGCATCACGATTGGTAGCTATCCGTCATTGGATAATAGTCCCCATGAAACACTGTATTCGATTAATATTTTTTCGGTTTTTGCGCAAAATTTAGACTTCTATCGAAAGAAATTATTCATAAAAATTGTATCAATAGCGACCATGTCGATGAATTTTAAAAATATGGATGAAGGCATTATTATTTAATAAAAAAAAACTGTCTGACTCGGCTGTAACAGTCGATTGTCGTTATGTCTACAAAAAAAAACTTTTGCACAAGAAAAGTATATTCATGTAAAAGAGAAATTAATCGGAAGTTTTTTGTTCAATAAAATGTCATTCAAAATCAAGTAATTGTATCCATAGCTATGAATAGACTAGACTTCTCAATACAATTAAATACAAAAAAGAATAGTTATACTTACAAATCTCAATCATTTTGTTTGTTCGAATTGATCTCTAATCGAATTTTAATCTTGCCCAGTCAAATTATAATCTTAATTTTGCCTACAAGACATATTTTATTTCATCGAAGAACAAAAAAAAACAACATCTTATGTTCAATCTGAAGTTAATCTCTATGATATAAAGAGCTTAACCTTAGGTGAAAGTTTGTCCAACGAAATCCTCCTACTAAAAGCAAAGAGTCAATTTCATTTGTATTTACTAGTAAAAGTTCCATTAGGATATTTTTGTTTTTACACATGCATAGGAAAACAAAAACTTGTTATTTTTCTTCGCCGCCTATTCAATGTTCAATGATTCGATAAGAATACGACATAAAAGGGCCAGATTTATTGATCTCATGTTCGGCGTATTTTTCAATTAGAAGTATGTCATATAAGATTTCAACAAGAAATTGTTTCTTCAATTAAATGTATTTCTCATGCACTTCATTTCACATGCTACTTTTTAATTTATATTTATCTTTCGGTGCTGTGCGCAACCTATTTCAAGAGTACATATACACATCAAGATCATATTCATTAAACTATTAGATTTCCAACGCTGTTGTAATTTAATTAACGCAAAGGAAGAAAAAGGTGATTAGAAAAAAAGCTCTAAGTTGCTTATAGATTCTGTGTGCGTTTCTTTTTTGTTCTACTTGTATAATTGAACTTGACATAACCTGTAGGTAGTCTAACTTAATAAGCTTTTTTTTTAACAATGATCTTTTTTAAGCATAGAAATTGCATTGGATGTCCTTGATTTGGAAAAATCTCTTCTTAACTTCTTTAATTTTAAAGTTCAATCACGTACATCCGGACAAGTATTTCATTCCTTTGCCTATGCGGAGTGACAAAATGTTTGAAATGTCGAGGTTAGAAAAAGAAGACATTAGGACAAATATGTTGGCAAAAAAAGAGGAATAAAATACTATATTTAGTACAGTGCACGTCGAAAACATTCTTCTCTATTTCAATACATTCTCACATGAATCGATTGCATGATTTAAGTTTATAAAAAGAATATCTTAGATATTCAGCATATTAATTGCACAATTGTCTCGTCTCATAAATTTATTTTGTTGATTGTTCTTTTCAGGTACTTGAGAACTTAAAAAATAAAACGATCGAATATTTATTTAAATATCTCTCTTCTCATCGATGGCAGTTGTTGAATGAAGGCATAATATATTCTCTCCTCGTCCTTACATTGTTACCTTAGTTACTCTGAGAAGAGAGGGGAAAAAAAGGTAAAGGTGAGCTCTATTCTTTCTTCTTCTTCTTCTTCTTCTTGTTCTCCTTCCTCGTTCATCATATACAATCGCGTTCTATACAGAATGTATAGTCAATTAAACTTTGCTCGTCAGTTTTCTGTTTAGTAAAGCTTCTCGCTTCCTTTTCCTATTTCGATTTTCGGTAAAATGAAGATGACACAAATAGAAAGCGAAGGATTATTTTTTGTTTCAGTCAAAAAGAAGAAAAAGAAAAAAAATGATTATCTTTACCGTAAGTTGTCTTATTTATTTTGTTTCTTGGCTCGATCTATGATGAGTTAAGAAAGAAAAGCAAACGCCTTTTCGATACAATTAGTTTAGGGGATTCATGTTTTTGTCGAAGTTGTATAACATCGATTTGATGTTCTTCTTCTTTTTCGTTTTCGTTTTGCGCTTACTCTATAATTGTTGTTGAGCAAATGCACGCAGATGAATACAACTGTTGTTCGATTAATATTAAAAATATAGGCCTCAATAGGCGACTAAATGTTTGACAGCATCTTATTACATATGACACCAATTTAACTATGTACTAGACGTCTATTATATTGTCTTCTTTTTTTTTCTTCTAGATCGATGATATCATCGTCAATTGAAAGCAATGATCATGTCATGTCTATGATGGGATATAAGATTTTATCGAGCACGAATAATGTCTTTATCAGTTGTACGTTCGACTTATAGAAGGATGATGAAATATTTTCTTCGGTGAGTTATGAATAAATAATGATTTCTAATGAAGAACAAATTATGATCGAAAAGAAAAGCCTTTTTGTTAAAACAAAATTCTGTTGCGTCACGGAGACATGAAATTCTTATCGAGTTCACTCATACATTCAGTTCAAGGTTTACTTTCTTATAAGAATATATATACATATATATGTATTAATGAGTATGTGTGTGGCATCTCATCTCTTCCATTTGCCTTTTTATTTCATAGTCATTGGTGTATGGAAATCAAATGTGACGGTAATAATACAACGAGTCGTAATACTAAAAAAAATGGTCAAGACGGTTGCCAAGTACGTGGAAGGAATAACTCTCACTTTTTTCTCTTCTCCTTTTCTTCTTTTCTATTCACCTTTTTTTTTCGCCTGAATGGAATTGTTTCATCAAATGTTGATGAGATACTATTCATGTCTAGAGTTTACTCTCGGCGTACCTATTATTTATGTGATTTAAACCGTTGGGCAAAAGATAAACCTAAGCGTCTCCCATGAGTTTTCAAGAGCTATTTGTAAATGTTAATTTTCTGATATTTAGAAATCTGATAGACATGACACGAAAAGCAGGTAAAAATAAAATCTAGTATTCATATGTACATCTTTCAATTGAATATTATTTTTAATTTTTTTGATAGTAACGACGAGAACAAGAATTGTCAAGTATGTGTCATATTCGATAACGTCAATACATAACAATGAGTATTTTAGATGACAAAATCTAATCTTGACAAGCGCATTGATGATGGTATTTTATTAGATGCACAACTTGAATGGGAACATGAAGCAGGTAAAAGAAAATTTTCTTAGTTTAACAAAAAATATTGAGAAGAAAGAGTAAAACTAAGATGAATGATTTTTTAGCAAAAGATTCTTTCTCAAGTATGTATTTATTTTTCGTGTTTCCTTTTCTAATTCTTCTCCATTTGAAAGACATAAATCTTGAACAGAAACAAAACAAAACAAAAAAGGAATTCGAGTGTTAAACTAACGATCTGTTTTACGCTTTCTCTCTCTCACTTTTGTTTGTTTTAATCATGTGATGATTTTAAGGTGTATTTTTTTTTGGTTTCTCTCTAGGAATTGAACATAGTCCAAAAACGTACCGAAAATCAGAACAAGACCTTTTAGATATACTTTTGACACAATCTCCAAGTTCAATATCTTCTGCAACATATATTCGTTCACCTTGTTGTTCTGATTTTGAATGGGATGATTTATTCGATTTTGCGCTGTAGTAATAAAGTTTCATTTTCTTTTCTGTTTTTTTTTTATGTAGGTTTATTGTGAACAGTTGAATGAATTAAAACAGTTTGTCTGACTTTTCCTTTTTATTCCAGTTTGTGATGTTTATTTTATTTTTTTTCTCCTCCTCATTGTTCCTTCTTTTCGTTATTATTATCTATTTGAATTCTCTCTCAGGGTTGCTTGTTTTTCACACACACACACATACAAAAAGAGAAGCATAATTGTATTCTTTTTCTTTTTTCTTTTTTAAAATATAGAAAAAAAACTTGTTTTTATTGAACTGTAAAAAAAGCCGAAAAACTTTTGGTGGCGATTAATATTTTTATGAACCAGGTATTTATTGACGATAAGCGGGAGAATTTTCTTGATCTATTCAACATATGTAAAGAAATGAAGGTTACCTCAATGATTTGTCATTATTAACATACAATTGATTGGAATCAAAAGGAATTTATATGGACGTGTCAAGGTAAAATTTTAACCCCACCGGAATATATTGGCTGTTCTTTTTCACTAGACCTTACTATCAAATGTCTTTCACTAATTGAATATAACAAAAGAAGAACTAGCAAGTTGTGTTTGTAACGTAATTTAAGAGTGGTGGAAGTTAGCGCTCACTGTAAATTGTTATCAGAAAAGTGTATGTATCAAATGTAAGGCGTCTTTTTGTTAATTGCCAATACATAGAACATCTCTGTTGAAATTTAGAAAGGTATAAATTAAGCAAAGCGTAGTAGATCAATTTTATATTGAATACTGTTTCATTGTTAGATAGAGTAGGTAAACGTAAACAATGGGTTTATTGAAGGACAACGAGTAAAGTCAATGAATCGTTCGCATTTATTTCTATACAAAACTCGGATCCATCTCGAGTATTTCTAAAAGCATTTCATACTTTTATCAACTCGGAAAAATTTGGATTCTAAGTAATTTCGTTATTGGAAATAGTCTTTTTTTTGTGTACTCAAAAAATGAGTACACTCTAGATTCGGTCAGTGTGTCTGGCCGGCCGTTAACACGATAACTCTTGAAAACCTCATCCAATTGCCATGGAATTTTGGTACACTGAATGATCTCCTCAATATCTCAGTCGAGTTCGAAGATGAGTCTAGAAATGGCTGAGTTATCGAAAAAATTGTCATTATTGACCAGACCATCCTTGAGAGGGATGGTGGGTACAGGGAGTTTTTCAAAAAAAGATTGTTGCTCAGAATTATTCACAACATATATAAATCGATTCAGTTTTTGCAGTACACATAACAATCGGATGCGAGTCCGAATATTTCCGCATGTATTTATATTTAAATTCAATCAATTCGAAGATGTTTTTTTCACATGTGAAAATATTTTTGCTCTATTGCCCACGCAAGTTTTTCAAGTATGTATGTGAGAGTTTTATTTTGTTAAAATATTAAAACAAATTTATTAGATTCTTTCACCCGATGACATATATTCACTAAGAAAAGAAGAAAACAAAATATTAATGTTATAGCAATAACTTAACCAGAAACGTAAATGAAAAAAAATACGTGTAAGCCTTATAAAATTATTTGATTTTTCGAACTTGATCCCAATTCTTTATGTGGTAATACAACAGCATTAAGAACAACAACTTCACCTGGAATGGATACATTATTTCCTTGAAGGAGAAAAAACACGATTAAGTTAAAATATTATTCAAAAATTTTCTTTCTTTATCTTACCGATAACTGTAATCGATGGATGAAGTTTTCCATCTTGAAATAATGAATCTTGTTCTATTTTTGAAAATTGCTTATTTGGATCAGGATCTAATATTTTTTTTCAGGATTTATTTTGTACATAGTATAAAAATAGAGTTCTCTAGACTTACCATTGGGTGTACCTTCAACTCTACTCCATGGTCCAATCGTTGAATTCCATGCGATAATTGAATAAAGAACACAACAATGGTCCTTGAAACAAACATACGAATGTTTTTGATTAATGAGAATTTTAGAAAATCAAACATTCATACATGTAAAACGCAGCTGCCCAATACAATCGATTCTCTTACACGAACACCATAACCAATTGTTACATCTTGACCAATCGATACATTGGGACCTAACTAAAAAGATGATTTACATTCGTAATCAATCTACACAAGAGAGAATCTTTCTTACCACAGCTGATGGTGCAACACATGCTGTTGGATGAATAAATACATCACCAATCTATATAATAGAAAACAGGCGTTTGTTTTACTGATCTTATATAAAGAAGAAAACTTCTCTACAATAGTGGGTCCTTTAGAGTCTGTTTGCTTGTATAAGCGTTCGGGATGATACATGCGATAGAGTTCAAGATAATGTCGATTTGCATAAATAACCGAACTAAAACATGATCGCCGTTTTTAGAATGAAATCAATCTAAGAAGTTCGGTACCTGGGATTTTTTATTGATGTCCAAAATTTATCATCCATTGGAAAGACATATAATTGTCCAGTACCCTACGATAAAAATAAAAATAATTTTATAGAAATCAAAGAATAAATTTTCAACATACTCCTAATTTTGAAAGCACATCTTTTTCTAAACGAATATTTTCACGTGAGAATCCCGAATCATAATTTGTGAACGTTGATGGTGCGTCGCTAAATAAAAATAATCGAAAATATTATTTACATGTTTGATGAAAAGGGAGACGGAAATAAGACAAGCAATCAATCATTCAATTTTTGTCCACTTCTGAAGTCTGAAAAAATGCTATTTAAAAAAGCATAAATTTTTCGTTTCATCATTATGAGGGAAATGTAACTAAGGGAAACATGCACAGTGAATATAGAGACAGATAGAGAAATTATTGATGAACACAACATAAACAATTTACTGAAAAATAGGTATCGATTCACTAAAACAAATACAATAGATATTTAAATCGTCTGTTTAATCTTGAACTTACTTATATAATTGTTGATTATTTCGATAGGTTTCCGATAAAATTTGAAATATAACTTTAGTAAATAGATATACACCGCAATTGATTGTTGTCGATACAAATGTCGATGGTTTTTCAACATAATGTTTAACTTCATGAGTCTTTTTATCCCATGCTATACAACCATAATTTGTCGATTGTTTTTCAGTTGCCTGAAAAAATATCGAAAGATATAACTATGGGATTTTTGAAAAGGACCCCGCCGGATAAAAAAGTTTTCTAGAATCGATTTCATTTGTATACAGTATTCTAGAGCTCGTTGAGATACATCAAATGATATATAAGAAGTCAAGTTTTCATAACGGTTTTATGTAGTTACGGTCGATATACTATCTATACTGGCATAGGGATTTGTATGGTACTAATAGAAAAGGTATACTCCTATGATCATCTCAAATGAGTATATACAGATTTAGTTTTATAATTCAGTTCGATACAGTTACAAGTGGTGCTCAATTTTTCATATTTGATAGTTTTCATTACCACTGCTTTGCTACTGAAAAGAGTCATCTTCTATCGATGAAAGACATTTTTTCACCAAAATACACTTTACTGTTTTCAGTCCTGTGCAGAAGAACAATGTGGTAGCAACGTGAAAGTTTTCTAAAAACTGTCTGTCACTGAGCTCTACATATTTGGTAGACCCAGTTTCTCTGAGCTGCAGGGGCTCGTCGGTAATCTTGAAAATAGTGGTAAAAAATCGGCTATTTTATCATATAGAGNCCATACAAATCCCTATGCCAGTATAGATAGTATATCGACCGTAACTACATAAAACCGTTATGAAAACTTGACTTCCTATATATCATTTGATGTATCTCAACGAGCTCTACAATACTGTATACAAATGAAATCGATTCTAGAAAACTTTTTTATCCGGCGGGGTCCTTTGTATGATTAATTTAGAAGAAGAACAGTGCATTTGAAAAGTTTTTCAAACGAATCGAGACTTTTCGTTGAGAATAGATTTAAAGCCTTGAAACATTGAGTACGTCGTTAAGGTCTATTGACTTTCCTGTGACTCTCATTGATTCTCATTTTGTCTTGTATCATAGAATATAAAATCACTAAATAGACGATTTTTGAAAATTTTACTGGGTACAATTCGATGTTTTTGTTTTGCATTTATTACGATACCAAATCGAGGTCGTACTATGCGAGTTTATAAAAACGTACATATTTGTTAGCGAAGCCGAGTACTGTTATATAGTGACTCGAGTCTGTATAGGATTACTTGATATCACATCTGCTTATCGTGTGGAAATGAAAATCTGATGGATATCGTAATAAATTATTTATTGATTTTAATCATCGGATCAGTAAGATTTAAGAAGCAAATATTCTATATTGCTGTTGTTGGCTTTGTACAATAGTTTTGTAGTCTTATCGAATTGATAACATTTCTTCTTGTATCGATCGATTAGAGATATTTTCCTGCTGTAAAACTGTCGTAAGTCACATATTTAGATTAGGAACAAGATAATAAATATCGAAGGATTAATTTTACAACGAGGTACATTCAATCTTAAATTATTTTCGAGTATTTAGCACGACAACCTTATTTAACTAAATTATTTGTAGAATGAAATATAGATAATTTTATTTTTTCACTATCCTTAATTGAAAAACAAAATTCTTGTTAACTAACCTCAGTTCCAAGAATAGTAAATCCTTTTTCTTCCACATTTTCACGATGAAATTGAAGCATTTCTACTAGTGGTAAATCTGCACAAATATCACCATTAATTACAAAGAATGCATCTTTATCCGATACATTTGCTTTAATTAAATCACGAAAATGATAAATACCACCGCCAGTACCTAATGATGCATATTCTTGTAAGTAACTATAATGAAAATCAATAATTTATTTAAAAAGTATTATGTTTTCATTAGTATTCTAATTTTACCGAATACATATATTAAATGTTTGTTGTGCATTCGCTATAAAACGTGAGAGTGCTTCGTTTGGTTGATAACATCCAATGAGAAGAATTTCACGTAATTCAGTTAACTTTAATAATTGAAAATAATTTTTCGAAGTAAATCGCGCAAAAATTAACTTACTTGAGCACATGATTCAATTAAATGATAAAGAATTGGATAGCCAGCAATAGGAAATAATGGTTTAGGAATTTCTAATGATAATGGACGAAAACGTGTACCTATGATAGGCTAAAATAGATAGTAAAGCGAAAGAAATAAACAAGTGAATTAACCTTTTTGAGGAGATCCAATAAGAATTACTGCTTTCAACATGATTTCGAATAGATGAGAATCTAAACAAAATCTAATTAGGCGTTTCTCATTTAAGTATTCATATCTTTTTTAACTAAAAAGTCGTAAAAAATATATTTTTCTAATTAAAAATTTGATTGTTTGCAAACTATAGATTTCACTAAGATCACATACCAAGCATTCCATCGTAAATTAGATATTTTCATGCTACTCGCTTCAATACAGTTAAAAAAATACTAATTCAAAAAAAGTCGAGTAGAATCATGAAACTATTCAAAAAAAAATATATTATAAATTCAAGTGTCCTGTTGATCGATGTACTTTCGAAAAAAAATAGTGAATAGTACGAAAGTAAAAGCAGCGTGTTTGAAATTGAATACTCATCGTTTCAGTGAATATAACTTGTATAGGTAGGTTTTAGAAGAAGAAAAACAGATTTAGTCAATAATATTTTTATTTATATGTGTAACAGTTGGTTTAGCAACAGGTAATAATAAACTTGATCATTCTTTGTGAAAATCATGAGCCTGACAAAAGTAACTAATGCGTGTTCGAAATCTAATGTGTGTTTGACATTGAGTATCAATGAGTCACTTAATATAGTTGAAGTATATACTAATTCATCAATCATCGGCTAATCGATTTTAATTAAAACTTTTGTATTACATTTTCTCCTTAAAAGTTTTCAATTGAATATCATTGAAAAATCGTTTATAGATGTCACTAATAGAAATTGTAGTCTTAGCATCATAAAAAAGATTAATTGAATTTTATTATGAAAAGAAAATTCATAATGAAAAATATAGGATTCCGTGAAAACGGTTTCATCCAATCCAACCTAATAATTAATAAATCATTCGTCTGCACGTGAGCAACTCAAAGAGAAAACGAATCAAGCAGGACATTATTTCTCATCTACTTAATAGATAGTATTTTTATACATGTCATGTTTGTTTTTACGAACTTCATAAACTTTTATTGTAAAGAAAATATTTGCCGTCTATTTTAATATTTTATCTTCTATAATCCATAATTATTCTTACTTGTTAATCAAAATTTTAATTATTATCTATGCCAATCAAATCACCAGAACGACAAGTTTAGTCTTGTGGCTGTGTAAGTATTTTTCTCACTGGTTTGATGATTTTAATAGTTTCTAACCTTCAAATATCTTATTGATGTTTTCTAAAGAAAAAATGTCATATTTAACATCAAATAATCAATAGATGGCCTTTCATATAGTCAAGTATTTGCATAGGCCAATGTCTCTAAATATATATTTGGTTGTTTCAAGCAATCAACTAACCGTAGATTGATTTTGACTACTGAGCTTTTCAATGAATAAACAGAGATTGTAAGTGATGCATTATGGTTTTTCAGGTGAATTTTCGTATAGTAAAGAATTAATTAAACTCAATAGATGATTTCATTTGATATTCAATATCTTCGCATCTATGGATAAAAATCTGATGTTTTTCAAGTAAATTAAGTACTATTTAGTTACTCTCTATCTAAGTTCATAAAATTATTTTCAAAACAATATGAAATCATATTCATTTGTTAACAATATTTAAAGTAAATTATTAGTAATTATGCAATAAAAAAAACAGAAGATTTCCACTTCTTTTTAATCAAATTGACTGCCTCTTTTCTTGTTGACGCGAAGGAAGCCTCACTAGAGCATTCTTCCCTATGAATAACATAAACAATGTTTGCTCTGAAGTATAATTATTTTCTTCAGTAACGAATTGCAGTTAGTTGCTAATACTAGTCCAGCGATGAACTATTAAATATCGGTAAGATTTTTCTTTAACAGCGAAAATTTTTATCGTTCTGTAAAACTTGTATTCATTATATCTTCTGCATTATCGTGAGCAAGATGATCTTAAAGCTAAAAAGAAACAAGTGTACCCGTTTATTCCGAAGAAATAAAATTTTCAAATCAATTTCAGAATGACTTAATTATTCAATTCGAATAATGAGACTCACTAGTTATGAAAGTTTTATCAGATATGCATTAAATGGACACCATCATTTTAATTTGTCTTAAGTAGAAGTAACTAAGAACGGCAATATTCAAACAATGCGATGTAGCCGAGCTTAAGATATTTCAATTATTGATAATCGAATAGAAAGACGTACCTTTCACTTTTTTCTTCTATCACATTATTTTCAACTTACATGAAAACATTTTCCTAAGGCAAGAAAAAATAAATAAATGAAGTCAGCCTCTATTTTTATCAAATAAGCTCTTAAGATTTCTCATTTATTTTGTTTTTGTTAAATCATAAACTGGCTTGTATAAATGCCAGATCTTATCCATTGCAATACTCGTCATTAGATAAATATTTCGTCCGAACGTATTATTGATTAAAACAAAACATATTCTCTTTCCACATTTCTTCCTTTTGATGCATAATCTCTAGCTTTCTTTTTGCAAAGCGTCTGCTCAATGTTAAACAGTTTTCTGCATGATGTTTTTTCCTTTTCTTTTCTTTTCTTTTCTTTTCTTTTCTTGGCATATTCATGTTCCTTATGTACTTTTACATATACTAACGAGTAAAAATCTAGATGTACAGACGCATGCTCTTGCTCGAACGTTTATTCTTTCGATAAGACATCCCGGAATCTATTGTTACTGTTTTCTTCAAGTAGTTGTTGATATATATTCCCTGAGCTCATTTAGTTAATGAATACGCATTGCTGTTTCCTTTTCTCTTCTATTATCTAATGACAAAGTAAAAAAACAGAGATATAATAATACGCTGAAAGACTCGATGGTATCCTTTCTTTTACATACGTTTCAAGTACTCTTACACTTGATCGAATAGACAATCTGTCTTTTTGTTTAAATGAAAATCATAATACAAATTATTTTGTCATAATACTGACGCCTAACAGTGCTGCTAAGATCGCGTTCATTATCCTTCTTTGGTTCTTTCTTTACAAGATGATGGGGGCAAAAAGAAAGAAGTCGACCGACAGAAGGAAAAAAGTACGAGAGGGAGGAGTAAGACACGCTTACATGCGTGTGAATATGGGAATTGCGTCTATCCTTTCCTTTGTATTATTCAGCTGATAGTCTTTATATTCGAAGCATTTTTGTTGGTGTAGGCTAAGGGAAGAAGCAAAAAGAAAAAAAGAATTACACCGTATACTATAAACTAACGTTCAGATGCGTCAAAGAATTTTGTGAGAAGATAGCGCTAATCGTGCGAAATAATGTGTTCTGTGTTTGTTTGATTCAGACTGAATCGAATATATTGCCATATTTATCAAATATGAGCTTTTTAAAGGAAAGATAAAATATTCTTTCTATTTTTTTTATTGTCTATATTACAAATTCGCTTATTTTCTTTCCCATTCTTTTAGTTTTCATATTGCCTTGAGTTTTTGCCATTTATTTATTCTTTTCTTCTTTTTTTGCTCTGCATGTTGAAGTAGTATTTGACAAAAACAACAAATGTTTTTTTTTCACTTTTACATTTGTGACCCGTTTCTTTTTTTCTTCTTTTGTCTTTTGCTTTCTACCATCATTTCTTTTAAATAGACACAGTAAGAAATGAGAAGAAGCAAAAACATATTAACGAATATGTACTTGAAGCATTCATTTTGTTAGTCTGACACATGTTGGATCAATTTTACTGTTTCGTATTTCAGAATAGAAAGAAATGTTTTCAAGTACTGTATGGCATATTTTTAGATGATCTGTTGTTAATGACGATTTTATTATGTAGAATAAAATAAAAATAAAATAGATTAATAAACGAAATAAAAACTCTAAACAAATCTTTTAAATAGTCAATAATCGATTGATTTTTATATGGTTTTATGTTAATATTATATATTTAATTGTTGGAAAATAGTATTGAAACGCTCGTTAACGTTAAACGAAACAAAGGCAATGCGGCAGCCGATGCCGTAATGTCTGATGGCAGCAAACGTATGTCAAGTTTTTATTTTAACTTTTCATATAAGTATTCTGAAAATCTGTTTTAGCTGCCGTGCCTGCATACGCACAGCAACATCAACAAAATAGACTACCATTTGAATCAATGGGCAATGTATTGCTCGATGCGATGCAAGGAACACTTTTTTGTCTTGATAATTCTAATCGTATCGTTGGTGTATCGAAAACAGCGAAACGTTATTTTGGTTTTGAACAAGTTCGTGAATATTCAAATACAATGCGTCTCTCTATAGCACTTTGGTTTATTTTAGGCCGAACTTTTGGGTATATCAATATTGCTACTGATTGAAGAGAGTGAAAAAGATGCATTTTCTAAATTTCTTAATAGTCCACCACAACGTAAGTTAGATATGTTACTGTTGTTTTGATATAAAAATTGATTTCGTCTATTCATTCGACCCAATTTCGAATAGATTTGATTAGAAACCAATAGTAAACACTGATAAGGTGTTGAGCCTTAATGATGGATCGATTCACTTCGAGATGCCCTGTTTATCCTCTGTGTGACTTGCGACTTTTCTTCTACAACTTCAAGATTCAAATCGTGGTATCATGACTATAGATTGTACTGGACTTTTCACTGACTAGTAATGCAAAATATAAAGATGCCAACAGCGTACTATAATAGAAATAGTACGAAGAGATACTTCGTCACGAGTATTTAAAAAGAAGAAATGAAGAATACTCATTCGAGATCAGTAGGAAAAAGATACTAGATAGAATCGTTCAAATAGAAATTTAAGAATGAAGAATTTTTATTCAAAGTCAATTTTTTCTATACCAAATATCAGTAAAGCGCTGAAAGAATTTTATCGATTTGTTTCGAAAATTGCGTCTGTCAAATAATTGTAATCAACTTTATATTAGTAAAAGTTATTTAACCCTTTCCAGCCGGCTCCCAAAAGCGACGTAGTTAAAATTCTTCTTCTGCATATATTTTCTTATCCTGTCATAGAGATAGCTAAAAACTATTTCTTAAAATTGAACGATGCTTCTATGTTGAATGGCTGTATGTTGCCATTTGGCAACAGCCAGCCGTAAAGGGTCAAAACTTTGAAAAATTCAGTTGTCATTTTCGATCATCGAAATTCACTATTTTGCGTTCCTTTCATTTAATTGTTCAAGAATAAAGTGTAAAAAATTTATACGATACGCCTGCACAGTTTCTCCACGATTCAAATCGACTTCGTACGAAAAATTTGACATACGTTGAACTTAACAAGAGAGTAGACGTATGGGTTTTTGTGTTAGTTGGCATCAGAATAGATATGCTTGTAGATCTTTTATTTCTCTATACCCGTGCCAATACGTAAATTAAATATCCATTTCCATACCAATTATTGAGAGCTACAATACTATCATGCTGACTTTTTTATAGAAAATTTCATTTAAAGCTAGGGAAAACTATGTAAATGCATCAGATATGTTTTGTTTGCTTTGTCCTTGTATGAATAAATGAAAAAACGCAAAATAGCAAATAACGATAGTTGAAAATGAAAAAAGATTTTTCAAAAATTTTGACCCCTCGCGGCCGGTTGTTGCCATTTGGCAACATCCATACCTCTTATTGTCAGTACTTATTGAATCATCTCTTTGAGTGATACAATGTACAATAGATCAAGGAGGGGAAATTTACCACTAGCGACCTGTGGGATTGAATGATTTAGGGTACCATAAGAACGTCTATTATGATTCAGTTATTCTTTAGAAGTATTCAGGAGGACTCCGGCAATTTTCTCAGCTGAACGTTTTTGTTGTGTTTCATGGGCTATGAGTGTGTTGTAAAATATCTTGTAGTAATTATTGAACTATTGATTCACTATCTGTTCACAGTATAGCTAGACCTTTCTTAAAATATCGGCACAATGTTGCTAAATGGCAACATTAGGCCGTAAAGGGTTAAAGAAAAAATCCTATAAGCTTTTCTTTTCTTTTTTTTTTAAATAAGATTTCGCTGAAGCTTCACTCATTTAACTAAAGTACCTTGAAAGTCACAGTAAAAACTTCACAGTTCAAACTCACCACCTAAATAAATACTATGGCAAAGTCTTTTCTTTTTTCATTTTTATTATTTTTTGCACTGTGGGACGCTGTCGAATACCACACCATTAATTATTTGCATTTCGCTAAGGATGTGAAGAACTCAAGTTCGAATAATACTTGACATGACTGAAAGTGAGCATGTGGTAATGCTCGTTTGCTTTAATTTTCTTACAAACTCGTTATCATTTCTTTAGAAAGATTTAGTTGTATCATCATCTCTATATTCTGGTTTAATACAATCTAATGATTAATAAGTTACATCTTGACGTAGATAGGTGCTGTCAATGTACGAGGATGAGGAGACTAGAAATGAACGAGCGGATCTTACAAACACATTATAAGAATTCTACTACAACTTTGAAGAACTCTTCATTTGAAATAGAATAAATAAATTTGAAAGCTCAAAACAGATAGAATGAAACAAGTCAATACTCTTCGTTTTTTTTTTATTAACGTGGATTACAATAAGAACCCAACGAAAACGAACGTAGCTCAAGTTAAAGCTCAGAGAGCATTTTCTGAGTATACTTTTCCAGTTCTCAGGTGTACTTTCAATTACTTGCCATTGTGTTTTTCAATTTTATACAGAATCTCAAGTGCAAAAGTTTGTTGCTTCCTTTATTAGAGATTTTACTGCGAGTGAACGATCTATTCGAGTATTTACTATGAAAAGGATATATTTTTCATAGAGAATATTAGATTTCCTTTTTCCTAATGAAAATAGCTTCATATTCAGTTTATAATGAATTAGAATCAAATATTCAGTATAGATTTCATTTGGACAAGATGAGTGTAATAGAAAATTTTTATTATAAATTTTTAATAAGGGTTAATATGAAAAAAATAAAATTTCACCTACTTTTTCCTCCTATGAGCCATATTAAAATATTTTAGGAAAGAATGAAACGTTATGAGAGTGAAAAATTAATATTTTAATTTAAAACGCTTGTTTTTCTTTCAAGATAAAAAATTATTCTTAGGAAATATATTTATGATAGAGTAATTTACCACCGATATCTTTCAACTTATCATGTTTGTCTGCTTCTATTAACAGTTCATTTGGACAGTTTTAACCTTTTTTCCACAGGGAACCTTTTTTATGATAAATACAATAATAATATGCATGAATACATCTGAATTGTTTCCGGACTGATGACATTTCTGTAAATCTATCTTCCCAAAAGAATTAACGTCAATTTCTGTCTATGTTTGATAAATGCTTCTGTTTCATTGTAGTTTTATCTTTGTCTGACATGTGCTGTCTCAAGGCAACTTTTCCTTTTATCTAGCGCTACAGAATAAGCTATTGTTGTTATTTCACTTCTTTGCTTTGCCTTACATATATGTATAAAGTGACTCAAATAGACAACGAAATTTTTAATCTACTGTGTACTAAAGCACAATATGAACAAGGATGATAATGTTTCCGTAAGACTTGGAAAGTTGGTTTTCGAAGGTTTAAAATTAAAAAGGTTACGAGTACAACAAATAACGAAATTAAATGTTTTCATAAGCTTCAGTGTTTGTACGATTTCTGTAATACTTGTAAGTTTTCATAGGAAGTTCGTAGAAAATGAAATTACTACCAATTTGTGCTTCTTGAAATAGAATAATTATATATATGATAGAAGATTTTCAAACATTAAAGCGAACGTCTTCAGTAACCATATCATCTTTGAGCATTTTCTTTTGCTATAGAATACACCAGATAGGAGCCTCTATTTTCTGTTAAAACCGCTGTGTACATATCCTAACCTAGGTCGAGCAATCATATTGTAAGATCTGATAAGATCTTGCATCTGATCTTATATGATCTTACACGATCATACGAAAATCATACAAAAAATCGTAGTTCCTGAGATCTTAGATCAGGTCAAACAATCAAATCCTTCAAAGATCGTATTAATGTGTAAGATCGTTCAAGAATCTGATTGTACGAATTGATCTAAGATCCCAGGAACCACGATTTTTTGTCAGATTCTTGTAAGATTTCGCCCGTATTCCAAGATTTTGTACGTGTTTCATAAGATCTTGTGTTAGATCTTTTGCCCTGGGTAATGTAATAATAAACATGCAATAGTTTCTATAGTATAAGATCAGATGTGTTCTCATACCGAACAATTTGCCATATGTTACACTATAGAGTAAATCAATATTTTCTTCATGAAATCCATAACAGAAACTGAAAGAAATAGGTTTACCATCTTTCATGATGAATTCTGATTTGACTATCACTATTTCTCGAGATACTTGTGTCTCTAGAGCCTAACGGTTTGTCAGTTTCATTCACACTATCTTTTTGTTTTCATCGGGATTACGTAAGTACTGCTTTACAATATAAATTAAACAGATGGTGTCAGCTCATATCACACATGATGTACTCTTAAATATTGCATTTTAATATATCATCCTTTATCTCACAGAAGAGTGTTTTTATCTATAAAAAAAAGCCAGTGTTCTTCTATTTTAGCTCATGAAACCTATTATGCTCGTATGGCGATAAATCTTACCAATGAATATCGTCAAGTCAGAATTCAACGAAAGAAAAAAACGAATCTAGAGAACGCCGCCAGTAGGAATAAAATAAATCGATTCTTTTTTAATCATATTTTTTGTTAAAATGAAATAGACGTTCATTCAACGACAATACGACGTAATAGTGCAGTTGGAACAAGCCTTATAATAACAATAGAAGATTCATCTTATATTGATATAACTCTTCATGATATACATAAACAAGAATTTTATACTAAAATGAATTTAGTTGGTGAAATCATTTTTGAAGATCATCGAGGTGCTTTAGTAACTGGTTATTTACCACATGAAATACTTTCAAAATCCATATTTGATTTTGTCTACCATGAGGATCGTTTAGTTAAATTACATGCACTTTGGAAATGTATAAAAAAATCGTTTTTTTTCTCATTATTATGAATTCTAAAATTTGACTTTTCAGGTGTAACCACTGGTTCAAGTAAATTACAATGGCGTTTAAATGCACGTGATGGTTCTATAGTGTTTCTTCAAACCGAGTATAAATTAATATCTGATCCACAAACTTCAGATATAATTATAGCACGAAATGAAGTTTTAAAGTAAATTTACAAATATCTATAATCATATTTTAATGTTGTTATTTTTTTTTCTTTCGATTTACTAGTCCAATGCAAAGATCACAATTTGATGAATTACAAACAGCTTGGAAACATCAATGTGCTGCTGATATTAAAGGAAATAGTTTATCGTTTAAATTTCGTAAGGAAAACTTTTTTCCGAGAAAGATTTATATTTTCATTAATTTAGTTTCATCATCGGGCAATGATTCATCATCGGCATCCAATGATCAATGCCGTATATGTGTGCCTTCATTAGGTATGTGTTTTACAACAGATAAACTACAGCCATTATATCTGCCAGGCAATATATTTGGTATATCAAAATTAACACGTCGGCTGACTATGCAAGATTATATACAAGTATTGATGGATAATGATAAACATATGGATGGTGAATTGGTCACTATGATTAATAATATTCAATCATCGCCAGCTTGCTATAGACGTTTAAACGAAAAGACTAATGAACCACAACAAAATGGTTTAGGTAGAATAAAAATTTTGTCATGACAAAAATAAAATGTGTTGAACTATTATTTTTTAATAGACGTAATCATGGATGAAAAAGTTCCATTGGATTTGTCACCATCAGCTTTAGTAGATATAACATTACAATCTAAAACTGATTCAGAATCTATTGTACGAGGTATACTTAATAATTCAATGAAATATAATCATGAAAAAGAGTCCGGTTTGTGGCGATTAATAAGTTCTTCTCACTGTAATTCTACTTTTTTCAGATGATTCATCTTCAACAGTTGCTCGACTTTTAAATGGCAATGGGCATAGTATACAAAATGGAAGTACAAGATCGTCGACGGTAACATCGCAATTTCAAACAGATCCATCCAAGGTTTATAGAATTGAAAACATTATTTCTATTGATTTTGATTCAACATATATAGTCGAATTCAACTCCAGCCAGCCAGGAAACGGCACAACAACAAGATGTTGATTTCTTAAAAAAATATAAAGCAGGTTGGTTTTAATGAAAGAAAATTAGATTCAAATAACGATGACCTAATCTTAACATCGAAACTAATAGAAGCGTAAAGATTACATTAGCTTATGTCTTGAGCAATAACTAGTTGAAAATTATTTTTTTCAAACACGCACATTATCATCGCCTATTATGTATCAGAGGATTTCTAATAAAAAGTTTCATTTCAGGCGAAGTCATTCATGACTTTTACGTTCTTGTGTATACAAAAAAAAAGAACCAATAAGGTTTGAGAAGTTTTTAAACATTCAAAATATTTATAGTATCGTACTATTGACTGACAGACGAAGTGTTACCTTGAAATTTTTTATTTAAAATTTTGTGTATTATCTACAGATGAAAATATTCATTAAGATCGAAGGTTGGACGTTTCCCCGTTATTCAATCAACACATAAAATTTAATGATAATTTATTTTTAGCCAAAGCTAAATTAGAATCTCAATTAGAATCAATTCGAAGGCAAGAAATAATTGATGGTACACAAACAAATGAGCGAACAAGACGAGTAAGAATTTGTCTTTAAAAACTCATCTGCCATGTGTCTATTTCGTTTGCCATTATTTTAATTAGAACACAATATTAAATAAATTAGCTCAATTAGAACACATCAAAAATAAACATTTTGCACGCCGACATGCATCGAAACGACCAACAAGTGCAACAGCAACAGCAGTACCTGTTAATAATCCAGAACAAAAAGATTTTCTTAATAGTTTGTTTTCATCATCATCACCTCAATCAGTTGGATTATTTTCGTTGGATAATACGAATACAAGAATATCATCGATTCCGTCGCCGTTATCATCTTTATTTGCTTCACCAAATGATCCATTATCACATTATTCATCTAATTATCAAGATCAACGAAATTCATCACAACAGTTCGATCCCGGACAAACTTCGCCTTATTTTGATGTGAAATCTCAATTGTTTGATGAATTTCTAACATCACCATCATCAACATATACACCGGTTAACAATAACAATAATAACTCATCAACATCTCTACATTCACATATGAACGCTTCATATCAAAGAACAACCAATGATTCAACATCCCCTTCCTTTCCTAACCATCAAAACACTACAACATATCCTTACTAATGTATTATTTATGTACAGTTTTGTATTACTCGATCAACTGTGATTTGTTTTTTTTCTTCTTCTTCTTCTTCTATTCTATTCGGGATAGTTATTTTTGATTTGTAACTAATTTGACAGTCACTTTGTTCATATCATTTTGTTGCTCAAAAAAAAACTGTGCCGTCCTAATTAAGGATTGTCATCGTATATAAATATATACGTATATAACGAAACATGTTGAGCATAGATACAGAAAACTAAAAACGAAAGAAAAATTTTAATGTTGACCATTTTGTTTCTTTTACATGATTATCTATGCGTTGTTATTGTTTTTGCGCAATAGATTTCATTTTGCCGAACAGTGTTTATTAAACTAATTCGTGTTCTTTTTGTTGGTTTCTAATGGACAGTATCAAATACATGAAACAATGGAAACGAACACAAATTTAATTTCTATTTGATTAGTTTTACCCAGCGAGTAAAATGAATTTTCCCATGCAGCTCATACTCATAATTTATTGAAGAAAATAAACGGAATTTTTACCCATGCATAGATTGAATTACTTTTGATATGTTATACTTGTTTTAGGCTGAATGATCCAGTGCTGAGATATCGAATTTCCAAAGAGTACTCACTTATTACATAAATGGAGTATGCTTACAAAACTCAATATCTTAAAATAGATCGAATATCTTAGAGTCTGCTAATACTTGCAAAATATTTTTTTTCTGCATTATTTGACCTATTCAGGGTAAGATTTTGCGCTAAATTACCTTTTTGAATTTTTTGCTATATGTTTGAAGTTGTCCCAGGTCGAACTGTCCGGACTGGAAACGGCCGGTTCCGGTTAGTTCCGTTGATTTTGTGGAAGCAGCATTCCGGTTGGAAAATATTCGCATTTTTTTTCCGGTGATTTCCGGTCAATTCCTGCCGGAAAGCACCGGAACTTGGCAGGAATCCACCGGAAAAGTCCGGCCGTATTTTTGACCAGAATACTGCTTCCATTTTCCAGTGATTTCCCGTGTTTCCCTGCAGGATATGGTGACTTTCCCGCATACTTCCTGGAGTATCCTAGGGGATCCGGCGGCCAGAATGTTCGACCTGGGGTGTTGTAAATTCAAAAAAAGAACAATCATAATTCGACTTATAAAGACAAATCAGTTCAAACTTTTTTCGAGTGTCACCTTGACGAGTTTCTTTTAATTTATTCACTAACATTTCAGTTTATTTGTGAATTGAACAACAATTGTTAAAATAGAAAAATGTTAATGAGGACGATTTTAAAATTTACGCGGTTTTTATTATTCCAACAAAGTTTGGAGATATTGCTCTTATGGATTAACCGCAATCTAATCGTTTAGAATGATAAGTGTTGAACATAATAGACAAGACGTTTTGTTGATGATGTTCAATAAGTGTTCGCTTGCCATACATCCAGTGATGAAAATAAGACGTTCACCATAAATATGTTCATGGCATGTAGAAATGATCGGAACTCATTCACTTAATTACTTACGATGTCATAGATCTTAAAACACGCCTTCTTTATGTAACATCCTACACATCATAGTTAATGAAAACATCTCTTATAGTGCGAGAAGACTTCGATATACTAGAATTCCATGCTCATTACTAATAATGTTTTCGTAATAATTATTCGCGCTATGTATTTTATTCAATTGTATTAAGCGGGAAAAAACAAAAACAAACAAAATACAGGATAATTGTATTTTATCCTTGCGATAGATATGATAAAATGACATTCAGACAAAGAGCAGTGTTTACAACAGATGAAGACTTGAGAAGAATCTAGTGTAAGATAGGCATTTCATCATAGAAAGTAAATAATCAAATATTAACATAAAATGATTTTCATTTGCCGAAGAAAAAAGTGATAAAAGTAAATAGTAGACTCACAAAAAGAAGTTATTCGAAAATTTCTCCATCTTAAATATAACCTTGATGAATCTAATGTTGTTATCTTTTTTACTATTTTTACTTCACTTAATGCGCTTGTCAAGACATATATTTGCATACAGCAAAACAAGAGAATAAAACCACAATAAAATATCAGCGGTGGAGTAAATTAAAACCGTATTGATGAAAAGTATTTGGTTAGAACATTTACTTGCACCTGATCCAAAATTCAAATATCAATACATTATTTTTAGTACCACATTTAAATAGAAGTTACGAAAACATAGTTGTTAGCTGATTTATTGTTCTTATGTGTTCTACAAATACATTTAACTTTTTCCGGGTAAGTTAAAAATCTCTCCCAAAAAAATTAAAAACTTCCCTTACACTCAACACTTGAGAACGTACACTCTACAAACACTGCACGATTTTAAACAGACATTCAACGGAATTTTATTTGCATTTGGTAAGTACGCGATGAGAAACCTGAAAGGTTCTTCCTCTAGGCATACGTTCTCCAATATACCTACTTTTTGTAGTGTATTGACATGTACAATGCCTTAATGGCTAATAGAACAACAATAGCATGTCAGGAAGCCTTCTAATTACGACGAATATATAGTGTGGCTCAATATAGTTTGGGTAAACGATAAGATTAGTATCGATTATAAATCTTCAAGGGTGCCTCTGTGAAGAAGATTTTATTTTCTAGGAAGTTGATATTTTCATGTAGCAGCACATTTTAATGTGACCCGTGATTTATATTTCTACTGATTATCCTATTGACAAGAAAGACTTCGTATTCATATAGTTTTATAAGTGAGTTTCTATGCTTCTATAGATTTTTAGCGTCATTTATTCATGACAATAATAAGAATAGTTTCTCAAATATCTTATTCATAAAAGTGTAATTATCGACACTAAATTTTCTGGACTCTTGAACAACACTACTCGAATTTCACTTTTTTAAGATAGGTATTCTTTTTTTTACAGATAAATATTGTGTAAAAAATTATTGCTTGTCTTATATTTCTATTATTTTAAGAAATGACTAAATATATAGATTTTCGTCCTGATTGATAATGTATTATATTATGAATAACTTGGTTACTAAAGTCCCGTAAGTTTTTACACAGCTATCCACAGATGTCACTATATACGATTTTTTTTAAATTCAAATTAAGCAATATTTTTCTAACTAATATTTAACTAGAAAATGATTTATTTCATATTAGAAAAAAGTATTTATCTTTGAAATTGTATTAATGTTGATAGTAGCGCTTCCTATGATTTTTGCTATGAGGAAGTTAAACTTGATTGATGGCTGCTGTAGTGAATGATGATTGTGTATACAATGTAACATGAATGCATTTAAATAATGAAAATGAATGATTCTTTCAATGTACTTACAGAATTATTAAATTTTAGTCTTCGTTTCTGTTTTGTATAAGAAGTATTTTTCGGAGTAGTTCTATAGTTTCTTTTTGTTCGCTTAGATATATTTCATGAGGAATATTATCTCGAATTCGAACAAGCAAAAGATTAAATTCGTCTATTGAAAGAAGCAAAGCCTATTGAATATATATATATATATATATATATATATATATTGATTAACAAATTGATTTCTGGTGAAATCAATAATTAAAAGAAAATCATCAAATCATCATTATGTCCAATCTGCCTTTACAATCAGCAGTAAATCATAATGATGATAATGATGAACAAATTAATTCTACTAGTAATAAATTATCAACGTTAAATAGTCGAATAACATCACCGTTAATTATTAAACGCCAGCAAAAAAACGAAACCGAAATAGCGAACAATCAAGCATATGATGAAATACACGATTTACAACCGAAACATTCCTTATCAAAAAAGTTTGTGATTCAATTATTTACTAATTTATCATAATAATTATCATTTTTCTTTGCTCTTTAGAATAAACAATGATAATTCATACGTGAAAAATACGACACGACAATGTCTATCACATCAAATTAATTCTCATGAATTAATGCAAGGAAATTATTATGATCAAAATCGTTTTAATGCTGACTGTAATTCTTCGTCAAATCAACAGTCGGAACCAATATTAATCAATATTAATGTTGAAGATTATAAAAAGGTAAATATTCAATAGAAACTTTTTTTTTCTGTTTTTATCCACAGTATTCTATATAAAAAAGCATGAAATTTATGTGCATGAACTTTGTCCTTATGTGTTTGCATGGGAGAAAGTAATGTGCCTTATTGTGATTGTCTCTCTGAGTATGCGTTTCTCTTGTAATAGAGATACGTTGATAGGTGTGTGTGTGTGTATATGCATATATCTGTGACAGCATGCTGTATGTTACCAAGGCACAAAATGGCGAGCAACGATGATGTGCCCGTTTCTTTTCTTTTCTTTCCTTTCGCACATCCAATTCTTGTTTAGACGTTTGCTCCAGTCTCTACAAGTAAAAACAGTAATAACAAAAATCGAACGAGGTCACCTCCATTTGGTGATACAAGTGAATCCATTCAACACGGCATCGCTCAAAGTGCTGGAATATTGCTTGAGCTTAATAAAAACCCAGATCATCACCATCATCATCAATCTAAATCTACAATGAAAACTAGTACAAAATCTCATGAACAAGCTGTTATAAATTATTTTCCAAATGATAATGAAAATACTAATAAACAACGTTCATTATCGCCATCGTCATCTGATTGTTCAACATCAGATACGTCAACATCAAATAAAAGTCATGGAGAAAATACGAAAACAAATATACCCTATGAAAAATTAGTCAACGACGATGATAATAACGAGGATGAACAAGTAATTGAACAAACAAAAAAGCCATTAACAGAATCGACTATTCTATTAAATAAAAATCATTCACAAACTTATGGTACACAATCAACAACAAACATTCACTATGAACGCAGTAAATATCTATCCAATAATGGTTATAATTCTCATGGTTCTTCTGTAACAACAAAATCGTCATCAGATAATAGTGGAAGTATACGTACTAATTCTGGTACAGATAATGATGAAGAATCTGACGAAGAACATTATAATAATTCAACATTATCAAATAATCCACTTTCAATGTCGTCGTCTCATAATATAGATACATCAATGAAATCAGTAAGTAACCAAACAAAAGCGTCGTATTTCTATTGAATTTGAATCATTTCATTTTCTTTTTCTATCGTTATAGTTGAATAAAACAAGTGATATCCAATATCCATATTCAAGTAATTAATAAATTCTCTGCTTTTTACATATAGAAAAAAGAAAGAAATCTAATCTTATTATTTTATATAGACGAACAAAATCATTATCTTTTAAAACAAATGAATATGAATCAAATTAGTAATACTGAGAAGCCTCATTTACAAGTACCTCGTATGAAACAAACGCATAATGATGGTAAGTTGTTTCTTCTTCCTTTTAAAGATTGATGAGAGACAAAACGTTGACTTTTTTCTTCTTCGTCATCATTCTATGGATAAATTGAGTGGAGAAAAACAATTAGAGATGATTGTGAAATGCTTGAATACGATGAGGTACTTATATATGTACGTGAGTATTGAAAGTTGAGTCGTGCTTGTGTTTTTATATCATCAAAACTGATATTAAAGATAAAAGAAAAGAAAAAGAGCGAATCAACGAAAAAAAAATGTAACATCGGATAAGTATACAAAAAACCGTTCACACTATTACCGTCGCTTCTTCTTTTTTTCCTTCTCTTCTTCATAACTACCAATCAGTCGACCGAATAATAGACCTGCCTTTCTTTCGCTCTTATCTCATTTTTCAATATGATTATCAATTCACTAGCATAATCATGACCCATTTTCTTCACGTGCGTATCTTTTTGAAAAAATCTGTCGGTACGTGCACACACAATCATCATTGCATGCTACAGCTGATTCAGAATACTGAATTTGTAAAAAATGAATGATTTTATTTGTCAATAATGTTTTCATATTATAAACTATCTGGAAATCTTGTTTATATTACAAATAACGGTAAGATTTTGACTAGGGGTGGCACTTTAACTTAACTTTAACCGTAAAGTTTAAAGTTGTTTAAAGCCGCCTTTAAACGGTTCTTTTTAATACTTTTTATTGTATTGACATATTTATGCATGCTTGTGAGACTCTCTACAACAGATAAAACGCCGAAAATAAGCATTTAGCCGTTGCTTTAAACTCTGCACTCTACAGTCAATTTAAAGTTAAACTGCCACTCCTAATTTTGACGAATAAAAATTTTCAAAATTCAATCGTATTTTTCAAAGATTGTGTCTGAAAATTTTTGTCGATTAGACATAAAGCGTAATAATATCTTACCGATTTGAGATTGAGTTTGGGTGGATGCGGATAGGTGTTTTCCTTTGTTCACATCCATAAAACGTACTTCAATGCTTTGTCGAGACGAGGAAAAGTCGGCTGACTCAATGATTCAACAAAAAACAAATTTATTAATTTTTTTCAATACGACAGATTTGAATGGAAATGGGAATAAATTAAATCCAACTACCAATCATAATACAATACTTTTCCCATATAAATCTTCTTCGCAACTATCATCTAACAGCCAAACGAATACTTCATCGTCTAGTCATCAAAATCGGTAAAAAAAAACTCTAAAAAAAGCTATCACGGCAATATTTCCTATCGTTTTATTTTTGTCTTTTAGAAATCTTATTGAACGCAGTGAACAGCAACAACAACATTCGAATTCATCACGTACTAATAATACACGTCAAAATCAAACTCGGGCAACAGCAAAAAAACGAAAACAAGTAAGATGCGATTTGTTGTCCTTATCTTGATAGAATGTTTCGATTATAGTCTCAACAACAAGATATTATAAGAACAGAATTAATTCCAGGACATCGTGGTGATCTTGATGTCGATGAGCTTGTTATGTTTATCGATGGAGATTCATCGAAACAACGACAAAATTCAATTCCTTTACGTCCAACAGATACGAATAAACCTAGATTATCTTCAAAAATAAATGCTCTAAATGATCCAAATAGTAATAAAACGTTGTCTCGAAAAAAATCTCGTAAATCCATAAATAGTCTACACGAAACTATATCATCAACAAATAATAATGAAAATAAAACATCAGATTATTCAACAACAATTGATCAAAATAGTCAATCAATTAATTTTATTAATGAAGATAATCAAACAAAAATACATTCAATTAGTGATATTACAAATCAGCCGTTAAAAGATAAAAATATATCTACTGATACTAATAATGAATTTCATTTAAATACAATCGATGTAAATTCTACGAAAATAATTGTAAGTTTCATCTATCCTAATAAATCTTATATCGATGTCGAATCTATATAAATAATCTGAATAGAAGATTTGACTGCGAATTGCTCGAGACATGAATGACAAATTTATTTGAGATTTCTATTGACTTTAGATAATAGTTTTATTATAATTTTTTCTCTCTTCTATTTAACTAGAATGATCCATCTTCTTCGTTATCGAATTCGTTTGAACAAACTCGTACTACATCTTTGAACACTGATGATATCGATTTATATAATTTATCATCGTCAATAGCAAATACTTTGAACAGTGAAATCATATCGGAACCATTTGTAACTGTAAAAAATCGTCGTCGTTTAATAAAAGAACGTCGCCAAGATAATAATGTATCTGCACGTGCAACGCATTTTCTTCCGTCATCAACATCTGTGAAAACCAATGAAAAACGACGTATTCCATCAAGCATGAAAAATGGCTTTACACGTCCGATAGCAGGCAATAATCTTTCAAATAATAAACCTAATATTTCTCCTATAAAAAAAGAAGAAGTGAACAATCAAATTCCTTCTGAACCTGTACGTAACGTGCCTCTCCGATCCGAAGAACCATCATCTTCATCTCCCAATGTAAATTCTACTACTGAAAAGCCACAACAACTATCATCTCGCTCATCATCATCGTCTTTGTCGTCATTATTAAAACGACAATCAAAACAACCGCCTGTTATTTTTCTTAACAAATCCATTGATATTGAATTGAATGATGTTTCATTTGGTTTCGACATTGACTCAACAACATTGAATAAATCATCCGACGAGGATAATAATAATCAAGCGATAACAACCAAAGTTGATGTCGATGCAACAAATACATCAATATCGTCATCATCGGATCAGCCTAACCAGTTGAATGATACATTAAATGATTCTCTAACACAAAAGTCGAATCGAAAATTTCAACAACGAAATAATCGTTCACCACAATTTTATTCAGGTTCGGACATTCGTCCTCATCAGCAACGTGCTTATCCAGCACAGCCTATGCCACAAACGTCGTATATAGATCCTCTTCTTCTTTTACAATATAATCAACGTTTAGCCAATTATTCTCAACATGTAGCCTACATGAATTTACTACGTGCACAGTATATGCAATCTCAATCTCAATATGTTTATCTGCCGACGACATATGCAACAACTGCAACAGCAAATGAAGCTGACTCGGATGATACTACAAATGAAACATTATCGGATCAAGTTCAAGAACCATTACTTGTCTATGCAACTCCAACAGGTTCATTTTATTACCCGTCGTCAACAGTTAAAAAATCTCCAATAGATCTCGAACAACAACAGCAATCAGCTGCTCCTATTCCAACAGTTTATACAGCACCACCTATGTACCCATCACCTTATTTTTATCCATCACATGCATCACATTTAATACCATCACATCCAGCTTATTTTCAACCAATACCAGCATCATCGTCATCATCATTGTTAATAGATACGAAACTCGAACAAAATACTATGGATATCGATGATGACGATTATAAAAATTCAACAAATTTACATCCTCAAATACGTCAGCAATCATCATCAGATATTATGTCTAATGCGTTACAACTTGTTTATAGCCAACAACGACGAAATGCTCAAACAGATCGTTTTAATCTCGATGATTTAACTGCTTATTTAGCAATGAAATGGACAGATACCGTTGATCACTATGAACAAGGTACACTATGTAAACCAATGTTACATTGATTCAGATGTCTTAACTTCAAAAATCCTTTGGCTCTGTTTTTTTCAATAAAACTGAACTATTTTCTTTGAGTGTAAATATCGCTGACAAACTAAGACTATCAAAATTTTATTTCATATTCATTATGAATCTAAATCGGAGCAGTTCGATTAGTAGAAAAGCTGCTTATACGATAGACAGTATGATTTGTTCGTGCACTATCACCGTTGCATGCCTAAACAGAACCATTAATTAGAATCGAATATTTGCACACTAGTTTTATTTTAAACGAATTTTTCAATAAATAATCATTTATTTGTTTGGTTTCATTTAGGAGATAATCGGATATTATTAGTTAATGATCAAGTATAATGGAAGTTTTAATTGAAAACTAGCCAAGAATTCAAATGAGAATAGAATTATTACTATTATGTCTACGCTGTTTCTTCCCCTGTTGAACTAAAATAGTTTTTATGATCTTGTTCTTTTTATTTAAATCGCAACGTCGACACAGTTTTGTGTGAACTCAAAGCTCAAACATAAAATATGTTGCTATGACGTGCACCTTAAGCATTGTTTTTGTTTGTTCCATGTGTAAAAGCAAAATTTAATAGTTCCTTCTTTTTGTTTGTTAACACTGTTTTTTTTTGTGCTTTGTGTTTTTCTTTTTATGACAAGTAGTATGTGTGTTCACTTTCGTTTTCATTTGTCTTGTTGCTGCTGCTTTTTAATGTGATAAATCTTTTACTTATTTAATTGATGGTTTATGCACTATCTTCATTACTGTTTATTTCTATTTTCAAAAAAAAAAATTCAACAAATTTTTGTTAGTATCCTGTAATGAACTCGACCAGAAATTAATTTCTAGCTAAGTAACAGCATCTAGCTGTACGGAAAGAAAAAAAATTCTATACCGACAGTATCTTTTATCAATGATAAAAAATACGATAACATACTTATATGTTTGGTTCGTCTTCTTCCTTTTGGGTTCTTGTTTACATACTTTGTATTTCTTCTTATTTTTTTCTTTTTTTTCTTTGGCCGAGTGATATATTTATGAGTGTGTTATCTATATGTTTGTTTTTCTGTTCTCTTCTTTCTGTCAACAATAAGCTTTAAAAAGAAAAAAAAGCATGAGGATGAGTTGAGGAAAAAGGCTAAGAGATAACAAAAAAAAATTAGAATTCTTTAGATTTATAATTTAATGGATCAGTTAAAATATCAAATGTCAGAGACAAGCTAAATTGAGCTTCCAAATGAGCACATTTCTGTTTTTGTTTGGATCTTGACCATCATGATTGGCACTATTCTATCTGTGTGTGTGCGTTTGTTTTCTTTTCGAACTATGCATATACTTTGTTTACTCACTTTATTTTGTGTGTGTACTACTGTTCTGTACACACTCCTGTAAATTTTTCGTTTTCAACAGCCTTTTTTCATTGATCTTTGCTTTGATTGTTACGACTAATATTGATTGCTTTATCTATATCTTTTTTCGTTTTCTTTCTTCTTTTGGTTAATTTGATTATTGTGTTCTGCTCTTCCTTTTATCTTCGATCAATTTTTCGTATCCTATCTAAACACATTTTTCCAAACTTTATTTTGAACAACATGCATATATTAAAACCCATACGAAATAAATAAAAAAAAACAAGTAACAAAAATTGAATATTGTGTCTTCAGTATCACAAGAAACAACGGTCAATGCGAAATAGCTAAGGTTTGAGTATTCATATATCATTGATATTAATTCAGTTTTGAATTGTTAATATTACCTAAAGTTATCAGCCAAAGAAGTTCAAAAACACAAATTAAGAACGAAAAATTGTATTCTCATGGATTCATTTTCACTTCTACAAGCGGGACATCATGATTGTTTGATTTGCAACTTGAATTTTAATAGATTATGTCTGTGACTTTTTTCACGTTATTATTATAACGCAGTTAGAAAAGTTTCTTCACAAGATTGAATAACACATTAGAATGAAGTTGCAACAAGTCCACAAGATGGTGAGAAAAAGATAAAAAATGCACGATGTGAGAGCATTCTCTAGCAATCATCTTGAGGATTTTGATAATGCACAGAAGGTCTGTGGAAATCCAGGCTCGTCTGTGTCTTTCTTCGACAGGACGGGTCACATCTAGTTTTATCCATTTTGCTCATGAATCAAACTATCAGAAGGAAATGTTTTGATTTATTCAATTTTATTTTCAAGATTATCGTGTTACAAGGATTGTCAAAGTATAAAACAATAAAAAAAAATGAATACAAAAGTTAGAGCAATATCTAAGATATTCTGTTAAATGAAATTCACTAATTTCTAAAATTTACGTTATCATTATCATTATGATCATGTTTGATAGCTCGTTCTGTTTCGTCTTCTCCGTCTTCAAAACAGTCCTCTTCGTCACTGTCGCTCTCGTCTTCAGTACTTGCCTCTAGCACAGCATACTTAGATTTTTTAGTAGCAAATGCAGGTGTTTCTCTAACATCTTCCTCAGGTTTTCTACACTGCTTTACATATTCTCTTTTTATACGATGTAATGAATTTAATTTTTTTACCAAGCCATCGTTAGGTGTTTCCTGTAAAAACTTTTCAAACCTTTCTCGCAAATATTCGCGAGCAAAAGAAATTGTAAACGAACGTGCACTCCAATGGATAACAAAATCTGATGTTGTAAAGTCAGGTTCAGAATCCTTCAGTTGAAGACGTGCAGCTATGGTATAATGGCTAAAACTGGCAAATAATGTGTCTACGGTTTCGCGCTCTGCTTTCGTACTTTCATAAGGAGGTGGTCGAAAAAATTTATAAAATTTCACTGACCATTTATGCATAACACCTGTTACAAAACCAATCTGATAAAGGTAATAATCCAAATAAAAAATTATGTCTTCTCCAATTTCTCTTTCTTTTTTCTTTAGAAATGCTGTGTAAACTACCGAAATACTTCCTTCCCAACTCCAGACTTCTATCGGGACACCACTATCAATAGCATACTGAATGACAGGCTTAAAATCCGCATCTCCTGACACTAAAACAATGCGAATATGTTCGTTCTTTTCTTTAGCAGTTCGAATAGTATGAGTTATTTGAATACCTATATCTACATCAACACCTTTTTCTTTTTCTTTAATAGCCACTTCTTCGTCTTGTTTGCCTTGTTTCTTTCTAGCGGCGCGTTCTTGTTTCGTAGTGATGCGCTCATGAAACAAAACTGTAAAATATTTGCTCATTCGCTGGTACATGTGAGTTTTTTTGATTTCTTCTTTACGATCTGGACGATGAGATACAAATGAATAACATTGATCTTTTCGTGGAAATACATATGTATCACAACGGCAACATATAACTTGCAAGTGATGTGGCATCAGCACAAATCGCTGACTATGATCCATCTGGAATGAAAGAGTTGAACAGTTTTTATCTTTAATTTAGACTGAAGTTTGTCGCAAATCCTTATTACAACGCGTCTGATACAGACAAGTTTGCCAGATATTAGTGTAAAAGAGTGTTACTAATCCACGCACTATGTAAAAATTAGTTGAAAAGAAAACAAACATACCGCTTTTTCGCTGTTCGCTAAATGAATTCTCACAAATTCCTTTCGATTTTTGGATGTTAGTAATTTTTGTTCAAGCTCCTCATAATTCTAAAAAAAAGAAATAAGTTAGGATTAACTTACAATACTATCTCCTTTTTTGTTTACCTCTAAACTCTTTATAGATTTCAATATTGTCTATAAACCTGTGGCAGCATAGTTTTCAGCTTGATCAGTATAATTGTATTTTTTTGATTTACTTAAAAAATCTGCAACTGCACCTAGAAATAAATTATTAGGCATTGTTGTTGTAGCAGCAGCAGCAGTAGCAGCAGTTGTGGCTGACTCCTCATCGGGGAAGTGAGTTGCAACAGACTGCTCAGTAGTGACAGTAGCTTCAGAAACAGGAGTTGCATTATCACGATTTTCGCGATATACATTTGGATTATGCTTCTTCTTTGCCTCTCTGTAAGTATTCACCCAATCAACGAAGAAGTACACCTTTGCATGATCACTAAAAAACAAGAGACAGTTGACTATTATCGGAGAAGTAGAAAATCTAGAACATTTTAACTAATTAATCTTAAGAAAAACAGGAAGTCGAAAACTGTCAAAGCCGTCCTCTGAAAGAGCGTTAAATGCCAAACCTTTTTGCTTTCAGAATCAAACTTTTATGAAACTCTATCTAAAGGGTCTTAAAGTATATAGGGTATAGATTCATCCCCCCCCCAGACTGACAGACATTTTAATTAATTAGGCAATGACAGTCTAATTAATATTTGACTAATTAAACCATTATCTTTTTATTAGTTAATTAATTTATCACTTGTTTAACTAATTAAGGGGCCATTACAGACCGTGGTAGATTGCTGTAAACGCCTATCGAATATCATACTTAAGTAACATGTGGTTGAAATATATATAATGTATTTCCTTGATGAAGTACTATACTGAAAAATAAGCGATGATGCTGAAATATGTCCAAATGTGCAAAAACAGACCAGTTTTTCTAGGAAATGGTATAAAAAAGTTCTAAACAGAAAATGTCGTAACTAAAAATACTGAGAGAAAAAAATCCCGCATGGTAACAATATCAAACAATAATCTCGTCGAAATAAAAACATTTCGAAAATGACAGTATACGATAGTTCAATTTATTTGGATGTAAATAAGTTAGTCGATGTTTCCAAAAGACACAATTCAAAAAACTTATATACTACTAGAGTCCATCTGGTGCAACAATTCTTGAACTTAACCAATAGCACATTCTTAGGACAAGACCCGGCTGGTAAAATTTTTGTGGGCCTGAAAAACGATCGATCAAAATTGTTGCATTAGGATTTGCTTAATTAATATTTTGTGGCTAGATTCCATAAGATCTAAAAATTTCTGAATCTGAACCCAACGGATCCTACACACCAAGGATTTTGCGAAAAATAGAGGCATTAACAAAAGCGATCCAAAAGTGAAGACGCATGTTAGCTAGCAACGTATTTACTTTGTTTTGCTACAATTAATGACAAAGCAAATATACAATAACTCATTAAGATCAATTTATTCTCTATAAGGTATTCATTTACAGTATTTATACGACTCTGTGTGCAATTGTCCAGTAGTGTCAAACTTGAAACTTGAATTCAACTGAAACTTCAACTTTCAAGTTTCAAGTTTCAACTTTCACGTTTCAAGTTTTAAGTTTCAAGTTTCAGGTTTGACGTTATTGCTCTGACACTACTGCTTCCCCGGCACCCACACCCTTGAAACTTGAAAGTTGAAAGTGGAAACTTGAAAGTTGAAGTTTCAGTTGAATTCAAGTTTCAAGTTCGACATGTATGTAATTGTCGATGTTATTTTCAATCAATCTTAGAAGCATTAACATTGAACTGTAATAATCTGTGTTTGGATGTTGCCTTTTCACTTCGGAGACACAGCTAAATAGCAGTGCCTATTTACGCAATCATGAAAATTTTCAACAGTCTCATATGTTAGATTATCTTTCGATCCTTTTTTTTTATGATAGACGTTTCCATTTCAATGTTTGTTGTTTCGACTTTTTCCGTGTGTACCGTTACAGGAGTAGCTAGAATAGTTAAATCATATTTCATATTTTTAATATCACAGGGTTGTGCAGACAGAATTTTCTTTCTGAAATGTATCACTTTTAGTAAAGGGAACTTATTTCGAAATGAAATGTTTGCAGCAGATCTTAGTGCAAAAATTCATTTAAAACTAACTTTTACTTTTTATCGGCTGAGACGTTTCGATCAGATGTGTGAGTTGAATCCATGTATTTGAAAAACACGTAGCTTAACTAATATTGACCAATTTGTATAAGACAAATCTCTTAATGCATCTATTTTCAAGCATTCTCTTCTATGGTTTTCGTTATTGCATCATAGTTACTCTGTACACATAATCAGTTCTGAAAATCTTCGTCACTTCTTACGAAAATTATGATTCATTCAACCCGAAGCTTGTGTTATTGTGTACGTGCTTGTTCTTCTTTTCTATCGTATTAATTTGAATGCGCCTTGAGTTCTGTTAGAACTATTCTCTTGTATCCTATATGCATCAATAGCTAATTAAGAAAAAAAATTAGCATCATCAAATAGAAGAAAAAAAGTTAAGGCTTGAAAAAGTAAAATCCATCTATAGATGTGTCGTTTGTGCTTTTATCTACTTTAAAGTCTTGTTTGATTCTTATAAAAAAATTTCATTCTTTATTGGATGGTTTTGCGTTTAAATTATTCTTTCCATATTAACGTCTCACAGTTTTCTCTCCAGCACAGTGATGAAGCATATAATGCAAAATTTGCTTTGTTTTTCATTTATATTTCATAATTATGTTCTTGAAAAAAATCAAGAGAAAACCTTAAAAAGCTAATTAAAGCTGAAATTAAAATCACAATTCAGTTAAAGACACCAATCCAATGGACAAGATTGCTATTAGAATTATTCAAGATTGAGAATGTAACTTGAAGAAAGCTACTCAAACTTAGCTGCGTGCTGCATCTCTGGCGTTTTTAATATCCGTTTATCAATATTCAACTTTTGTTTCAATTCTATATTACATGTCATGCGCTTAACCACCGCTCATATGTAACTAGGAATCTATTTATTTAAAAATACTGTTTTTTGTTTTCTTGAATTAGTTGGTTTCATATGAAATACTCGTGTCCTTTTGTATTTAATGATGAAAACAAGTGATCAGAAGCGAAGAAATACAATATTTACAATGTGACTGAAATTTGTTTGCATGTTAAAATGAAACTATTGAAAAGCAGCTGCTTTTACTTTTTCAGACCCTATTGATTGCAGCAATATATAGAGAAAAAATAGCAATTTACGCCCACCGCTGAATCAATGGGAAAGTATAGTATTTGTGAGCATTTCCAGTTATTCCTGTACTCTCAAAATACCGAAATACACTTTTCCCCCTGGCTCCTCCCCTTAATAGCTAGCTTTCTTAAATCATCTTTTGGTAGTGAAATTATGGTTACCAACCCATTACGTTAATAGATAACTCTGGACTATTCCGCAATCTGGTCAAGGGGGAAAAAGCTGATTCTATGGCGATAGAATCATCGGAATCACACGGAATCACTCAGAGTCGATAGAATCACACAGAATCAATAGAATCACCTGGAATCAATGGAATCACTCAGAATCACTCGGAATCACCTGGAATCACATGAAGAAAAACACACATAAAAAAATGCATGTATCTGCGTCTTATCATGCTTGATCGAATACATGTCATTAGTTAGAAGCAGTTAAGTCGGTTTTTGGCAGTTTTTCACAGAGCAGTAGAATTTATTTTACCATTTTACAGCAAAGAGGCAGATTCTATTAAACTCCTGTATAATTTCGACGAAAATATACACGCTTGACGGTTTAAATCGAGGTTTTCGCCTACTTCCTCTTCCCCATGGGAAAAATTTCGTTACTTTTCAATGCTGCAAAATGCGTTAATGCTGGCCGGTTTAATACATTCCGCAGCTGCTGAATCGGTTAAAAACGCCGCGAGATTATGTACTTTTTGTTTTCATTCTGAAATAGTGGCTGCCAAACGCGTTTCGCAGTGAATATATCTTAATTTTTAACCCATGGGTCGTTCTAGCAAAGGCGAGTGAGAAGGGGAGAACAAAGTCAAAGATTATTGGGTAGATTTCTGTAGCATAGAGAAAAGGCGCGTAAGCAATAACGATGGTTATATTATTCTAAAACTCTGTACGCCCTAACTACGTAGTCTAAAGATGGCAAGTTTTGGTATTTAACGCAACGAAATGGTGTTTTTGTAGATGTCATTCAGTAGATCGAAGCTATTATTCATTTAATAGAGTAAGAATAGGATGAGCGCCATGTAAAACTATGAAATAGTTCAATTCCAAGTTTAGAAAAAACTCAGCTTACATCTCATAATTTGTCAAAACAAGTAATAGTGTGTCAGACTCTTCCTAAATGATCTAATCAATGTATATAGGAAGTTAATATGGTAGTCAAATAGATGATTGAAAGAATAAGATGATATTTACACTTGATATAACGTGTCACATATTATCATTGGAAGAAAAGAATTGATACATTGAAGATGTAATGTATTTCATAATAGAAAAAACGTTTGCAGTCTAACAATATTAAATGGATCTAATAAATTTCTCGAATAATAATAATACATGGATACATTTTCGACATGATTAAATATACGAGCACGCGTATCCACTTTAACAAGTTGTAATCGTTTTGGATGGTTTATTTGTTAAGTTATTTGATGCCCTTTCACATTTTATCTCAAGCATACAGTAAATAGAGTTTCTGAATTCCATATTTTCAGTTCTCAAGAGACTAAAGCGATAAGTTTTTCGACAGCTATTATCATATCAATCAAATTATCGAACCATTTTCTGATACATAATCAGGTTCCCAAGCAAGTTTCAACTGATTGAGTACAAAACGATTCTTTGACTTTTCAAAGTCAATCAAATTAATCTGATTGTCCAAGTCAGAACAGTTAGAAAACTTGACGGGTTGCTGGAAGCAGCGATATTAGTCTGGTTGGCACGTGAGAAACTGCTCTAAAATATGGGCGACCCTTTTTCTTTAATTTCCTTTATACTAAAGGATAATGATAAATTATTTACTGATCGCTTTTCCCTAAAGATAAAGGATTCATTTATCATTGCTTAGTGCAGTAAGACTAAATGACCACTCATATTCTATAGCTAATTAAGTTATCAATATTCTTCGATGGAACTTGCACCAAAACTCATACAATTGCAAATTTCTGTCGTCTTTGATAATGAGGAAATGAGAAAGTTTTCGACCTAAGCGATCTCTCTTGTTTCATACATTCCCAGATCGAGCAATCCGACAATAGCCACCTATCGGAACCCATCCGATCCGACTGGAATCCTATAGGATTTTATCGGATCCTCAGTGTCGGATTCCTATGAATTCCAAGGAAAAACCGTTGTATGTCATCGGAAGTTCATAGAATTCTGACACTGAGGATGCGACATCGATTCCTCGACCCGGAATCCAATAGAATTGTATCGGATTGTAGGATATTTCCAGGTTCCTATCGGATCCGATATCGGATCAATCGACCTGGGAAGTAGTTTTCGTATCTTCTTCGTTATGCTGTTGTTCCATCGCAGTACTTTCTCGGTCTTGAGAGTCACAAACAATGATGTTCGAAAGGAGTCTATAGAATATCGTGTGGTTCTCAACTTTTTGGGAAAGATTGGTGCTAGCATACACAAAGAGGCTATCTTTTGTGTTTGATACAGAAAGTAAAATGAAAAATTAAGCCATCGACTTGAACGCTCAGGCTTTTTTATGCTTTTGGAGTTTACTCTCTTCACGATCCTTCACTTCTCGACGTTTAAGGAGTCCTCAATGAGCACTCCTCTCTCCATACCATTGAACTTTTACAAACTGTATATATTAACTATGAGCTCCGATTTCGAAATCAAAACAATGAAACGAACCGCACCGGTCTGTTGGTAGGTTAGATGTCGTCCCAATATGTTATTTTATTGTTGTGAAATGAGAACTGATACGCTTTTCGCTGAGATTCAGCAATATACAGATTTTGTCTCTTGTGCTCGACTCAATGATTCTTGCCATCATGAGTGAACTGATTTCTCTATTGAATGGAATGATCGGGAGTCTTCTGAATTCATCTATGTAATGATTCAATAATGTTCCTATTGATGTTACGACATTATAGTCGAGAAATACGGTGATATTCATAGTGATTCCAGAGCCGATGGAATCATATGGAATCATATGGAATCACATGGAATCAGTAGAATCACGGAATCAGCTTTTTCCCCCTTGATAAAAATATATTATAATAATTAATAATTGATGACCTAAATAAAGTACCGCCTTGTCTGAACCAATGAAATAAATTTTTGAGTAAAATTTTCCTTTTTTCTTATTTTTTAATTATAGTTTTATTTGCTGCTCTGTTAAAAAAGGAACCTATTCACTTCGATATTTTAGATAGAATTCTCTTGGTAGATTATTTTTATATTATTCTACATTAAAAATTCCTTAAGCGTCATTATTATCATATCAGAAAGCATAATAGTATGTCAAATAATGATTGATATATGTTTGGAGTTGGAAATCCACATGGATGGCCAATTATAGTTGGCAGAATAAAACCTGAAACTGAACATGTAATGTCAATAATATCACCAGTGAGTATTTAAATATTTAAGTTTTTATTTGTTTAGTATATGGATAAAGCGATCTATCATAGAAAGGTGAAATGAATGAAAGCAACTACTGTTTTATGATACTCACGTATATTTTCGAAGAAAATAGGAAGTGGAAGTTTAAATCGAAGTATTAGCAGCTGCCATACCACTCGTTCCCCCAAGGTTTTCCCATGGCAAGCACTTCTTCATAAAAGCATGAACTAATCACGTTCTAACTTTCGCGGATAATCAATATTAGTGTTTTTTAATTTATCAAGATATCTGAAAGTGCATTGAGATATTGTACGATGTATAATATATGTATACGACAGGCTTGTTTCTCACGAGAGAAGGTCACCAGATGTTTAATCGCTTTTGCGTTGAGACTATGTGCATTATGCAGGTGCAAATGAGCTATGAATACCCTGAAAAAACTTTGAACTGCTAGCTCATTGTTATGAAGGTACTACACTTTTACGGTATATTTTTATATTTTAATGCCGTTCTCCTCCTCAGAGACAGAAGAAAATATGATTTTCGAATTTATACTTGAAGCTTGACATTGAACAAGGCTTTACTGAGAATAGTACTTTGCAAAAGTTTCAGATTTTGTTGGTATTACTGTCTGTAGATACAATTATGATAAATTCATTAGGATAAACCAGGAAAATTTGATGTTCTCATTTCAGGATAGGAACAAATCAAAAGATCTGAAACTTTCACGAAATATTGCTATTGGTAAAGCCTTGTTCAATGTCAAGTTTCAAGTCGAAATTCGAAAATCATTTTTTCTTGTGTTCCTGAGTGAGGACCATGGCATTCATATAAAAAAATACGGTAAAAGTACAGTATCTCCATAGCTATAAGCTAGCAGCTCGAACTTTTTTCAGAGTATTCATAGCTCATTTGTACCTACATAATGCAAATAGTCTCAACGCAAAAATGATTGCACAGTTGGTAACCTTCCCTCGTCAGTTAGATACAGAGTTAGAAGAATAATAAATAATAAATTAAGAAAAACAAAAGAAAATAAATAACGAGCGAATAGCAATAAGGCAATGAAAATAAAGCGACAGTAAGAAAAATACCCGAAAAAAAATTGTATTTGTAAGGCAAAAATGAATAGACAGATGATTTGTTTAACAATCACTTATTCTTGGAAAATAACTATCTTCCATAAGATATTATTCACTTTGCGTACCTTATATTAGCATAAAACAGGTAAGCATATCACCCCAGAGTGGTTTCGAAGAAAATGTTTACGGTGAAAAAAAAATGCATATTCGTCATCAGCATGTTCAACTACCCCATTCCCCGTTCAGATTCCGACAGGGTACTTCTGACCGTAAGCAAAAACTTTTTCAGCAAAATCTCTATGCTCTCATTGGATACAGAAAGAAAAAAAATCACTCTCTACGTGTAGTGATCGAACATCGTCAGCGCGCTCGTGCGCTTCTCGACATGTGGGATTTTATCTTTCTTTCCTTCCTTCCTTCGGTATTTTGCTCTGACTATTTTCTAACTAATCAACTAAGTTTCGAGGGATGATCTTTGATTATGCGATTCAAAATCTGAATCAAGGAGGATGAATGAACTATAAAAATATTCTGTCGATGCCTTGTATTGAATTTTTCCTTTTCAAGGAGTCAAAGTATGTTTCTGTATGGCTTTGATAGACATCATGGCTTATGATTGGGACTCGTACTAGTCCAGTCGCAACACGACAGCTGCATTTGTTGTCGGACAACGAGTTATGATGATTTCTAAACAAGTAAGGAGATCATTTAAATTTTAAAAGATAGTTTGAGAATCTAACTATTTCGTTTTCATACCTGCCGGTAGAGTGCGAATATCAAATAGGCCATATAATACGTTGAATGATAATCATTCATGAAAATTAACGGAACACAGAAGTAGTTTTCGTCAGCTTTAAACATGAGGAGGAACGAGATTGAACACACAAACCATATAAAGCGTATGTTTGTATCACGCGCAGAATCGTTCATCTATTGCACGAGCAGACGTTTGACGAACAAGGAGATGATAAATGTACTCAATGAATCTACTCTTCTCATCAGGAAAAATGAATTAGAGAAAACATAGGAATAAAAATTAGACGGTCTTTAAATTAATGATACTGCTATGTAACACATGAATGGTTCAAAAAGACAAATAAAATAAAGCTCGATGCTATTTCACAGTTGTTCATACGGATCTTGAATATTTAGTCGTATAAATTCAAACATTATATATGGAGATGAGTGATTTTCACGTTTTTCAGCAATAATAACTCGTGAAAATTTGTAAACAAGTACTCTCTAACTATCAGACGTTATAGAATCAAGTTGATTTTCATTTCGTGTTACGAACGCAAGTTAAACAATTGGAAAACATCACATATTGTTTACACTAAGTTTATGACCATAAGGAAAATACGTAGGATATCTTAGGTCAGGATTCGAGTATTTCTTGAAAATATTCGCCGTGAAGCTGGCTCCAACTAAGGACTTCCTGGCTCCAAGTACATCTCGACGAGCTCTATCCACTGCCAAATTTTTTTTCTCACCAAGTGACTTCCTTCCGTCCGGAAAACCCCTTTTACTGCTAAAAAATAAGACAAAACAATGAAAACAAAAATAAAACCTGTCGCGNCTTTGACTTTGTTCTCCCCTTCTCACTCGCCATTGCTAGAACGAAGAGGAAGTAGGCGAAAACCTCGATTTAAACCGTCAAACATGTATATTTTCGTCGAAATTATACAGGAGTTTAATAAAAGCTGCCTCTTTGCTGTAAAATGGTAAAATAAATTCTACTGCTCGGTGAAAAACTGCCAAAAAACGACTTAACTGGTTCTAACTAATGAAATGTATTCGATCAAGCATGATAAGAAGCAGATGCATGCATTTTTTAGGTGTTTTTTTTCTTCATGTGATTCCAGGTGATTCCGAATGATTCCGAATGATTCCGAATGATTCCGAATGATTCCGAATGATTCCGAATGATTCCGAGTGATTCCATTGATTCCATGTGATTCTGTGTGATTCTATTGATTCTATTGATTCTATTGATTCTATTGATTCTGAGTGATTCCATGTGATTCTGATGATTCTATCGCCATAGAAGCAGCTTTTCCCCCCTGAGTTTGATGCAAAATGATTTTTCCCGCAGGAAAGCTCACTTTTATCCTCTTTTAAAACGATTACCCTATAAATTGCCTCGTTGAATTAATTCGAATATTTAAAATATTGGATGCATTTGCATGAACATTAAGACAGTGCTATGCTTGTCGTGTATAGTGGCATTTTTCTACGTATATGAAATAATTTCGATATGAATTCTGCACAAATAAATTGATTTTTAGTTCGAACTTCACAAGAAAATTATGTAATAAATAATTCAAATTATTTATGTTGGAACACGTATGTTATGTCAACGGCTTCTTCTATAACAAGAAGAAAGGATCATTAGTTCGTCAGTCGTTATATGTTGCTTTGTTTCTCTTCGATTGTGGTCACTTCATTTTATGAGAAGGTTTCAATAGAAATAGTCAATAACAAGTCCTAACAACAAAAATAAGTTGCATGAACTTTTCGGAAATAATTGAAGGTCACTTCGCCATATTGTATACTCATTAATTTTAGCAAGCCTTTCATGACTAGTATATTGCTTTTATGGGAAAAGAAATAGGTCATATGTTTCTTTCTCTTTCTCAAAAAAAGCAAAGCGTGTGATATACAGGATAGCTAAATAAAGGAAGTTCAGATTATTTATGCCCAATATAAAATTGCGCACTAGGGTTGAATGCAATAGAAACATTTTTCTGAGAATTTAATTTTACTTCATGATTTGGTTAAGTATATAATCTAAACTGAGTCGAATATTTCAATTGAACTTGAATATATCAGAAAAATTCACCACAACTGCTTTTCGCTAATCTCTTCAAGTATATTTTCAATAAAGAAAATTTTCTACTTGGCTTAGTTAAAAAATAAACGACAAAAAGTACAATCATGTGCATTAAAATTTATAGTTTTCTCAAGAAGTATAAGCTTTTCTCCCGTGCGCACACGTACGCTATACTAGTAGTACTATTCCGATCTTCATTACCTATTGTTTATTGTTGTTGCCATTCATTGAATTGTATGTATGGCAATATTTTAAGTTGTGCGGAAATGACTGACAACAAACGACGTGAAAGTCATGCAATCGAGACCAAAATCACGAATTACTTTTTCTTTTGGTGATAAATAAAGAAAAAGTTATTGTATACGATACTCACAATTTATGAGCAGAAAGTTTCAACTATGGAATCGTTCAATTTTACTCATATCGCGGGTAGCCTGACTCAAGAACCAATCCTTAGCTATGACGATGATCAGGGTTGTAGATCATTGAAAAAGCACGAAAAAACAAAACAAAAGAAGAAACCATCAACAAGTTCATTTCAAGATCAGCAGAAAATAAAAAACAGGTAATAAATAATGATTGTATGAAATATTAAACAATTAAATTCATTCTTTTTTTGAAAATACATGAGTACTTGCAACCTGGATGAGACAAATAGGCTAATCATTTCTAAAGCATAAATTAAACAGTCATTACTCGATAGCTTTCAGCAACATCGATTTATAGCAATAGATTTCATGTCACTGTTTATGTTGAATTTGACTAAAATCCGTATTTCGAGCAATCTCTATACTTGATCATACAATCACGCATAGTTTTCGTTTGTTTTTGGTTAGCGTGGGAAGATTTGCAAGAGAAAGTCTCCCAAAACTAGAAAAAAACAGTTGTGCATTACTGTTTTTTCAGTAAAAAATATATTATTAGCTAGAGTTTGTAAGGCTTTCTTATTTAGTTAAGAAAATATTTTTTTACTACTTTCTTGTAAATAAATATGTGAAAAAAAAATGTTAATGAGAAAATATTGGTTTTTCTAGTCGTAACTTTTTACATTGATAGCTTCTAATTTCAAAGTTAATGTTCTTGGAAAAATTATTTCATGGTTTGCCTATCACTCATCACCGCTATCGTCATAATTATTCTGAATGTATATATTGATGTTGCGAGCTTTTGCTCTTGCTGGATGCATGAAAAAGTTTTGAATAATATCATCTAAACGAAAATAGATCAATGTAAAAAATAGTTCGGACGTAAAGAGAATATAAATTAATATAAAAGAGAAAGTAGTTTGAACCAGAGACGGAAACGAACGACAAAAGTGCCACTTAAATTGGGTTTACAAAACAAGGTATTGCCCTAGTGAAACATCTTGTAAGTAAGATCTTGAAATTTTGGGATTGGTAGGTAAGATCTTATCAAGATCTTTAAAAAATAATTCGCTTGTTCAGATCTTGTCCTATCTGATAAATCTGTACCTAAGATCTTGAGTAAAACAGAAAGCGACATCATTAGTTTATTTAGATAAGCTATCTAGTCATTCACCGTTTTTTTATGCATACAGAACAGAATATAAGCAACATGATTGAACATGCAAAAACATAACTTTACAAAATAAGTTTTTTTCTAAACTATTTCTCGACTATTGATTAATCGAGAGGATGCTGATCTCGATCGATGATCGAGAGAGGACTACCCTAAATTGGTCTGACGAATATCGGACCAACTTAAAGCCGGTCAGATCTCAACATCTGACTTGATTGAGCTATTCGGGACAGGAATAGTTAATATTAAAATATATTGAAAAAAAACCAAACATACTTTCAGAATGCATCATTCAAGATGTTATGAATTCTTACTTAAGATCTGTAATAAGATCTTGGGTACAAGATAACTGTATTATCTTGTACCTAAATTTTCAAGGTCTCTTCACTTATCTGTACCCAAGATCTTGGCCAAGATCTTACTTACGAGATGTTTCACTAGGGTGACTATTACAAAGCATTGTTACTTTCAGACAGTCATCTTCTTAGAATGATAATAGTCTGTCGATCTTCTATAGAAATGTGTTGAATAAATATAATTTATGAATATTTGCATAAGAATTATTCATTTTTTTGAAGAAAGAATACACAAAATATAAATTAATGAACACATGTAAATATAGACTAATTAAATAAGTTTATTTTCTATAGAACGAAGAAAAATAATGTCATTTACCGTGTATGGATCTATATTTACAGTTGACCGTAGCCATACTTAATAAATAAAGAGGTTGATATCAAGACCCCAATCGCACTGGAAATGTGAATAAAGTTAGTCTTATAAAGTAATCTAATTAATATATTAAGAGTTAAAATCACCTCTAAAATATTACTTCACTCTTAATGCACCCGTCACATGGCTTAATTCAACTATAATGTTAATTTATTTCTCAGTGTTATTGGGTCTAAATTGACTAACAAAAAAAAAGAAGGAAAGAAATATGGAACGCTCGTTGTAAGTGAGCATTTCTTATACCAATCAAAATGTACTTGACCATGATAATGATATGAACAGAACAAGGATGACCATTAAATAAGCACGACTTGACAGAAACAAAGAAAGAGAAGCAGTGGACGTCCTTTTTTATGCGTCATATCTTATACTAGTCAAATGCCCTCGTCCATAACACTAGAACCAAGAGAATGATTTTGAATAACCGAATGAAACTGAAAAAAAGTGAATCGATTCGATTTCGGTCTCTGGTTTGAACCTAAAGTGAAAATAGATCAATATAAAACAGAAAATAAACTGGTATAAAGAAGAAACTAGATGATTGCCTTTGGTAGGCTTTATTCAGCTTACCAATAAATTAAAATCGTCTACAAAGTCGTAAAGGAAATATCCAGGGAGAAACCAATAACGCAAAAAAAATTTGAACGGGGGAAATCCCCCTTCTTCCCCTGCTCATCGTAAACTATGCAATCACTTTTCATCCATTATTTCGTTCAGTTGAATGCTACAGGACAACACTATCAAAACGTTTTTCAAAGATAATCATTTATTGCTTCTCTAGTTTCTTCTCCTTTTACAAAAAAAACAAAACTTCTTTGAAAACTGTAAAGCGAAATAAATATGAACCACAGAAAAGAAACAGGATTCGTTTTTATTTTTCAATTAGGCCAAGTCAATTTAAAACATCACGAGCACAAACCAAGCAAGGCGTCATAACAAATCGTGAGTTCATCGGAAGACCCAATTTAAAAACAACCAAAAATAATTGTCTTTCAACAGTAGAACTGATGTCAGCCGAATGTGAAAATGCTTTGCAAAAAAATACATTGAATTTTATGGAAATGACGGTAATATTAATTATTTCTTTTGATTGAAAAACTGCGTGTATGTTCTCTGGTTAGAAGTATTGTCTCAGTGAGACACACTTAAATATAGAATATCTTGTACAAGAATTGAAGTGGATTCAAATTTTGAGTTTCCTCCTGTTTTAAGAATTCATTCAGTGATAACTAATATGACATTTTTTTTCAGAGTAAAGGAAGAATATATATATTGAGGAATTCATCGATTTGAGATTTTTTAACAAATTTGTCTTTTTTCACTAATCTGATTGATGTTATTTTTCGAAGTTCGACGAAAAAGACACTATTCAATCTCTACATGAACTAGAGGCAACTGGTTCACATGAAAAAGAGCAAATAGAACATGACATGAATATCGTTAATGATCCTAAAGTTATAGAGGCAACAATTGGATCAAATGAAACAGAGAAAAAAAACTTGATTTTGGAAGAAAAACTTGTTCAAGTTGGTAAACTAGTTATTGATGATACTATCGATTTATCATCATTGAATGTGACTGATAATGATATACCACTGATTATTCGAACAATTTTTCGCAAAGATAAAATAAAATTTACTCGACTTATTTTGCGCGACAATGCTCTAACGTCGGTTGGAGTAAAAATGCTCGTTGATAGATTACTCATGGAACCGATGAGCGTGAAAAATCTAGGTCTTTCCAGTAATCCAGATATAAGAGACGATGGTATTGCACATTTAGTTGGTTTATTACGAAGTAACCGATCAATAACTACTCTCGCTATGCACAACACGGGCATAACAGATCAAGGCATTGGCTTGTTAGCAGATGTTCTTTGTGATACCAAGACACGTCCTGCTCTCGAAAAACTTTATATTTCTTTTAACAAGTCGATAACTGACAATTCATTGGAATCTCTAACACATATACTCGAGCAAAACCAAACGTTGACATTACTTTCTTTGCAACACTGCAGTTTATCCGATAGAGCACGGCAACGACTAAGACGATTGAATAAAAAAAAGAATAAAAAGAAGTTCAAACTTTCAGAATGAAAAAGTTTGCAAGACATTTTTCTTATAGTTTATGCATATTTTACTTGTTGTTTGCCTTCGGTATACACTTTTCCCATTTTCAGTTAAAATAAAACCAAATAAACCGTTGTATCCCGACAAATCGATAGTGACTACCGATTTGCATGAGATGCAACCCTATTATGTTATAAATAAAAGTCGAGTCACTCTTTAAGTTAAACCACTCATTTTCTCCCAAGTTTACATTACATGTGAAGTACAATGAATACGTAAGCGTGAAACATAGAATATTGACTATTTTCTTATCTATGTATTCCAAGGTTGAGTGCTCACTACTGAGGCGAGTATTGATTTGACAACTCATTAATTAACCAGTAACGTGGGCCGAGAATCGATTTCCTTGAGCATAGACTGACAGGACCACACGTCCAAATACATGGAATGAGTAGAAAATTGTTTATTTACTTCCGAAGTGGATCTTGAAATTTCTATAGGAATGGACGGATAAGCTGAATGGAGATGCAAAGTCGCTCGGGGAACAAATAAAAGTGGGATACAAATGAGACATAAATCACGAAAAAAACGTATGCAAACACAAGCCCGAAGACGAAAAGGTGGGCAGTTGTCGAACCACGGTGTTAAGTTGAGAATGGAGCGTTCAATCACTCTAAAACCAATAAAAAACATTCTTGAACGATCCCCTAAAGGAGGACGAGAAGGTCTGAGTCTCACCCAGCAATTAAAATGCATTGTTCAATAATTTTGCAATAACAGGCTCAACATTCTAGTAGGATTTCAACCGGTCCTATCATTTCAGTCTAGGGAATTCTAATTGATGTGAGTCCTAGGCTTAGCTCAGCTAACTTAAAATACATGAAGAAAAATATATGTAATATGCTATACTAGAGGACTACAGGACACCACGAGACTGAACTTTGCCAGCCAAGGCGGGGGGGGGGTGGGAGAGGCTCCCAGAGCCTTGGATTCTGATGGCTCTTCGTGGATCCTGCGGATTCTACTGGATTCCAGTGAATTCTTATGGGTCTTGGTGAATGTTTGAAGATATGTAAAGATCAGTATCAGCTCATTATCGCTGTCACTTGCTTTCTTTTTAGTCTAATATAATGACTTATTCCGTTAGACTAAGTTGCTTTTTAAGGTTTTCTATTGTAGCATCTTGGATTGAAGTTCGTCTTCGCAACATGAAGTCTCGTAATCATCAACATCCTGTGTAAGGTTATCCAGCAACTCTATTTGCTGTCAAGGGAAAAGCTTTACAGCGCAGCCCCGTTGGGGCTAAAATGTAGAACTCACATATTTCGGTCAGTTAGATACTGATCAAATAGAAGTTTTATTTTTTCAGTGTAGTGAGATCATATTTTGTTCGAACATAAGATAATAAAACCTTTTTAACATTTGAAATTTATTGGATCTATCAATAGGAAATATTACTAGAGAGAACGTATAAAAAACGTTTTGTTTAGAATATGTCAGTATACTGAAGTGTTTAGTAGTTTCATTGAGAAATATTATGAATGATAATAGTTTAAACAGTATTTAGGATATAGCTATCAATACTGTTGAAAAATTTATATTTTTTCGTATTACTAGGTGAGAAATTGATACATTTTTTTCATAAACGAAAATTTGATAAAGCCTCCCAGTGGATGGAAAAGTTGCTAATTGTAAATACACTAAAGTGGATTCAAGCTCTAGAATAAGGTATTTGTGTGAGAAAAAAAAGATTAAAATCTTCATCTGTTTATTATAGGTGGTACTGTGAAAAAAAATAAGGTGTCATATGGAACCATTTATGGTTCTAGCCAAGATACTGAACCTTTTAAGGTTTCACTCGCTCATTAATAAACCATCGAGGGTTCTATAATAGTTAGTTTAAAGAATCATCTCAGATCCTCAACAGTTCCGGATGTTTGACAAGGTTCCGTCCTGTACCATTTTTCCACAAATGACTCTGACTTGAAGCAAGATAATATATTTGTGGAGTGTGCTTTAAGTAATATAAACCTCATATAGGTTACCGAGGTCGAGGATTCCGAATCCGTCATCACTTTTTGATCCGAGCTCCCGTTGGTCAGAAATTGGGTCCATCAAAAAATCGAGGGCTGTAAAATTAGACATTTTATTTCAACTCCGATCTCAATTCTGATCGAAGTTTGAAATAAGTTATCGAGATCCAAGAATCCGAATCCGGCATCATCGATACTGAGCCTGAGGATCCAAGTCGGATTGATGGATATGGGTAGGTGCGTCTTAATAATCAATTCTACGGTAAGTTATAACTTATAAAATGCGTTTATTATTTTATCTATTTTCATATATCACAATTATCAATAGAGAGTAATGTCAATCTGGTAAAATGAAGTCAATATGTTCTTTATTTAGGTATGTAGCAATAATCAATTGAAATGCAAGTTCAATATGATAAAATGAATTAATGATGCTTTTTTCTATTTAGGTATATGTGAATAATTGATCTCATGATAAGTTCAATCTTACAGTATCAATCATTCCTCTTGTATTTTTGTTTAGGATCTTCTCAACAACAAGTAACGGTGATTCCCCTTGCGTGCGAATAAAGGAGAAAGAGCTGGCTCGTATTCTACTCACAACAAATTCAGGTAAATATAACACATGCGATTTAGTGGTTTATAGCATAGAAATGAGGGTTAATGATAGGATTAAGGGTTAAGGATAGAAGTAAGGGTTAAGGGTAGGAATAAGGGATTAAGTATGAAATTAACGGTTGGATAAAACATTAGTCTGGAGTACTAGACTAATTGAGTGTGGTGGGCTACCTTTTACTACTATAGAACCATTTTTGAAAGAAATAGGAAGTTCCAGCTAGAATCAGATTTTGCTTGCACTTTAAGTGGTTCTGAAAATGGTACCCAAATCTAGAACCCTAAAAGGTTCAGTATGACACCTTTTTTTCTTTCTGAGTACAATGAGTCAGACCGTTTAGTCTTTTTAGTCCACTAATACATTATACTAACAATCAAAATATACCATAAGGCCACTTATTTTCTAGTTGCACTTCTTCTTTTCAAAATGGGCAAGGTTTTGAGTAATCGAACTTTGGTTGTTGTAAAAACTGATCGTATAGAATTTTCCTTTCTTTCAAAGCAATTTCAATAAACTTTACCAATGTAGACTGTAGAGCTTTTCACGCTGCATCTTCTGGTGTATTTTTTCTTTTCTTTTAATAAAACATATCAAGTGATAAAATCATCAACAACAAAAAATGAATTCGTCGTTTATCATAAAAACATTATCTTTTTCGTGGTTGAAATTTGATCGCTGAAAATTTAGTCTATTTTAAGAACAAAATGTGCAACTAGAAAAGAAATGTTTTTATGGAAATTGTAGAGCTTTTCACTCTGCATGTTATGACATATTTTGGTTGTTAATACAGCTAACAAGGAAGTGAAAACTACGATATACAACTTACAACCTTGAACCGTGTAAACGAAAAACGTCTTATGAAAAATGTATTATCATCATATTAGTTAAAGTACGATTAAGTAGCATAGAAAAATATAGCTTTCTTTTCTCTATCAGACTGTAGAGAGAAAAAATGTTCCTCAGAATTTTCTATAAGAAATTGATATAATTTACCTCCGCAACTATTTTTGGACTGACCTAAGTATATGCTTATTCCAAAAATCTAAATATTTTTCCATTATGAAATAATAGTGATGAAATTGAATAAAGTTCTCTTCTTTTTATATTAATCTAATTATTATTTATGTCAAATATTAAAATTGAATTCAATATTTCAAGATATTCGAATATCTAGAAATCTGTCAGTCAGTTATTGAGCTCATCTATTTCGATATGTATGCAACTCATTTCTCGAACAGATAATTCTACAAAAATAGTTACATTTATGAGATAATAATAGAATATTTGAAACAGACCTTATTCATTGAATTCTACTAACAAATATAATAGTTCTTGAAGATTGTCAAAAGCATATTATTAAGATAAAGTTAAAGTAAACATCAATAAGAAAATATTATTTTTAGCAACTTCTATCAGAATTTTTGGAAAGTGCTTTTTGTTTTTCTAGAAATAATTATTCAATGAAATATTTCATGTCAAAATGAATTTCTATTTATTCTTATGAGACTTTATCATCTTAATATCTTTGTAGACAAATAAAAATAAAAAATATTTATCATTATAATATTATACAATGTTTAAACAAATGAAACACAAGATAAAAAAATTATAAAGTGAAAAATATCTCTTCAAACATCATTTTTATTTTTAAATATAGCAAACATTCTTATTTTTTGAAGTCAAATTACACTTAAGTAAGCTAGAATTATTGTTAAATATGACAAAAATGTGTTTAAAGAAACACAATTTTTAATTTATTATCTATCTACTTACCGATAGCCTAAATTATATTTTACTATACATAAATTTTACTTAAATATATTCTTATTATAAGAAAAAAGAGTTTCCATCTCAAACAAGTGTTGATAAATATTTAGAAATTCATCGATTATTCGTTAAGTTCATTATTTGCATGAATCAATCATTTAGACTTACAGTAAACACACTTAATAGAGATAAATGCAGACAAACCTTGAAATTTCTATTACATACTTTACTTTTAATATTTCTGTCTTATAGTTTTAAGTATAAATTCGATTTTATTTTTCTGTAAAATAAAGTATTTCGGAAAAAGACGTATAGATGATCAAAACACGTTCTTAGTATATTGAAATTTACTCATAGATTAATATAGAGAATATAAGCCATCTTCGCTTTAATATTTACATTATTTATTAATATTCATGTAGAACAATGAATCTTCTATTTTTATAAAAAGCCATTGTCGATTAAATTATTTCTATGAATAAAAATATACATCGTCAATAATATCAAGATAAGATCTACGTATTTGGCACCAATTTAGGATTTGAAGTTTTAATTAATAATTAATTATTATTTTTATTGTAAATATCCTAAAGAATATTTGATTATTATTATTATATTTAATTGGCAATCAAATATTTCTATGTTTGCATTCATTGACCCCGTTTGATTGATAGTGATCGAAGAGTCACTTCTTTTTTTAAATATTGAAATCAATAAACCAATAAATATAATTATAATATTTATTGAAATATTCTTATTCTAGATAAAAATGTCACTATTCTATAAGATATTATTTATTCTGGCAGTATTTATATTGAATACATATTGTTATCCATCAAGCTATTGTATACGTTTTGATACAGATGTGAAAGGTTCAAAAAATCCAATAATAATAAATATAACACAAAATTGGTCACCAATTGGAGCCAATCATTTATTTGATGTAATAAATTCTAGTTTTTATTCAGTACCATCAGCATTTTTTCGTGTTGTTCCCAATTTTGTTGTTCAATTTGGAATAAGTGGCGATCCAATACAAAATACTATTTGGAATAAACCGATTCAAGATGGTTTTATAATAGTATTTATTCATATATTTTATTTCATTTGTATATCTATTTAGACCCAGTTAAAATGTCAAACATAAAAGGCACACTTTCATATGCAACAGCCGGTCCAAATACTCGAACAACTCAATTATTTATTAATTACATCAATAACTCACGTTTAGATCCATTAGGATTTTCACCTTTAGGTCAGTTAAATAAAATATTTTCTTTCAATTAATATTCCTGTTTTTTTTCTATTCAATTTTAGGAATCGTTACAACTGGTTTTGATACAGCTGAAGCTATTTTCAATCCAACACCAGGTATTATTTAAATAAAAGTTCTGGTTTTGACGTAATAGTGCGCTATTTAGCATATTATATAAGATACATCTTTCTATCTAGAATTACCGAATTAAACTATATTGCATGAAATATGTTTAAAGGAAAATATAATAAATAAGCTTCTATAAATTTGAAACGTGAAATTTGAAAGTCTTGGCTTTTAAATAGTTTTTTTCAAATTGAACAGATTTTTTCTTTCGCTATGTTATATCTTTATCATTTGTATCAACAGAGACGACACGGAGCTAAGTATTGGAAATAGAAAATAACATTTTCTCGAAAAACAAAACTTACGAGAATGTCTTTCCTGTAAAAGTGAATCTTTATTGAAGAATTGAATTTATTTTAGGTAGTAGCGATGGTGTTGATCAAGAACAATATTCAAAAAAAGGAAATAAATGGATTATTGACAATTATCCTCAAATTAATTTTATTGAAAAAGTTTCAATTACTCATAATTGTCCATTTACAAAGAACTTTTATTGAATCCATTGATTTCTCTTTTAAAAAAATTCTGTTTCTTATTCAATTCAAAATAATAAATAATAAAAATATTAGTTGATTTTAGTAACAATTTCAATTTCAAGGTCTAATGAGACTAATGATTTTGGACAGAGAGGAACAAGTTTGGGATCTTTATGAATATATTCCGTATAACCACCAATAGGATTACGAACTAAAAGTGAGCATCGATGCTGAGGTTCCACTCCATTAATATGAACACATTCATGAAATACATAAAAACCATCACCTTTATGTAGTGGTGATGTCATTGTTAACCGACCATAATCACCAGTGGAGAACGTAACATTTGCATACCATAAACCAAAGCTTCCATTTGCCGATGAGCCATCGGCAAATTGTGCGTGAAAATTTCCAATCATCCAATCAGGAAACATTGAACCCTCTTGACAAAGTGAAAAAGCATGTATGAGTGTTAAACAATTAAAACAGATCAATAGTAAAATAACAACATGTGCTGTCTTCATTATCTGAAAAGAAAATTTCTCTTTGATGATTTCTATTAGAATATATTGTCTCAATACTAGAATATTCTTTATAATTTGCATTTTATTTATTTGGTAATACGTTCGTTTAATTCACATAAAACAATAGTAGAAAAAAATATTCGTCTATAATACTAAAATAAAAGCGTTTTCATCAAGATATTGTGTCATGAAATGATAAGGTATCTCTCTTTTTTCATGTAGAAATGAATAAATATTTACATTTTTTGAATCTCAACGATACCCGTTAAGTTAAAAAAAATAATGTTTTTTCTATCAGCAGAAATGCAACTTTTACGTGTTTTAAGTCACTGGGCTTAAGAGTCATTGGCTCTTTTCTTTTTCTTTCAAACTAATAAATTCTATTAATTTAAACAATGCCAATCATATATGCATATGAATATACGTAATATACCTGATAAGGCTAGCTAATGTAATTTATCTCATGACCTGATGTGAGGATTATCTATCGATGAGCTCTCCCATGGCGACATTACGAATATTTCGTTCGATATGTTGAAGCTTGATATTCGACACAAAGCACAATTAATTTGTACACTATTAGATTTTCATGACTGTCAGAACAGATCATATTAATCAGAGACAAATATATAAAACAAACATAATGCTATGGCCATATTTCTCTGTTAATATTGAACATTGCAATCCTATATTGGAAGAAAATAGAAGTTTCATCTTTTTGAATCGAACAATGCTCAAAAAATATCATACACTACACTCTAAAAAAAATAGGTTTAATACCGAACTTCAGTGGTTCAGTACATTTGATCTAAACGGTTTTAGGTTCCGAAAAGTGAAAATCGTTTCGTGGTAATTATATAAAAGTTTTCTAAATTCAGAAGAAAATGTAGGGTTTCACAATTTTTCAACCGAACTTTCTCTTAGTTCCGCAAACTGGTCTATGGTTTCGCACTTGAAATACTAATCCATTACAAGTTTCTCAAAATTAAAGAAAGTTTCGTAGTATATTGACCAAGTGACTGATGGTTCCGATTTCTTATCGAAGGTTCCGTCCTTCTTATTCTGAACAATGAAAGGTTTCGTACAATATTAGAAGGTTTAGAATTGTCTATACTGAACTTTTCGTCTTCATCTTATTGATCTCATGGTTTCGTATATTTTCCACGAAAAATTTCAGTTTCATAGGGATGATTGATGGTTTCACACAAACTATACGAAACCATTTGTAGTTCTGTACACTTTCTAGTGGTTTTACAATTTTCCTAAAATAACGTTATATTTTTTCTTAAAGCATTGTTAGGTTCCATGCACTTCGTACAAAACCATAAGCGGCTTGTATTATTTGTGTACATAGTCTTTTATGCTTTTTCATAAATAGCAAATTTTTCAATGTTACCTTTAGTAAATGACTCAATAAAGAATATTCACTTTTAGAGCAGATTGAAAATCAGCAAAACTAATTTCCAAAAACAAACGTAGCGATTCTGCCAAGATACTAAATAGATCTTTTCTCGTCCAGATACTGACAATACAAATCACATACCCCTTGTCTATACTCATGTAAAATATAGAATAAAAAGAGTGCCATGGTTCATAGCCAATTCACTGGACCTTCAAAAATTCATGCTACACTGTAAATTTTATTTAAATTCTATTTTTTAGAAAGTCGATCTTAAATAAGCTAAAACATTTTACAAAATTTTATAATTTATTCGTCGAATTTTGAATGTGCAGAAAATGTTTGATGGTCCAGAAAGTAGCATTGCAATCTGTTTTTCTGGGAAAATCAATTTAAACTCTACAAAAACTCAGAAATCAGTTACCGATTTTTGAATAATCATTTAAACAATGACAGCTATAGAGCCATTGTTAGGTCATGTATATAAGTGAGTCGACAGTGTTGTGTATTCATTATTTCATCCAGCAGCTGTAGCTAGTTGATAAATAAGTTTTTTTTTTCAGATACTACATGAGCTAGTCCATTTTATATGAACAGGCACATAATGGCAATTTATTCCTGATGGCTCACAAGAATATTAGAAATAGAATTTTCTGAATATAAAATCGATAATTACAACCTTTCATATTTTTCAAACTCTATTTGGGCTGTTGCGTAGTAGTTTTATGTTTAACCTTGAGAATTGTATTGTGAGTATTCGTTTCTGATCAAAATGTTTTTAAATAGTTAAATTGTTTTTCTTAGAACTTCTTTTTCTTCATTGGGTCCTGAAGGGGTATTTTTTAGTAACTACGTTTTAACTTATATTCCAATTCTCATATTTTTCTTATTTATGATGTTTTATGGAACATTTTACTCGATATTTATTTGTTGTGTTCAACCTTCATTATGGAATGAAAATGGAATCTCAAATTTCTAGAAAAGTCAATACAAATTCACTTTCTATTTTCTAACTAGAAAATCTAATTTGTCATTTCTAGCTTCTAGAATAACGCATTTTCAAGAAAGTAAAAATTCATCGATGAATTCGTATGGACTTTCCTAGAATATGTTTTATTACACCGTATAAATTATTTTCTAGTTTACAGTGTATATGAGCAACTCAATATCAAATTACTCAAGTATCACTAATCGGATAAAATTCCAAAAAATCAATATTGTACAATTCGTTTGTTGAACGTAAATCAAATTTACTATCATAACTATGAAGTAGAATTGTTCTTATGAATTTGAAGAATAAGAATGAATTTCTTTTCTATATCTTACTTGAAACTATTCATCACGAGTCGGATGAATGATTACTACAAGCAAATTAAACGACGTGTACGAATCTATTTTTTTTCTATCTTCATTCAAGTGCATTGTCTCAAATTTTCAGGTATAATTATTCTTCTAATATTCAACAACAACGAATGAGTTAACTATTTCTTTTTCGTCCTAGATCACGTTCATCATCATCATTTTCTACTACTATTACTGGAATAGTATTCAAAAAGAATGATGTACTTTTTTGTCTTAGAACAAGCTGATCACAATGATTTTCAGGTATGATTTTGTCATAAAATTCAAGAAGAATGAATATATTTCGTTTTCTATCTTAGATGGAATATATCGTCGTTAGTCCCAGATGATATGATTCTTGTAATAATATTCAAGCAAATGAATGCATTTCCTTTCTCTATTTTAGATCAAGTTCATTGTCATAATTGCCAGATGTGAACTTGTAATAAAACTCAAAATGATGAGTAAATTTCGTTTTCCTATCAGTCAACTTCATCAACATCAGTTTCAGGTACTATTATTACAATCGAATCAAATAACGATAATAAAATTCCCTTTTCTATCTAAGGTTGAATTCATCGTCAGAAATTGCAGGCTAGGTTATCAGGAATAAATACAACATTCGAATGACTTTACTTTCTCTATCGCATACTAAGTTCATCAGGATAGATCTCAGTTAGAATTGATAGCATGAAAATGAATAACGATAATAAATTTCGCCTTTGAAGCTTATATTTAATTGTGTCATCTTATTCTCACTCGTGGGGGTACTAGAATGAAATTTATCATAACTTAATTTTCAGTTCCCTTCCTAGATGAAGGTCATCGTCAGAAATCACAGGTATATAACTATTTTTATGAAATTGAATAACGTGAATTAATCTTTTATTTTCTATATTAAGTCAAGTTCATCATAACGATTCTCTGGTACTGTTTTCTTTAGTAATATTTAAAAACTGTAAATAAATTGCTTTCTCTATCTTAGATTGAATTTATCATCACAATTCGTAGATACAATTAATTTTATAACATCAAACAGCATGCATAAATCTAGTTTCTCTATCTTCATTCTAGGCCATCATGATAATTTTCAGGTATGAATATAATAATTAAAGCAAGAACATGAACTAGTTGCTTTTTTTCTATCTTAGATCATATTCCTGATTATGTCATTGCTGTATGTTGTTGTTGTTGATAAACTCGACGATTATGAGCTTACTGGTTTTTATTATCTTCCATAAAGGGATCTGTGAAGCATCTACGACAACATGGCTTTCGTTAAATAGCACGATAGAAACTCAGTGAGTTCTTGATGAGGGTTATTGTACGGAAACAGAAAAGTCGTAAAACAAATTGCGATGCGGTGAATCTCTGAATATTAAATCAGTTCAATTATACTTGGTGTTTGGCTTGGAAATTTTAAATAATAAGTAAGCTGAATACTTTTACTCATAATCAAATCGCTTATTCGCGTGTTTCAGGCTGAATGGCTGCTGAGAATGAAGCATGCATGTTGTGTTTGGAAGGTTCAACTAGTTGGTACGTGGAAAAACAACTAACCAATAATTATTGTGCAGTGAATTTAGTGAGTATTGTTTTAATGCTATTGAGGCCAAATTTTAGATATGTGGAAGTTCGTTTCAGTGCACTGTGGAAGAACTTCGTACTCAATTGTATATTTGGAATTATTTTCTGTGTGGATGAGATAGTGGCCAAGCAAACGAAAATTCGGAATAACACATTTAAACAATCAGTCGGGAACTACGATTGTGAGTAATTAACGCTCATTATAATGACGCATAAGATGTGTCCTTTGTGCAAAATTTTTATTTCAGAGTTTGATAGTCAGCGAAAATTTCACTTTTTAGTGTCAAAACACGTTGTAACTCTTGAATTTCAAGAATAGCCGGTTTTGGCAATAAGAAAACTGAAATTTTCAGCCGGTTTCACACTTTGAAATGAAAATTTTGCACAAAGGACACATTTCATGCGTCACTATAATGAGCGTTAATGACTAACAGCCGCAGTTCCCGACTGAGTGTTTAAATGCGTTATTCCGATTTTTCGTCTGCTTTGGTGTAGTCTGAAACCTTTGGTGCGAAAAGGTTCGGTACCGAGCTTGGGCTTTTACCAAACCTAAAAAGGATCTTCCCGTGTGCCCGGCGGAAGATCCTCTTTAGGTTTTGTAGAGTACCTATTCTTTTTAGAGTGTAATAGATTCATTTGACTAGTTTAAATATTTTGTTGAAGATATTGATGAGCTTTATTTGCAAAATCAATACCACGATGAATACTCGTCGATAAGTGTTTAATATAAACATCATAAAAGTTAAAACTTTAGTGTCAAAATAAAAGTTATTTTCTTCTTTAATACTTTTTCATCTAATTTCACATTTAATTGAGAAAATCTTGGTTGTAATACTTCCATAATTCATTCTTTTGCTTTTCATTTTTGTTCAAAATTTTCATTTTTTTTAGGCATGTTTAGTTGTTTTTAATTTCATTAGCTGCTACTTCGTGTTGATTAATCGCTTGTTTCAATTCATTTTTCGCCTGTTCGAAACGATTTATTTGTTCTTTTTCTCGTTTCTAAAAATTGATGAAGTTTGAAACTTTAGAAAAACTAAATAAATTTATCCATTACTTAATTATCATTATGATCATTCACTTTTTGAAGATTTCGTTCTATAGTTTTATTTTGTTCACGAAGAGTTGATAATTCACGTTTTAGTTCACCCATCTGTCTTTCCTAGAGAGACATCAAACAAAATTTTAAATTGATTGGATTAAAAAGGTTACAGAAATAATTTAAGATACTTGTCTGTCAGTGCAAAAGTATTGAACTCGAATTTTTCATAGCAATAGGATAATCTGACAGTTGGAATGAAGACTCTGATATAACTGAGTTGAAGAATCTATAATGAAGGAGTTTCACTAATCATAGGTTTACTATGATGTAGCTACTCTGCGAGAACGGGTGACCAATAAGAAATGGTACACTTTCTAGCTAGCCCTCATATTTAAAGCGCCTATTCCAAGCTCATTCGACCAGCAGTGGACGATGGGACCAATCGATCGGGAAATGGTCACATTTTCAGCAGAAATGGACCACCCCCCATAAAGTCATACGTTTTAAGGAGAAATGGAAAAGAAAGAATATACATATATACATATATCTTTATCATTCACTATTTTTCAAAGTAAAATAGGTTTAAGCAGAAGTCTTTAATTTATAGAGAGCAACGATTCATCAGGCAAAATTGAGTGTTAGATAGAATTAATAGTTTTTAAATTTTAGAAATTTGATCAACGATTTTATTCATTATTTGAGCAATATAGTCATGTCAAATTGGATGAGATTTTAATTCTAATAAAAGTTACAATGTTTAATCTGTAAGGTTTATAAACTTCTGCTGGAATGAGGGGATATCGTTAAAGTATTTCTGATCATAAAAAAACCATTTCGCCCGTAAAATATCCATTTCTTCTTCAGAAACCGCCTGATAGTGAAAAAGAAATACATCTTTCTAGTGTATAATTTAACGATTTCTACTTGAATTTGTTAGGGGTAAAGTATTTCTGCTGGTTATTGAACCTTTTCCCGATTTTAGGGGATGTTGTCCACACTGTAAAAAAAAAGGGTAGAATAATAAACCCTTATAAGGGTATTTAATTTTCATATACCCTTTCATAAATGCTTCTAAGGGTTTATTACAATTTCCATTCAGACAAGCCCCTTAAAAAACGCGTTAATAATCTTTCAGAAAAAGAATCCAAAAATAAATGAGTAGACTATGATTCTTTTTCGTTTGTGTTTACAATGCGCATCACAACGTATTTTTTGTAATTTATCGATCCGATTAAAATTTTGGAACTTACTGCGTTGTCCTAGGTTCGATCATGAGATGTATTGGTTGATAGTCCAAGATGTTATCCATTCAGTCAGTCGCATGATATCAATATGAAGTAAGAAATGCTACTTAAATCAAACGAAACTTGATAGGAAACTGAAGATGATATAAAGTTAAGCGGAACAATTGTTATTACATTTTTAATTGCCATAAAAATATGCAAAAAATATTTTGCATTTAAAAAATTATTTCTTTGAAAATAAAAATTATTTTTTTACATATTTAAATAAATTAGGAAAAATTTGTTTTTGAAATATATTTCCTCAAAAAGATTTTTAAAAAGATTTAAAAACGTTTTGCTCCATTTTCTCAAAAATTTTCTAACATATTTCTTATTTTTTTAGAAATCTATAACGTATATATTTCTAATACTTTTATAAAATTGTTGATCTATTTTAAAAACCTTTATAAGTATAAGTTTAGCTCGAAATGATTCAAAATTTATTAGAGAAATTAGCGCCTCTTTATCATACCGTTATGTTTTACGAAACAGGTACGAAATGAAAAGTGCATCGATGCATGAATGGCAGCATTGTGAGAAAATGATTGTATTAACATGTTTATTATATCAAATTGTTTGAAGTGTCCTGTGAGAAATTTTCATGGTATATATATATATATATATATCAGTTGAAAAAGTGTAATCCTTTGAACGAAGAATAAAAAACCCTTTTGATGATGGAGTAGAACAATAAATCCCCGTAAATCCCTCACCGTAGAATAAAATACCCTTTTTAAGTAAGTAATAAACCCTTTTCTCGAGACCGTAGAATAAAATACCCTTAGTACGAAAGTAATAAACCCTTTTATTGAAACCGCATATTAAAATACCCTTGAAGATAAAATCATATACCCTTCTCCTTAAATCTCAGATTAATAAACCCTTTTTGTTCTTGTATCATCTTTTTTTCATATACCCTTCGTTTCATAAACCCTTCAAGGGTTTAGCATGATTTGTAGAAAGGACAAGGGTTTATTATTCTACTCTTTTTTTTACAGTGCAGCCCTCGCTTTTAAACGTAAAAGAACACAAAATAATGATGTTTTATAATTTATCTGCTACCCATTCGTATTTCTGCCAAAATGTTTTCAGCGGAATCTCCTCTCAAATCTGTCGACGATGCTAAAACGATTCATACATTATCTTTATTATTATCTTGTAATTGCTTTCTGAGTGATTCAATTTTAATTTATCATTTTGCAATCGATTCTAGAACATAGAATATAAAATTGGTTTATTGAAATCATTGAATAATAGTACTTTCTCATTTGTTATTTGTGAATGTTGTTTAGAAATGTGATCGAATTCATTTTGCATTTGTTATCGTTTATTAGCGATTTCTTTTGTTTTGTTGATCATATTGATCCTTGACGATGAGAAATGAATTGAATTTCGAATAAGAAAAAAAATATTTTATTTTTTCTTCTGTTATATGTCGAACAAGATTTTGTCGTTCATCATTTTCACCACCATCCATTTTGTTTTGAATAGATTCATTTTTCTCATTTTTGAATTCATTTAATGTTTTTTGTAATTCATGAATTTCATTTGTTAATGATTCAGTTTGATTTTGACAAGAATTTATTTTCGTTTGTTCGAGTTGTAAACCATTGATTAATTTATTTTTCGATTGATTCTTCAAAATAGAAAAAATTATTAAGATAAATGAATGTTTGGAAGACTATGGTTCGTATAATCCAGTAATATTGTTATATGCGAAATTTTCCTTGAAAGTTAAAATGAAATCAAAGATAAACTATTATCTTGCTACGCCATGATTTTAGGCAATTCTGAGAAAGTCCATTGATTTATAGATGTTTTACATCTTAAGGGAAAAGTTGGTACATAGTTAAATAATAGTAAACTTTCTGATACCATTAGATAATGCTTTATGCTTTTTTCAAATAGACAGATTTGATTTCATAATGATTTATTTGATAGTTTTCATTGGATTCTATTAATATTTGATCCTCTCAAGATCAAAAGATATTCTTAAAAAAGCATAAATTAATAACAAAAACAAATCCTACTTGAAAAGGAATATGTTTCGATGTTGAATTGATTGTCCAACATAAACAAAATGAATTGTTCCTTCCTGAATCATTGCAAGTCATCCTCAAAATCCTAAGAGTTTTTTATATTAAATAATTTATTTGGACTTACCTTTTAATGGAAGTCTAATAGTTCTGGTGAATGTTCCAAATGTTGAATGATATGCACTACAAATATATAAACCAGCATGTTGAATAGATTTAAAAGAGTTGATGTTTCATTTATTGAGATAATTGTTGATTCAAAATCCATCATACTGATGATAAAGAAAATGAATTAAAAAAACATTGAATTTCAATTTTTTCACCTTCATCAACTAAAATAACTGAGGAATTTTTTTATTTTGAAACCATTTTTATCAACAAACATTGGTTTATCTGAATAAATAATTAATTAATTTCGTTTTAAGCATATAAAATGAATATAAATGAGGTGACGTATAATCGACTGATTTGTTATTCTAACTTGATTACTATAGCTTGCCATGTAATTTTACTTTGATAAATATATCGATTTAGTAAAATAGATAAATGATTTTCATCTCAAATATTCCGAAGAGAAGTTTCGATAACACATTTATCATAGAAAAAGCTTCAGATGGTTTTGAAGTTTTATGAAAATTATCATGAGAAAGAAACAAGTAGAACATAAAATATAGAAAAGTAAATGTTCGAAATAAAAATAGACCAAAATAGATGAGCCAAAGTCGAGTTTTTCTATATGAACACAAACGCCCAGATTATTTTTTTATAATGTACGTAATTGTTCGGCTGGTAAAGGAGTAAAACATTTGTTATGTAATCTTGTGACAATTACAAATCCGAGAATAACATATATAAAGTCAATGACTAAAATTAGGCCCATTTGTGATACATAAACACCGAGGATACTTAAAATACCAATTATCATAGACATAAAAAAGTATGAAAATGGACCACCCGATACGAGATACATTGATACACAATCATGAACAATTAATAGAACAACAACTAATTTTCCATAACGATAAAATCCATGAACACGCCAACAAGTTGGTAAAATATCAGGTAAGTTTATTAAATTTGGATATTTTTGAAGTAATTTACTACAATTATTTTCAATATCTCGCATGATAATGGTAATGTTTATTCTTAAATCTAATATATCTTTATTCAAATTTTGCTCCGCATAAATTACCACAGTTGTTAATGCAACTATGATCATTGAACACGTGAACACGATAAACAAGCAATAGAAAAAAAATATTTTTTTCTTATCTTCGGTTGATGTTGGTATGTATCCATGGAAAAATCTTCCTAGATACACGAAACAGAAAAGTGAATATTTGTATATTGTTTGATTTCAATATCGCTTACGTTTGAGATCTGATTGAATGTTCTCCATTGAAAATTATTCTATCCCAGGTCAAATACGTACGGTGGGAAACAGTCTGATCCGGTGATTTTCCATTGAATTCCGGAAGCAGTATTCCAAAACGTTTTCCGGTCTCCGTTTCCAGGGTATTTCCCGCTAACTCCCGGTTCCGGAACCGATAAGCGGATACGGCTTCCGTTTCCAACAAGATTCCGTACTACGTTTCCGATAATTTCCATTTACAGCAGGATTCCGGCGTACGTTTCCGATCGTTTCCTTTTGACGATCGGAAACGAAGGAATATGAAAAGTTTCCGATCTAGAACCGTAGGCAAGATCTGGCCGTTTTCAAAACGGATATGGACTCCGGATTGCACCGCTTCAACAACCGGATCCGGCGAATAAGAACTATTCGATATTTCCTTCTTCTAATTCAAAAACATTAATGAACTTCAAGGATAAGTACATATTTCTTACTTAAACCACGACTCTGTAAAATTTCTGCTTATAGTCGGATTGAAACTGACCTTCCAAAAAGCACAACAGAAACTCGAATCAAGCACATTTTTAGCATGAAATCATGAGATGCATAAATTCACCTGAACCTAATGGTCAATTCTCTAACATAAAATCTTACCGATATATTAATAATCAAACTAATTTTCCTTGATATGAAATACCTAATGTATTACCAATCCCATTTGGTAAAACTCCAATTAAAAATGAATAATCACCAAGGAATACAAAAACAATTAAAAGAAATTCATATCTAATATTTTACTATAGGTTATCGCGGTCGTAGATTCCAAATCCGTGATTAGTTTTTGTCTTCTAACTTGGATGGCGAAGAAAATCGGTCGATGTGGACTCCAAATATTCACAAGCTAGACTTTTTATTTCAACTCTGATCAAAATTCTGATGAGACTTTCGTAGGGGTTATCGGGGTCGCTGATTCCAAATCCGTGATTAGTGTTTGTCTTCTAACTTGAATGGCGGAGAAAATCGGTCGATGTGGACTCCAAATATTCACAAGCTAGCCTTTCATTTCAACTCTGATTGCAATTCATCAATGTCAATATTCTATACATCTCAAATGCACCTGAACCAGGTATTCCATAGCATAATTACCAACACTCTAACGGTAAAGTGTTTGAACGCGGTTTCTACGTTATTACCTCTTATCTCAGATATTGAACGAGTGCATTCATACGTTGTGAAATCGAAATGTCTGAACAAATGACGAAGTCTCGAGCTCCGATTTTAAGTATTTTGAAAGTCCCCGTCGGTGGCATTTATCTTCGAGGACGAATGAAAATCTTTCTGGGTCGTTACTACTTGTTTCAAATTTGTTTTTACTTTCCTTTATTATGTTGCAATCAGAAGGATTACTATAGATCCTACACATTCTATCAGATCCATTCCGATATTTTAAAGTCCGATTAATTGCATTTCGTCGAAGAGAATAATCTAAAGTACGGTATCTGTAATACCCTTCATTTCTGATATTTTGGAGTCTGTCTCGTCGTAATCTCTGAGGACAGACGTCAGAAGATCGTTCTTAGTCATCACGTTCCATCTGAAGTATGTAAAAGCACCATTGCTTGCACTTTGATTACCAAGACCGTTTGAAAATGCTTCTTCATGAATGCCAAGTATGTCAAGCATTTTTAACAATGATTCCTCGCGGGACACTCAAAAAGTACTCTAAATCTCATTTTGAATGAAAAAAATCTAGGAGTCCTCGAAATATCTGGAAAAGACGTATTCGCGAAAAAGAATGTTCAATAATTCTTTTTTGTTGAAAATGAATGAATGTTGCTTTCACATACCGCAAATGAAAGGTAATGAATTAAAAATACCTTTAAGAGTCTTTCCCGGCTGATTTCTAACCAGAACTCTTCGAAATACCTCTAATAAGCTGTTTGAGATAAAGGATCCTTTTAATAACAATGATTGAATGGTGCTTTCCCATACCTCAAATGAAAGGTAATGAATTAAAAATACCTTTAAGAGTCTTTCCCCCGCTAATTTCGAGGAAGAATCCTCAAATTATCTGAAGGTTGTAGTGGGGAGCTGGGGATCTATACGGGTGTGGTATGGTTTAGGGAATGATTGCCAAACAGTGCGTTAGTTTAGTGGCATGATGGAAGCCGGCTGGCCATTCAGTTGGTTGGTGGTGCGAGTATGATTGGTGAGTAGTTGCATCTGTGTGAGAAA